GTGCTTTTTCCTAGACGATGTGCTCAGGTGAGTGCTGTGGCCCCTGGGCCTCTTGTAATTATCCCTCCATATTTTCCAGAGCAGTCAATGATTTGTTGTTGTCTTTAAAAGTATTTTCTATAATTTAAAACCGTTTCACACAAAGTTTCCAATTGCAGAGGTCCTCAAGCGATCTCTGCAAGTTATTGACCTTAATTCTCTGAAAATTTTTGAGGTTCTGTGTACTGTCTTAGAATCAATGCGTGCCATCATCAATCAAAAAAAAACTTATCCTAAAGGCATTAAAAAGATAGAATTTTTAGCTCACCTGAGCCGAAGGCTCAAGTGAGCTTTTCTGATCAAAATTTGTCCGTCGTCTGTTGTTGTTGTTGTCGTTGTAGTTGTTGTTGTCGTAAACTTTTCACATTTTCATCTTCTTCTCAAGAACCACTGGGCCGATTTCAACCAAACTTGCTACAAAGTATCCTTGGGTAAAGGGGATTCAAATTTGTGCAAATGAAGGGCACCGCCCTTTTCCAAGGGGAGATAATTATGAATTAGAGAAAAATTAATGGAATTTTTAAAAAAATCTTCTTCTCATGAACCACTGGGCCAGGAAAGATGAAACTCATGTGGAATCATCCTCAGGTAGTGAAAATTCAAGTTTGTTCAAATCATGACCCCTGGGGCTAGGGTGGGGCAAAAATGGCCGACCCAAGTTTTACATCAGAATATATAGGAAAAATCTTTAAAAATCTTCTTCTCAAGAATCACTGGACCAGGAAAGATGAAACTCATGTGGAATCATCCTCAGGTAGTGAAGGTTCAATTTTGTTCAAATCATGACCCCCGGGGCTAGGGTGGGGCCAAAATGTCCAACCCAAGTTTTACATAGGAATATATAGGAAAAATCTTTAAAAATCTTCTTCTCAAGAACCACTGGGCCAGGAAAGATGAAACTCATGTGGAATCATCCTCAGGTAGTGTAGATTCAAGTTTGTTCAAATCATGACCCCCGGGACTAGGGTGGGGCCAAAATGGCCAACCCAAGTTTTACATAGGCATATATAGGGATACCTTTAAAAATCTTCTTTTCAAATACTTCAAAGCCATGATTAGTGATATTTATATGGAATCATCCTCAGGTAGTGTAGATTCTAGTTTGTTCAAATCATGAACCCCTAGTAAACTTTCAGTTCTGATCTGATATGTGCTTTTTCCTAGCCGATGTGCTCAGGTGAGCGCTGTGGCCCCTGGGCCTCTTGTTTCTGGTTATTTTTTATTTTTTTTTGAAAAAAAAATGCTTTGTCGCAAATGTCTGCATTATAACTGTGGAGTTTAATGACACCTCATACATGCATACTACGAGTTAAATTTATTGTATGTTTTGTTTTTTTAGATGAATTAGTTTTGAATGGAGGCGTGGGCAGGAAATCGTGAGAGAGAGGGACGGGATAGCAGTATTGAAAGCTCATATTGGACTCAGTATGGCGTACCCCAGGGGATGGAGCAAGCTTTACAGGACCCAGGCTGGGTTACACCAAGCAAAACAAAGATATTGGACCCCACAGAAAAGGACAGGCTCTGGAATCCAAGTAACAATCCACATACAAATCAGTGGTCAAAATCTCCTGCCACCGGCATGAAGAATAGTTTAGAGGTAACTACTTATTATGTTTATTTCTAGGTTTTTTATAGACTTTTAAAAATTAAAGGAAGAAAACTCCTCCAAACTGGTATATGTACAATGTGAAAGCACTGAAAAGCAGAATTTGGGGGGGGGGGGGGGGTAACTGATAACAAGTATACCTGTTGATTTGCGTGTGCAGCCGCAAACATCTAAGGGCATCACAGACCTGTTATTGCTCAATTTCATGTTGGTTTAACTCCTCTATCAAGCATTACTTGATACTTCTTTGGTTTTTGAAATATCACTAATGGAGCTGGTATAATAATTATACATGTATAACTACAAATAATGCTATTTTGGATTTCACAGACCTCTTTAATTCTTTTGAATATGTATAAACTTTGTTATAGGATGAAAAATATTTTTAATTTTTTCTTGTGATTACTTTGTGCTCTGAAACTCTTCAATATTTAATGCAAATTTTCCAAAGCAAAGTGGCAATTGATGATTTTATCTCGATAGAGTTGGTATCCATTTAATGACTACAGAAATGAATTCCATTTAAAGATATAAATAGGTATAACTGTATGGTGTGCATGGTTTAACTTACCGCTAATGCATGAACATAAAACATATTCAGTGATAAAAAAACTTCTGCATTGATAAAGGATTGAATTTGTCTGCTTTAAATTAAAGCTAGACATTGAAAGTCATATTAACTGTGAAAGCTTGATGGCTATGAGATTTGTGCCTTAAGTGCACCAAGCATGTAGGTCACTGATATTTCATCCAAATCTTATTGGGGAAAAAATAGTTCCGTACATCAAAACATAAATTTACATAAATATTAGAAAGTATCCGGTTTTATCATATTTCCATACCTATTGATAAAAAATGAAGGTCTCTGATATTAAATTTCTCATGGAGAAAGTGCACAGTAGCAATAAGTTTTAATGTACAGAGAGTTCAAATAGAGTATCTGTCGTTCTTTTGTTATTGAATTCTAATTTAGAAAAAAAAATGTTCTTTGCTTCACTGTGTTTGAATTAATTAATTATAAATGCATACAGAAAATAATCACGCGTCTAGACATTTCAAGGTAAAAAATAGAACAGCTTGTCTGCCGTTTTCCTAGGTGGGTGTTATCTCTTGACTGTCTGGGCCAATTTTTTTTTAGAAAAAGGAACACAAAAGTCCCGCAGGTGAATAGAAAAGTGGGTAAAATTCTGTATCTTGCTACTTGTACATGTTGTATGTAGCATGTGGTGGTTTTTCTTAGAAAATTCCACAACTTCTAGGCAGTACATCTGGGTTTGTCTTAGCCAGAAATGAAAGGTGTATAAATGATTAAAAGCATCATGTGGATCGATAGAAATCATTATTACTATGGTGATGGGTGGCGTAACAGGAAATCTACTGATAATCTACTGTTTTCTTGTAATTCGGCTTTCATGAGCTGGAATACAAATAGTTCAAAGTAAAAAGATCAGGAAGAATTGTTTTGAACAGGAAGTTTATATTTTGTTTATAGCTCTCGTATAAAAATGATTTCAAAATGTCGGTCACAACAGTCTTGATCTTGTGATAATACAATGAGGCCGTATGACAAGATGTCGATCATTTAGTTTTTTTTCAAGAACATTCAAGTGCTTATAAGATGGCCCTTTATTTAGAGCCCTGAGGGTTTTACAGCAGTATGCTTGCACTTTGTAGCAATTGAAAGATTCTGGATTTGTAATGCATCATTCTGACAAATACATATTAGACATTGATCCATTGCTGCATATATAATTGGGAAGTATTTTTGATAAATATACAAAGCATTAGAAGGTTAATTAGGGTTCAAGATCGAAATATTTTAATTTTTTTTTTTTATATATTTCGGGGGTAAAATTTCTTGTTTAGAATATGAATGATTGTTTCTCCCTGTATCTTTTATTTTCTCAGTACTATGACAAATATTGTGTGCAAAAACAAAGAAGTAGTTGTTCATGAAGAATTTATTATTCTTAAAAGATGCATTCTTATTATCAACAAAATATATAATTTACTGATTTTAATTGAACAGATGAACAGATGCAAAAAATAGAGATGTTTTTTATTATCGCCGTGCAATAAAGTTAAGCGGGATAATAGCAACATGCTTGTGTGTGTATAATGTGGGTGAGAGAATGAGTGCATATGTATTTAAGTTACACAAACAATAATATATAATATCCGGATCTATGTGCAGCTCTTTTGTGAGGGTAGGCATTGCTTTGCAGTATGCCCTGGTATGCTCTGCTTTGTAATTGGAAAATATTACTTTTGGTTCAAATACTTGTGTATACCAGAAATTGCAAAGAAACAAGATTTATAAAACTAAATTATTCATTCGCTGAGGTGATAATTATAATGAATTTTGCTTTGAATATTAAGCTGTAGCTCATTTTTAAAGAAGTCAAACTTTGAACTGTCTTTAATAAATAATTTGAGTTTTGGTAAACAAGAAAAAAAAGGGGCCTGAAGTATTAATGTAAAATCTCGCATTCTTCAAATTGATTTATGAATGAAAAGCAAGACCGATTTGTGGCTTTTTTTTCCCCCAAAAGTGTCGGGAAGAAGTTAATGACCGGTGTATTCAGTGGCCATAGAAGTTTTGAAGGCATTCAGTAGTTGTAAGAGCAGACAGATTTTGATGAAGGTCAGATGTATATTTGCCATGTGCTGTTAGACAAGGCATTCCATTCCAGAGCTACAGTTTACAGTACCATTATTATTATATATTATGTATTTCATTTATTGGTGATTAACATTGTTTTTAGCTTAAAGTGCACAATTTCTTTCAAAAAGAAATTAACATCAAAAGACCTGAATTAATTTAATTTTGCTGGAATCTGATTAAAATCTACTAGAAAATATATGTTCACTCTTATTAAAGTTATTTATATATAAATAAAATTTCATTTAGTAAGAAAAAGAATCGTCCATTGCCTTGTGTTGTTAACGTTGACCATGCTCGCGTATTGTTGATAAACACTGGTCGATGCTATTTTCGTATGGGATTTTCCTGACACACATATTTATATCGCAGACTGAAGCACAAATAGATTAACGTAAGTTTGTCCTTGAATTGTGGATTTAAATCTTTTATTTTGTCGGATAAAAAAACCGAACAACTGCACTTTTCTAATAAAAACAAACCTTTTTTTTGCAAACATATGTCATGGTTGTTTAGTCTGGATGAAATGTGCAAGCCAGCATTTTTTTTTTTTGGAAAGAGGGTAAAGGATGCAGACAGCAAGTGTGTTATCTGAATCGTAGAATATTTCTTGAAACAACTTTTGAGGAGCTGAATTTTCTTGTGCGTTGTGGTATGTCTGTTTGAGCAGGAAGAGACTTACTCAAGGATGTTGTGATTTTTGAACTAACATTTGTGAGTTGCTCAAAACTTGTATGGAATGTGGAAGAAAATCATTCAGATTTAGGGGGTGAGACATCCTTCATTTAATTCAATTTTGAATTGCTTACACGAGATGGATCAAATTAACCGAGATAATACCTCCCCCTGCAGTCTTCAAGCAACATACAATTTTGTCTAAATTTCTAAGCAGTGGCACATAACTTGTAGGATTGTGACTGCAGAATTTTATTTTTCTTGACAAAATGTTTTAAATGCCTTTCACAGCAGAAGATGTCTGGCCCTTGTGACCTAATATAGCACTCAAAAGACCTCTTAATATCAGGGAAAGCTTCGTAAAGTCTGTGGGTGGTATATTGCTCAAAGATGTGTGGATGTCAATTACGCGACTCCACAATTGAATAATATGACAGACAGACACCTCATTAACAGCATTGGCTTTTTTAAAAGGCGCGCTGCAGAAGCATGCAGCTTAAAATTTTAAGAGCATGCAGCGTAGATCAGAGAAGCATGCTGTTGAGAACTGCAGGTGCTTGGGAATAAGAGAAAAAAATATTCATTTATGATTAGTACTTTTAAGTGAGAGGTTATGCCAGTAGTTTACGAGTTCTCCTGAGGACATTGACCTAATTACCTGCATCACATACTAATTATAGCCTGCTTTTGGATTGTATACCTTCAAGGGATATATATGTATAATAATATTGACACAGATTGCAGTTAAATATGTACCTCTAAGGTATACATCAATTAACACACTAATTAATTTTTATGGATGTCTGTGGTAGTGTTTAAATTAAAAGGTTGAAATACACTTGATGGATTAATAGTAGATTTTTCATGCTACAGTAAGGATTTCTTATACATGTACTTGTGATGTGTATATTAGTAATGGTAGACCAGGATTTTTATTGTTTACATATGTGTAAGTATATTTTAGGCAATCATAGATATACTGTGCTAAAAATTATATAAAAGACTGATTAGCATTTTGATAACATACAAGTTCTTCTTTTGTTATATGACAACAAAGATTTAATTATTTTATTTTATCAACTTTTTTCGAGGATGAATTTTTTTTAGTACGTATCACTATCTTAATCATTAAAACATTATACTGTTATGTGCTATTCTGTAATACACTTCAAAATCATGTGCATCAACTACAAGAGGATTTAAATGAAAAAACAAATTTGTCAACAAAAGTAATATTTTAACAAAATGCAGAGTAAGGATTCATATATATAAATATCTGTGTGGCTTGTTTGTCCTTAGCCAGCCATGCATGATCAGGAGGATATCCTACGATGAATCATAATATTCTAACTGTGTGCATGTGTACGTGTGTCGAGTCAGGCTTTTCCATTGGTTATCATTATATTAAAGCTCGCCTGAAGAGCAATCAATACTTTGTCTTTGTGACAATTTATTATTGATTATTTGACTGTGACCTTAATCTTGCTAGTACGAGAAATTTTTAACTCTCCAAGTGGTGTGTATGGATTTTTTTTTTAACATCATCATTGCAAAAAAAGGTAGAAAACAGACAAAGGTTTGTTGTATTGATGAGGTTTTTCTGATGTGTGTAAATTTCTGCGACCTGTTTGTGTTAATAATTTGCTTCCCTCTCCTTTGAGGAATTTATTTGTTGTGGTGGTTTTTTTTTTCAAACAGGGAACAAAGAAAAGGGTTTTAAATTCTGGACAATATTAATTTAGAGGCACCCAGTGCTGTAGAGTGGGGCTTTGTGTGGCCAGTTTACCTGGAATTTAAAAAGTCGGATTACCTGTTATCACATATATCTTGCCAGGTATATATAGCTGACCAGTCAAGCATTTCTCAAAGTCTGTTATCAAACTGCTGAATAATCCAGGTCAAAAATGATATATCCCCTAGTCTATCAATACCAGCATATTATGTCGAGATTTCAGTGTTATGAAGAGTGAATTTCATATAGGCAGGTTTGTGCATGGTTTTGACTTATTTGTTAACAGTACAAACTGTGTGTTTATAGGTAGTACAGGTTTAAGGATTAAGGCCAATGTACTAAGGAGATAAAGATATTTCCTGTATTGTTATGTAGTTTAGTACCTGGTCACTATGACAAACATGCCTATATACATACTAGTTGTCTATCTTTTTAGTCCTGATTGAACTATCTTCTCCAATTCTTAAGGTGTTGCAGTTAATTATATTAATTTCAATTGAATTTCGTCATTCTGTACAAAATACTTTATATTGAAAACGTTTATAAACTCTGCGATTGATTCAGATGATTGTACATACAAGTATGTCGAATAATCTACTTTTGTATCTTTGCGTACAAAAAGTAAAAACTGCTAGTATAAATTTAGATTTTTTTTGTAACAGTTATCACATTCCTGAGAAGTTTTTTGGGTTTCATTTGAAAAAATTCTGATTGATTGCTGTAAGTAATTATTTAGATTCCATTCGATGAAAGTTGAAGTGCTGCATGTGGTTTTGTTGTTGTTCACCGTGTAGGGGATTTCCAGTTATTCTATTTATAGATTGTTGTGTTTACAGTGTAACGCATGGAAGGTCGTTACACGAAGAGAAGAACTGGTGCTTTGAATATCGTAATAAATGACAAATAAATATTTTTAATCCTTTTATGTTTCACTATTAAGGTTCTAGTCGATGACATTTCATAAAAAATGACTTTAATAATTAAAAATATTTTTCAAATAAATTTTCAGAAACCTCATATGATGGCAGCACCCCCGAATGGATTTTTCCCACGTCATCCTTCACTGGTGAATCCACATTACAGTAATGGCTTTCAACAGTATCTCATGGAACCGCCAGCAGCAACAAACTTCAACGGAATATTTTCCTCGGCTCTGCCATCCCAGAGCTCCCCTCTCGGGTTCTCCGTGCCTCAGACGAGAACGACACAATCAAACGTGACCTCATTTAGCAGTTTTCCTTTTACAAATCCCAATATGCCTTTTCCCTTCTCATCTCTTCCAAAAAATGACCCCTACAATTTCTCCGATGAAGTTTCACTGAAACGTAAATTAGAAGATAATTATGGACAAGTTCCGAAAAAGAAGAAGGTGAAATGTAGTGGAGAAAAATTGAATGGACATGTAGATAAAAGTAATTTAATTAAAACCAAAAATGTGAAAAAAGTTATTGAGACTAATGCTCTCTCTTTGAATGAAATCGAAGATAGAGTGCAAAATATTTTGAAATCAATACAAAGAGAATGTAGTTTTAAGGAACCAAAAAACGTGCAATTGAATAACATACATATTCATTCCACCCAAGAAAAGACCAAAGAGGATACAAATGGCTCAAATTCTATGGACATATCGAAAGCAAAGGATGAAACCAAATTAAATAATTTATCGGAAATACCTATAAAAAGTGCTGAGGAAATTCATCTGGAAAAATTAATGGGTAATTCCTTGGAAGTGGAGGGTCGTAAAACGCCACCAAACTGCTGTACGAATTGTGAGAAATTTGGATTCCGAAACTCCCCTCAGTGTCTCCACAAACGTTCGGCAGCAGAAGTGGATATTTATGACTTCGAGGACGACGAGGATGTCTCAAACCTCTCCGAACCCAAAAATCGCTCAAAAATCGAGGCAGCAAAAGCCAATATATTTAAAACTGAACATCAGGAAAAACAAGTGGATGAAATTAAGGTCGAATCAGATAATCACGATTCGGAAAAGGAAAATTTTTGTGAAAATGAAATATGCTCCGATTCAACCTTTACTACAAAATTGCAAAAATCTGATCTCAAGGACGAAGGTAGTGCCAAACTTGATCTACTCTCGGAACATATTAACAAGCTGAAAGGGACGGTGACAGAAGATGATGAACACTTGGATAGACTCAGGAAAAACATTAAATCGGAGATGCCGATATGTAGCTGCAGGGGCCCAGATTGTAAGTATATATTTGTCTGTACTTATGGTTGAAGGACATGTATTTTCTTAAGGTCAAGTTCTATCTATGGTTTTCTGAGAATTTGTTTATTGTTCATCTAGAGTAGAGGGAGTACAAAAAGGGTTTAAAATAAGGTCAAGCATAGCTTTGTTATTGCTTCAGCTTAGTTCTCACGTCCTTAATTTCAGTGCGGATTTAAAATATTTTATGAATGTTTAAAGTATTTTAAAAAAGTTCATAAGTTTTTATATAAGGGGATTTGAAAAAAAAAAGTGATTTAAATGGTATATAATATATTAATGCAATTTTAAAATAATTGCAGGTATAGATTGGAAATGTATGACAAAAAAGCAGTTGATAATTATTTTCTTCTTGAATAATGTACAATGTATTAAATAGTGAATAAAAAAACACACTTATATAAAGTAACATTCCTGCAAAAATGTTCAACAATCATGATAATTGATAAATAGATCAGAATTCAATTCAATTGATATTTTATTGCTTAGGAAGCATTTAAATCTCAGAAGAATTACAAATATATCTGCCCAGTGCTTCAGACATGAATTGACTTTAACATTTGCAACAACATTCAATTTTTAATCATCAGTTCTCTTTATCTCTAGATATCCCCACGGAGGACAATGAGGGTCCGTTTTACACTCATCTTGGAGCGGCTCGGAGTATTCAAGCTGTGAGGGAACTCATGGAAAAGAGGTAGGACTAAGCATTAACAAGAAGTTTTTATGCACATATCATTGAAAAGCAAAATTTAATTCTCTTGATTAAAAAATGCTTTTCCAATAGGTTAAAATTTTTTTTAAAAGGTAAGTAAGATTTTGAAAAAAAAAGACACAAAAAGTTGACACATCTATCCCCAGTGATCAGTTTTTAAGAGGAAAGCATTTTTGAGTAGAAACTACTGAATAAACTCGAGCAGAAATACAGCATTTATAACTATGTATTTCTGAAATACAAGGAATATAAACATAATAAATGTGTTGTTAAAAAATCAATTTTTCATATTAAAATGTAGAAGTGGTTAAAATAACAATGTTTGAATGCACTAATAAGAATTTTGGCTGATTTACTTTTGAACAAAATTTTGTTGGTAGATAAACATTCACAAGATCTTATTCCTTAATTATCCCTAAGACACGCCTATTAAAACTACCCAAAACAATGTAATAAGATAGAAAATAAAGATGTTAGCTACGAAATTTATTTAAATACATGTCAATTTTTCTGACTGTTTTAGAACTGGAGAGACAGGGAGAGGTATCCGTATAGAGAAGATTCGCTACACTGGAAAAGAAGGCAAGAGTTCTCAAGGCTGCCCCATAGCCAAATGGGTAAGATTGATTTAATTCATTGTGATAGATGTAGGTCTGCAAATCTTCTTTGAGGGATAAAATGTTTGAAGTGAAGTTTGAATTTAATTATCTAGATTATGAAGGAAGAAATTTACACACCACAAATCCATTTTGTTATTGAATTATTTCCTCTCTATGAGTTTGAGGTGTTTTTAAACTGTGCAATTTGTAAACAAAGGAAGAATTACTGAAATGGTAGTTTTTGAACAGTTTATAAAAGTCATCGTGAAGAACTAAATTATTTAATAAGTTTTTAAAGAATTCTGAATGAAAATAAAGGAGCAAAAAACTGCACCTTTTCCATCATGTCATTGTGACACAAACACTGAAGTTCATACTAATAAACACATTTATTTGTGTCTTTTCTCTACAAGAAAGAAGTCCCACATTTTCTTTGTAAAGAGTTCAGCTAGACTTAAATGAAGATTGTTTTTTTCTTAAGATCATCCGTCGATCTGGAGTAGAAGAGAAGTACCTGTGTGTAGTAAGACAGAGGCCCGGTCATTTCTGTGAGACAGCGTGTATTATAACGGTGATAGTGGCGTGGGAAGGGGTGCCCCAGAATACCGCTGACGATCTCTACCAGTATCTCCGTACATCACTTCCTACCAACGGCTTCGAAACGGAAAGACGATGTGGCACAAATGAGAGGTATCACTCTATAAATGTAACCATCATGCTATGTAATGATTTAATATAAATTTGCTTTGGGCTGTTAACAGAAAAAAAAATTGATGTCCTTTAAAAGTGCATTAATTGGGCTTTAGGCCTTTTCATATACATGTATATCCGAGAAGTGAAATAAGTATAATTGATTAGAATAAAGAGTTTGGTTCTGGCTGAATATTTCCCATTATTACCATAAAACTGGGTGCTATCTTTATTAGTGACGTAAATGGCTTTTTTATTTGAGTGTTTTACATTATATCTGTATATGCAGAGATATAATTTTAAATTGATTTTTTCCACATAATACAATACATTTCATCTTTCCCCCAAGGAAATTATTTTTACTTAATGTAATAGTTTTGTATTTCATGATTCTTACTGCGTAATTTAATTTTAGAATCTATATATAGAGCAATGAATTGCAGAAGTCTTTGCAGCAACATGAAATAAAAAAGAAATATGTCTAGAACCTTAGAGAATTTGATAAGTTTTAATATATGAAAAAGAAACTACTTGTTAGCTTCTATTATATTCACTTTATGCCCTCCCTAATCATTTATGATACAGCAAAACTCGTTAAGTACGAACACAGATATTGCAAATTTACGGATATAGCGAAGTCATCTTGGATCCCCAGCTATATAAATTTAATGAATTTCTTATACGGTTATAATGAATTACGGATATAACGCAGTAATTTCATAAGTCCTAGTGACTTCGTTATAACCGAGTTTTACTGTATTATGAAAGCAGTGCTGTAAAGTGAAATGTACACCTTAATTTAAAAGATGAGTTCCATTTTTACCAAATAAAAAAAAAATGAGAACCATATACAGTAAAACCTCATCATCTTGAACTCAAGAGGAGAGGGAAAATAACTTTGAAATATTTGAGGATTTGAGATAATTGAGGATAGAATACTTTGTATACAGACAAATACAAAATAGAAATACAACATAGTGCATTTTTAAAACTTCTCTTTCTTGCTTGACAGGAAAACCTGTGCTTGTCAGGGAATAGATCTGGTTAGACGTGGGGCTTCCTTCTCCTTTGGATGTTCATGGAGTATGTATTACAATGGATGCAAGTTTGCTCGAAGCAGGGAGGCCAGGAAATTCAAGCTCAAAGATACAACTAAGGTAGATATACAAAAATAGGGAAGATAGGTGCATATTACTCTTTCTTTTCATTAGAAATACCTTTGGCTCATACATTTAACTCTGTCATTGGTCTTCTAATATTGATATGAATAGCCAAAAAAAATAATGCATGTGTTTGTTTCAATTCTTTATAAATAGGTTTTCACCGCTGCACTTCATTTCCGGAAATATGCATAGCATTTCCGACAATTTTTTATTTCATTTCCGACATTTTTTGTTTTCATTTCCGACATAATTTCTTTTTCATTTCCGGAATTTAACTGTGCGGCAATTCAATGTTTTCTAAGTAAAAGAAAATGGAATTTTAAAAGTATTTATACTAAAATATTAATAATTTAAAAAAAACATCTAGTATACATATGTGTGCATACATGTAGCACTAAGTCTAGGTAAAAGAGTTTGATGAGCATCGCCACATTTAATGTGCACTTAATTAAATGTCAGTGACAGCACCATACTTATGTCCAAGTCACTAATAGATTTACAAAATTTATTTATGATTTATTCCTTTAAATTTTTCGTAAGTAAAGTTATCAAATCTTGTACTGCATATGTATTTGAAAAATGTCGGAAATGAAAACAAAAAAATGTTGGAAATGAAAACTAAAAAATGTTGGAAATGAAAACTTCATAATTACCAAAAATTCCGGAAATGAAATGCAGCCGGTTTTCACTGTAATGTTTTTTTTAAGGTAGATCTTCACTCAGTGTATTTAGAATAATTACTCTTGGAAAAATAGTTCATTCGGGAATAGTTCATTAGGGAAAAATGATCACATTTCCAAGGGGAAAGTGCCTCTATTCAGCTTTGATTTTTGTTTAAGTAAAACACTATAGTAGAAAACTGCTTGAACATACAAGAGATGATTAAGAATTTGGATTTAGAAAATCATAATAAATGCTTTCAATTCTTTTTTCTAGGAAGTTGAACTTGAAGGGAAGCTACAAGACTTAGCCACAAAGATGGGTCCATTGTACAAGAAGATGGCCCCTGATGCTTATTCTAACCAGGTATGTAATGTTTCCATATGAAAATGTTATGTACCTGCCAGATAGATAACTTCTTCCAATTGAGAAAAATTGTACAGAAAAATGTAGATATCAATTATATAGGAAGAATTAATAACAGCATAATTTTGCAAAAAAGCATCACACAAAATAAAATAACTTGCTTGTATTATTTTAGTGATAGAATACAGTAAAACTCGGTTATAGCGAAGTCCTGGGGACCTGTGAATTTAATTCACTATATCCGTAATTCGTTATATTCGTATAATGAATTCGTATAACCATTATAGCGAATTCGCTCTATGCATGTTTTTCTTCAAGTATTACTACCAACTATGTTAGTGAAGCAAATATTACAAGAAATATCTTCGATAACTAAGGTTTTCTTATGAATTGAATCTTATATACAAATGCTAAAAGGAAAAGAAGTAAGTTCAATTTATCATTTTTTTGAGTTGGCTCGCGTAGCGAGCTACTCCCTGTCGACATAGCCGTTTCAGAGCTGTAAAATTTATCACGCATTCATCAAGGTGATCCATACACCAAATATTATAGTTCTAGCAAAAAATGCTTTGGTTTGAGTGATTGTATAAACTTAAGAGGTAAAAACTGTATAAAATTTCATACTGTAACATTATTTATGCCTTCATGCTTTTAAAGAATTTTTTGATTAAATACCTGTACGATGTACAATTACTGCGTATGAATATATGTTCAAGCATGTTAGGGGGATCTAATCTTCCCATGCGAAGTTTATTTATAATTGACCTAGAATACTCCCTCTCACAAACACCTGCTGCTCTCATTAGCTGCAGCTAGTTGTTGTTGAAAATCTATTTTTAGAATCCAGATTTGCTGTGGGAATCTTTGATAACACTGACCACTCCAGCTAATGTGCTTAAATTCATTATAGAATCCAGTCAAAATAATACGGAAGCCCATGAGTGCCAACCTGTATATAAAGGAAAAGCAATATACACTTTATTTATGAACCGAACATGGATCAGACATATAATATTCAATCTCTTAAGATGCAAAATAAACTAAATATATTAAGGTATGGTGCCCAGATGTGTTAAAAAGCTCAGTTGACTCGAGCGAGTCAACTCGCAGGCCCTTCAGGCCTTTGATTTATAATCTTTGAAAGTTTGTAATAAAAGATGTAAATCTCATTATATTTAACCACAACGGGACTCAAAATCAGTTCGCTATATCCGTAAATTCGTTATATCAGAGTTCGTTATAACCGTAAATTTTCACAAAGATTTGTTAAGAATTTTGCCGGGGACCCTGAAAAACTTTGCTATATCCGTGAATTCACTATATCCGTGTTCGTACTAAACGAGTTTTACTGTACTTGTAAAAAATGGTACATGTAGGGAGAGAGTGCATAAAGGGAAAAGTAAATGATGAGAAAACTTGAATGACTTTCTTGCAGAAAAATTGCAAGAATTTTTTTTTCTGTTTTATATTGTTATTTTGCTCAAAACTATGATGTGTCACTTAATATTGCAGACAAGGTTTGAAGACACAGCTAGGATTTCAATTTTCTGGCAGCTGTTTTTTGTGCTCATGCACACAAAGATCTGCACAACATGAACAATGGAAGTACAGTGGTAGGTTAAATTCTGTGCTCTTTTCAATTTGGCTGTTAGATTTTAATTTTGTGTCTGTGATACTAACCAAATCTAAATTTGTTCTGAAATTGTTTCTGAAGGAAGATTTCATTCAGAATTACAGATAAAAATTCAATAAAGATAGCAAAGAAATATTTTTTTAAAAATGCATTCTTTAGGTACATGTAAATTGTAGATACATACATGTAACTGTTATTTACATTCAGTGTCCAGTTCACACATTCTATTGCCTTGTAGGTCGTGACTCTAACCAAACATCGAGGACTTGGAAAGCCTGAAGATGAGCAGCTCCATACTCTGCCACTACATGTAATGGACATGTCGGATGAACACGGCAGCACTGAAGCTCAGTTTGAGAAGGCTAGGAATGGTTCTCTGGAAGTGCTTCAGTACTATCCCATGGAAGCTAGGATGCGAGCTGTGCCCTTAACTCCAAAGAAAAAGAAGGGAAAGAAAGGCGGCTCCATGCCTGCCAAGAAAGGAAGACCATTCAAAAATCCAGAAAATGCACAGAAATCTTCCCCATCTTCAGCTGAAATAAAGCAGAATAGTGTTCAGGATGGAAACAGGGGTTTGCCTAGTAAATTCACTTTCAATGAGAACAAACAGTTCTTAACTTATGATGATATGATGAAATTATCTGAAGAGCCAGGGTTTGCCAATATGTATGATTCTTTCTGGAATTACTTCTACAAGTATGGAACATTCCCTCCCCCAAATTTTCTACATTCAAGTGAACTCAGAAACCAAATGGCCAGTAAAACTCCATCTGTGATACCTACTAATTTATCATCGGACTCCATTAATACTCAGGGTCATCCCCATGGTGCTGAGAAGTCATATCAAGGTCAAGGTCAACCTCCACCTCCGACCCTTGACCCCAACACCAGGCAGCAGCCAGAAACCCCTCTTGACTTGTCATCCTCAGGGTCCACATCACAACTCAAGGCAGCAAATCATGAATCTGCAGCACATGCACCATCAAATCAGTCACCTTTGGACATCTTGTCAGATGTCGTATCTATGATGCCCTACTGCAACACAAGTCTACCTCAAAATAATTACAGCAAAGATCAAACACTGAATCAGCAACATTCCAGCAACTGTGAACAAGTGCTCAACAATGCGGAGGTTTCACCGGAGTCACTTCGGCAGTCATTCGACGACAAGGTGAAAGAGGCAGAAAATGCTGGGAGCCACATGAGAATTCTGGATCCCACGGTCGTCAAATGCGAAATGGAATATAATGAAAATGCTTTCCGTGATCCAGAAATAGGAGGAGTGGCCATTGCTTTGCAGCATGGAGCAGTACTGTTTGAAGTGGCCAAGAGAGAATTACATGCCACCACTGGTTTACGAAATCCAAATCGGTATGAACCTACAAGAATCAGTCTGGTATTCTATCAGCACAAAAATCTCAACTACAAGAACCATGGCTGGTATGAACATGAGAAGAAGTGCGAGATGTTGAAGCAGAAAAGACTGGAGAAGATGCATTTGGAAACGAATAATTTAGTACCAGATAGTGTGAAAGAAGGGGAGAAGAAGAAAGGGAAGAAGGAGAAAAAAGTGGATTTTTCCAAGACGTCAGCCGCTCAGTACAAGTACATGCTGCAAGCACCTGCAGCTAGTACTGTCACTCTGACCACAGACTCTGTCATCACTCGATGGATCGATCCACAGCCAATGGTGACCGGTCCGTATCAGAGATGGGTTTGAATTTTTACAATCTCTGCAGCGTTACAGTTGGATGGAAATTATCATTTAAAAATGCAAAAAAAAAGAACAAATTTTGAACAAAAAAGCCTTTGACATATCTTCTGGGATGGAATTTTACCTTCATTTATTGTTAAGAAAAAATTATATTTGATAGAAAGTAATTTTCTCTAAAAGTGTTCATTAACTGTTTTCTAAAATGTATTTTTTTTTAAGAACATGCATGTTTTTGATCTTTTGTCTTATCAGGTGACAAAATGTATATGCTTTCACCCTTGAGATCTATTATTGGGGATGACAACAATGTATTTATTTCTGATACAAATTTATGTAGGGCAGCAGATTCTGTAATGTTGTGCATGTAAGAAGTAAGAATACATGTGTTCTGAATGCAGGTGATTTTTATTCTTGATATATCAAACATGCAATACATTTAACAACTTAGTAGATTATCATCGATTGTATTAAAGATCCCAGATGTATAGGGGCCCAGAGTAAGGTTATCACTTAGAGATAATATATACTGATGTTTCTGCTGATATACAGTAATATGCTGCATGTTATTATTTTGTTATTTATTAAGGTGTTGCAATGGAAGATGTTCTGTATTGACTTTTTATCTCTCAAAGTTGTTCAGATTAGTGCATTTAATTTCTTCATTTTTGCTTGCTTTTTAAGTGTTAAAATATTAGATATTTATATTATTTTATTTATTTTCATCTGTTCATGAATGAATCTTAAAATATGTGCAAATTCGTTTAAAGAAAACAAACATTGATTTCTTCAAATATAAGAGAGAAGTGCACATTTTTGGCAATTTTTCAATTTTATCTTGTTTGTTAGAAGTAGAATTTTTTGTTAAGTTTATGAATTGTTTTTTACATTTTTTGCTCGAGTCTTAAGTCTGTGATTTTATTTTGGGCAACAGTTTGAAAGCCTTATGAATGAAATGTTACCTAAATAATCAATTTTTAAGAAATAATGATGGATTTTACAATAATTATCTTAAAAATAATATGTACATAGAATATTTTGTATATAGTATTCATATTATTTTATTAATGAATTCAGAATTCCCATGTTTATTGAACATTCTCAGGGAAATGTAAACTTTTTTTTACATCAGCCTACTTGCTGAATATGCCAGTTTATAATCACTTTATAAATTCTGTGATTTCAGAATGCTAAGCAATATGCTATGATATTCTAAACAAAGTGCTAAGCTGCATATAGATATGAATTATGATTATTTTTTTAATCTGCTTTTTTTTTCTTACTTCTTTTCTTAAGATTTTGTCTCAAGTTTTCTGAGGGAAAAAATTTAAATTTCAACAAATAATCAAATGACTTCTGTATTTACCTCTATAATAAAATTTCTTCTCCATTTCACTGTAAAAAGAACTCAAATGCTGAAATCCATTTGTGATACACTTTCACATTAACATTCCCCAATCAAAATTTTATTATTTTAGAAAATTTATTCAATATACAAAATGTAGGGCAATGTATTTATGTTACTCATGTAAAACAATCGCTTTGTGGTCTGAAAGAATGAATATGTAAGATCATTATTTTTTTCTCAATTGTAAAAGAATTGGGTGTATGGGGGTGAAATATTTGGTGAAGTATCAGTTTTTTATTCTCTATCAATAGTGCTTTAATGACTTTCACAATTTGTCTCAGGTTGAATTGACTGCCATGTTGGGTCAGAGTTTGATGTAACATTTGAAACAAAATACAATATTTAATTTATGAATTCTAGCTAACTTAAAGTGCCCTTTTTGTTTCTTTTTTAAGTACAATTTTTCTTTTTTTATATAAAAAAAGCTTCTGTGTAACATGTGAATTGTAAAAGTAGTGAATAGACAGACATAGTGATTTGTGTGGAACTTGAATATTGTGAACATTGTGTTGTTAGTGTGCACAGATATCTAAACTTGTAAACATTAATTATCGAGCAGCAGTTCATCTCTATTATGGACATGATGTTCAAATATATTATACAGAGTATGGTTCAAACCATAGCGGAAATAGCTGTTTCTTATAGATATTTGTATGTTAGTGTAGATAATATAATTTAATGGAAGTATATATTGATATATATATGACTTAATTATTAACAGACTATAGATTTAAACAGAATCATGGTTCTGTTTTGTCCAATAAAAGTCATCAAAATGAATTCCGTTTCTGCTCTTTTTTTTTTCCTTTGAGGCTTATCCAGTGAGGAGAAAAATTCAACAGAGCAAAGAAGTATTCGAACTCGGGCCCACAAATTACTAGTCAGTTGCTCCATCAGCTTAGGAATCATCAGTAATCAAACTGTCCTGGCCTACATTCCTCTCTTCTTAAGGGTCTTTACCCAGATGACATGAACCCAGGCTCTTCACTGGCAAGTACATGTATCACTTCCAGAGCGTGGTCACAGTACAAAAGTAAATGTAGGGGTTTCAAACTAGCTCAATAGAAGACCTACTCCTTTTGTCTAAGGAAAATAATTCAGAATCTGACAATGGCTGCATCTTTTAAAATATAGCAAGATTTAGCCTAGCTGCAGAACTGTAGCTCTCTGCTTGAGAAAATTCGGCCAGATTTAAGCGTTGTGAAAACCTTCTGTTTACGTCGCTGATTTTTTGTCGCTCACTTCAGATATTATTTCCTGTAGTTGATGGTTTTTTATGCTCTTTGAATGGTATACAATAATTAATCATATATTTTACTCCAATTATTGATACTTTATTTACATACTTTTCAACATCCAAGACAGTCCTCTATGGATTTCAAATGTAGGTTTCAAAGATTCCCATTTTTACGTTCACTTGCTTCCTGAACCGCTGAAACGTAAATAAACAGTTAGGAATAGGAGATAAGTATGGGAAATTATTGGATATCATATAAAGCTGGAAAAACATAAAATATAAGAAATAATACCTGAAGTGAGCGACAAAAAATTGTTGGCGTAAATCGAAGGTTTTTACAATGGATGGATCTGTAGCTCACTGCTTTATCTGTCCAAATTTTCTCAAGCAGAGAGCTACAGTTCTGCAGCTAGATTGAGCCACTCAAAAAGTAGGTCAAAATGAACTACTACTGGGTTACGGGTAATGTTCCAATCTACATTTTCAAAATATCTTGTATCAAAATCACTCGCGTACAAAGTTTTGCTGTAAGGTTTGAAAATTTCATTGACCCATTACACTAATAAATATGTAGTGGATCTGACCTTGACCTTTTCATACTTCAGAACAAAACTAATTTTCCTTTCAACTATGGACATATACAATCCTCAACCCATGTGAGCTTATACATGTAGTTTCAGTTATTTTTACTGTCCTCAAAGCATATGGACTTTCCCCTATTCATTTCATGTTATCACTTCACACAATCACACATATTTTGCATACCGGTCATTTATTGCCTAGCCAAATACAGGATCCCTCATATACAATCTACACTTCAAATTGTAATGTAATACATTCTAAAATGTACTCATTAATCAAGAGATTCTTATCATATGGAACATTTCTTAACAATAAAATGAAAGACAGACATATTGTGTGTGGAAGTCCATTATACAGAAAATTACTACGTTTTATAACATTAAGTAACATAAACTGCTTTTTTAACCTCCATAATTATTAAGAATTTGTAAATAAATACAGAAGAACATGTATTTGTGCACACATAGGTACAAGAAAAAAAATGCCAGAATAAATTTCAATGAAAATTAAAATGTTTAAATAAATATTTTTGAATCAAAGTTTATCTTTACATTTTATATAAAGTCACTGCAGGATATATCATGTCAAACAGTGTCGCTCAGATATTTGAATCTAATTTAATATACGAGTTACATGTACCAGTCCAAGTCATATATACAGTCAAAACTTATTTCAAACTCAATGGGACCAAGAAAAACTTCCAAGATATTTGAGTATTACATATACATGTATTAGCCTATCAGGGGTAGAATACTCCAAGAATAACTGGTTTGGACTTTCACATCACTTTGAAATATCCATGGTATTCAAGATGTCAGTGTTCAAGATACTAATATTCATTTTTATATACATGTACTATACTATATAAATAAAACCTACTATTTTACACATGAGATTCAGGAAATACACTTGTATTAATCACAAGAAGTTGTAGAAATCAATACACTATGGCTAGCATAACAAAGTAATCCCAAATTTCTGTCAAATAAATAATTCCTGCCCAAGTTGATGAACGATGGAATCTCCAGCTACAGAACACAGAGTGACCTCAGGCTAGGGACAGGGGGGCGGCTCCCGATGCTGGGGGACACACATAGAATGTCGCTGTTTGACTGTAGCGCTTCTGAAAGGTCACAGATAGACAGATTTATAAATAACAATTCTTCATGCATTTTATTGACTAGTTACATGTATTATCTGAATAAAACACAAGCAAGAATTGTATGTGGCATAAAATTTCTACACATCATCTAAATATAGCAGTGAATTACAATCAAGTTAATTATGATTAATGAAGAAGAACTTCAAATTAATTCATTTATTATTTTATTATCAATTTCATTTATTATTTTAAAATTGTTCCTAGACGTGAATGAATTTTTAAAAGAAATTTTGAATTGTTAATCAAATCTATTAAGAGAAAAGTACAAGTATAATGAATATAACACATAAGATGTGGCATACATGTACCTTTAATGAAATACATGTACCGTAGTTTTACTGGTACGGTGACCAGTTTGACAGATAACATTATGGAAAATTTAAGCTCTGAAACTTGCTGCCTCAGGCTAGATAATTAATACCATAAGACAAATCACATTCTTTTTCTCATATCTTTGGTTAACTAAATTCAATTCAATGGAAGATACATTCATTTAATAATTTGATAAATATGTGCACTATCCGTAATTAAAAGTACCCGGTAAATGAAAAAAAAAATTCTCAAAAATTACTATCCTCATAATTTGGTTCAATTTTTAAATTCCTTTTGTTGAGTAAAATGTACTTTATTATTTAAAATTAAGTAGGATTATCCAAGAAAAAAAACCCACAGCATTATTCTGTACTTGTGGGCATAATAACACAACTTTAATTTTCAATGCTTAAAAGGAAAAGTTAAAAAGAACTCAATCCTTAATTTTAGAAAATAAATATAGTTCAGTCAAAACCCCTATTGGAATTGTTTACTTGAGTCATAATTCATCATTCATCCACAATGAAACAGACATGACTGTTGAATGTTTTAGATTGATAAACTAAGACAATGCTAGCAAGTGCATTGCTAAATGTAGACACATTATTTGACAGAACACATTAAGAACTAGTAAGGCTCTGGAATCATGTTGAAGTTGCCTAATAAAGATGGTCTTGACCTTAAATTTTTCACCTTTAAATTGATATGAATGTTGTATTATTTTTAATAATATTTAAATACTATGAGAAAATAACATAAATCATTTGCAGGCACAGTTTACAGTGATGACCTTCACTTTGACTTAGAAGTTACGTAACAGGATTTTCCCTCCTACCTTAAGCATTGAGCAAGTGAAAATGAATAACTTAGATGAATCAACTCCAGATATTCAACATTGAAACATGATGCTGCTTTGACCTTTGATCCACATGATTTTGAGATTTGAATTTCAACAGATAATTTATTAAGCATATGTGAAATAGAACCTCGAAACACTGATCAAATTAGGAGATAATCCAAAAGTTAAGGGGATGTACCCACAACTCCCCTGAAAGGGAGGGGGTATGAATCCTCATCTTACTTTTTGCCAGTACCCTCCCTTCACTGACCTGTATATGCTGGATGGCTTTCTCCACTGCTTCCTTCTTCAGCAGAGTAACGGTGCACCCCCCGAATCCACCCCCCGTCATTCTGGATCCATACACCCCATCTACCTCCATGGCTGCTGAAACCAGCTCGTCAAGCTCTGGACAAGATACCTCATAGTCATCTCTGTAATAAAAAAAACCCCAAATATTACAATGATCTAAGATGTGTAATGACAAAACTTACAAGCTGTTAAAAAACCTCCTTGTAAAAAAAATTCATAGGATCAACTTTCTTCCTGTGTAACTGAATTTAAAAGAGCCAAGATGAGAAAAACTAGATTAGTTCATTGCTGTGAGCAAATATATCAAATGATGTTCTTATTTTTAATAGCAGAGATGATTTGATATAGAAGTTGTAAAAGAAAATCATTTTTTTTACCGCAATGCATTGTGACTCTCCACCATGAGTTTTCCAAATCTAGTGTAATCTCCGAGCTCCAAACATTTAGCTGCCTCTTCTGTTCGAATTATCTCCCCTATTACATGGCGGGCTCTCTTGTATGTCACATCATCTAGTTTACTTTTCATTTCTAAAAAATAAAATTTTAATGTTTCATTAAAAGCTATATACTGATCAATTTTAAAATAGAACCAAAATTTATTATTTTAGACCACAAAATAATCTTCGGAATTTAGAGAATTAACCTTTTCTGAAATTTCATTTAAAGGTCATTTCTTAAAAAAATTATTTCTTCCAAAGGTTTTTTTTTTACACAAAGTAAATATAAAACCCCGGACCATTTGCTGCTCAAATCACATAGGAAGAAACTGACTTTGACACATATTAATTAAAACAAATTCAAAAACAATTTGAAACAAAAAAACAAGATTTGTTCTCATGCCTTCTAAATCCTTCATGGTGGCCTCCCTCAGGCTTTTCTTGCCCATCAGCTGGGCTGCCACTTCGCACTGCTTCTTCCTGGTCGGATATTCAGAACCGGTTAATTCATGCTTCACATTTGAATTGGTTACCAAGACAACCACATTTGGGTCATTCATGGGAACCAGTTGACCTTCCATTGACCTATAAAAGAAATGAAATTATTTGAATTCTTACATGTTTATTTTTGCCAATTTAATTGAAAATTTCATTTTAAGGCATTTTTGCTGTGCAACTTTGTAGGTTTTGGATGGGAAAACATTTGAACTGTACAAATTTGTAACTGTACAAATGATTTTTTCCTTTTTTCAGGTTCCAAGGACTACTGAAAACTCCCATCTTTACCTGCAATCTATAAGAAGAGCATGACCCTCTTGTCCCATGACAGAGATGAACTGGTCCATAATTCCACAAGGCATCCCTGCAAAGTCGTGCTCTGCTTTCTGACAAGCCAGGGCCTTGTCTTTCTTGGATACATCCCCTCCACCATTAGTGAGGACGTCCAGAAAAGTATAAGTGGCTACTTCTAGAGAGGCGGAGCTAGACACGCCCCCTCCTAGAGGTACAGAGGAAATCACAACCGCATCAAATGGGACAACTTTTCCTGAAAAAAAAATTCTTCTCTTTCAGTAGAGTGTTTTTATCTTTCCTGAAATGTGGGAAAGATTTTTTTTGCGCAAACTTGGAATCCCCTTTCAACAAAAAATACTAACAGGAGGAGGTAATTTAATGAAGTGAAAGATTTATATTCAGTAGTATAGTAATGGAAAGAAACATAGCAACAGATTAGCTTATAATAAATGACCCAAAACATTCCTTTAATCAATTTATTGCAAGTCATCTTTGCTAGCCAAGGGTTACCAATCTGAAATCTACTCAACAACAGAGAGATTTCGGATCAGAAACCCTTGCCTAGCACAGATGGTTGTAAGTATGATATTATAATAGAACAAAGCATGATATAATAGAACAAAGCGTTATAACCACAGTTACTGTTAAATGCATATCAAAATAGGCCGGCCGCGCCTACACATGTAATTTCAAAACTTTGATCTTTGATAGAATATTCTAAAAGTGCCAAACCTTTGTAATTTGCCACAACCCCCTTGACGTAGTTTGCCCACTTTGGTGTACCGGGCTTTAAGGGCGTCTCAGCTGAAGGGACTGGGAATTCCACATAATTGGGAGCATCAACTGAGTCCGCAAGAGTGAGAACACGGCAGACATTCCCTTCTGACTTTCTTCCAACAAAAACAGTTACTTGTGGAAGTGCCTGAAATTATTATAAAAGCACAATGAAATTTGAGATCAAGTATGTATAATATTTTTGATAGATCCTGTAGAATGCAAAGAGGTGTGACAAATCCAACCAATGAGAGTAAAACAAATACAAGCCCGTTTTTACCGTTTTATGAGCTCGAGTTATGGAGAAGGGTTAACAGTTCCTAATACATATTCATACAAAACAGTTCCGAAACTATTACACAAATATGTCTTTTTATTTTAAACTTTAATAATTAGAATATTCTTCATATATATACCGAGTCCCGCATTATTACAGGTCTGTCATTGTCAATTTTAAAAGGAAGCTTTTGTGTTTACTATATGTTCAGTCATGTTTCATCAGCTTATTGATACAAAAATACTAAGTTCGCAAGTTTTGAAAAAAAATGAAAAAAATATATTTTTTACCTGAAATAAAATGATGACGCGTCATGCATGATAGTTTATAATTATGATGATCATGATGATGAAATAATGCACAAACCATGGGGAATACAAATCCCTCGTTGTAGTCGGTGTGTTCCCCGATGAGGTTGACCCTCCCCGGGGCATAAGCTGCACATTGTGGTTCACACCCAAATTTGTCAACGAAGGCCTTTTTTGCCTTTGCTGCAAGTTCTGAGATGGCGGGTATCTGTGTAGCTCCTGTGACCTCCATGCTTTCAATAATATAAGAGTTACAGGGTCGCTCAAAAGATAACGGACGTATTGGTCGTTAGATAATTTCTCTAGATTATCAATGTCATGTACATTAGCACATGTTCATGCCATGTCAATATCCTGTCAGACCTGTGTCCTTCTAATTCTTCCATTCTTAAAAACAATAACAAGAGGTCCATGGGCCACATCGCTCACCTGAGCATATTGACTAAGAAAAGGCATAAATCGATCAGTTCATGCAGTAAATGAAAAGTTTATATATGGGGTGGGAGTGGGGGGTTGATTTCAAACTACCTGAGGATGCTCCTATATCAATATAAAATGTTGCTATGTTGTTCTTGAGCAGATTTAAAAAAAAATCCCTCGCATATATTCCTATATGCAAAAATTTTAACTCCCATTAAGTTGGCCCCCACAATACCTCTGGGGTTCATAATGGCAGTGTATGTATAGGTACCCAACCTTATAGGATGCTTCAATATGACTAATCATAGCTTTTCTGTTCTGGGGAAGATTTTTTCTATCAATATACTTTTCTAGTATGCAAAATTTTGACCCCCCTCCCATTATGGATATAGCCCCATCGTTCCCTAGAGGAATGATCAAAACTGCACTGTAAGTTGAAGCTACACAACTTAATTAATATTGAGAATGCCTTCATATCAATTATGACAAAACAAAGCTTTAAATTGCTGTTCTTATGAAGATTTTTATATAGCTCTTATACAAATTTCAACTTTAATTGATCAATCCCTGGCCATTCTGGCCCAGCTGGGTCATATGATTTAAACATAAAACTTGAATCTTAACTACCTGCAAGTGCTCCCATATCAGTAGGACTATAAATATGGCTTTGCTGTTATTGTGGGAAAGGTTTTTACACCCCATCCCCACCCCTCTGGATCAGATCCATCCATGTAACTTCTTTGTTCTATTTGAGATTTCTCCCTGTAACTTTTGAAAAAAAGGTTTGCTGTTAATTTTGAGGCCACTTTGAAAGTACCGGTTAGATTTTATTTGCCATATTTTCATTCAGAAAGAAATTGTAACAATATAGAAATTTCTGACTGAAATTTGATTTTTTGAACTTCAGCAAGTATATAGGATCAAAAAGTGTTTTAATTAATTAAAGGCATAGGTATAGAATTGAATATGAGTAATAGTGAGTTTAACGTAACTTTTGAAAGGGAGCAGGGCGTTAGTTGGTGGCATCATTGCAAGCCACAGACTTTGTGTCCATTCTATTTCCACAAACCCATGGCTGCATGATAGAATGGACACAAAATTAACCTAACAATTAATCAACGAGTGGGGGTAGGTGGTTCTGAATTAACTTGACTTATTCAGTGTTAGTTTTTTCTGGGTCATCCATCCAAATTTTGCAGTCCAGTGAGCCACAGGTATGCATTTGGGCCAAATATAGACAAGAGAGTTTCTAGGCCCCTGTGACTCTTCTAATGGAAATGTGTCTCCTTGTCATCCTGATTAGTTTGCACTCTGTAACTTTCCACAATTTCATCTTTTAAAGAGTCACTAGCATGATGTTATAGAATAAATAAAGGAAGTTTAATTTATTTAATTGAAGATCTTTTGTTTTTCCAATGGGAGATAATGTCTTCAATCGTTAACACTTTATATATACACCATATTAAAAGTACACATATATTTCTTAAATTCTGTGTGATATATATGTATGTATGCAAAGAATAAAGATAAGCAGGAATTTTAATAAGATTGCAACAAATTTTAATAAATACATAAATTAATATATGTCATATCCCTCAACAAAAAATAAATAAGGTAACAAGAAAATATAATGAACACTATCTGTTGGTGAAATGAGTGAAATATAAAAAACAAAAAAATTCTAACATTTTGTAGGGAATGCAAGGTGATTGGAAGATCTGAATTATCAACTAAATATACACTAAAATTAATTTACAACCAAAAGTCATTTTGTTCATTCTGTGATTATGACATTTCTCTTCATCTTTCATAAAATTGTTGGATTTCCAAGACCAAGAATTGAGTTTTTTTAAATGCAGAACTTTGGACAATATGACATGAATTAATTTAAAACAGGTGAATTTGATGACAGAATAAGAGATTTTGTCTCTGCCTGCAAGGTGAAACTAAAAAAAAAAAATCAAATGTATGTGATATCTTTGCACCATATAATAAATATAGATAATTATTTTCATCATTATAAAATATCTATTTGCAAAAAAAAAATGATAAAAAAAAATTATTCTCTCCAAGTAAATTTGATTATTTTTCTTATGCTTGCAGAACTCACTTCATTTGATTTCACATGCCAGCAAAATGCAATGTCAACATTTAAAAAAAAAAAAAAAAGTTAATTAGTTTATACATATATTAACAGTGCACAGTAAAATTCGTTTAGAACAAACATGGATATTGCGAATTCACGGATATAGCAAAGTTATCTTGGATCCCCAACTATATAAATTTAAAAAATTCCTTATACATAACAAATTATGGATATAGCAAAGTTATTTTGAATCCCCAGCTATAAATATTTAATGAATACCTTCTATGGATATAATGAATTACGGATAATAGAAAAGTAATTCCATAGGTCCCAGTGACTTTGTTATAACCGATTTTTACTGTATATTTTTTTTTCATACAGTGAATTTACATGTACATATATAATCAAAATGAATATTGCTACACTAATACTTTTGATCTCCCCCCCAAAAATGTAATGTCCAATTATCACATCTCTATAATTAATGTCATAATATTTTGTAAAAGTTATAAAAACATGATAGTTTTATTGTGCAAAACTAATTCTTGAGATGAGATTCCATTCAAACACATGGATATAAAAATAAAAATCAAATCATATTGTTCACAACCATTTGTATATATACATACATTTATGCCACTTGAAAACTAAAAATAGACCTCTGCGGAAATTAATGTTTTTCAGCAGTTGAAAGCTTTTTACATATTTATTTCATCCATGGAAACATGAAATTCATACATCAGTCATTAATTTCTATAGAAGTAAAAAAAAAATGAATAACCAAAAGATTTCTTTCTGTACGAATCATAAAATAGTTTTTTTTCAACAATATGAAATAGTGTGACTTGGGTATTGCATTGATTTTTATTACCAGGTATTTGAGGACATATTCTAGCAAATACTGTAGAAGTACTTTTTTTCCGTGTGGTATTAATTTACGCTATGTATGCAGCTACAAATTTGTCACATCGAACTTAATGCATATGAAAGGCATATAAGGAGAGTCTTAAGATATGCGCGTAATATGCTACCAGCGGATTGAACAGAAATGGAGATTCTGCGGAATCATGACCCCGTGGAAAAAAGTACGTCTACAGTACAAATTCAGCGTAATATAAGCTAAAATAAACATGGGCTGTTCGAAAATTTCACAAACCATCCATCATGTCTTTTATACTTCGATCATATGACAGTTACATCCAAACTTAGTAGCCATGAATCTCACAATTATAAATTCAAATGAGTTTCATTTATAATCACATGGGATAAAACTTTAATTTTTTGAACTGCTATTAAATTGTACAAATAATTTTAAAGAAATTGTGGAATTATTCCAAAATACTTCTTATTAACAATAACAGCAAATTATTTGAAATATGCAAATGTGCACCTCTAAATCAGGAACAACTAGATGTAAATTCCTTTACAAAAAAGAGGAAGAAAAATCGGTTTTATTTCTTTTAAATTCCTAGGGAACATATTCTCCTAACCATGTTAATAAATCAAGTATTTTTATTACAAAAAACAAAAAGCACCATTTTCACTAAATGATAAAAATAAAGCATAAATATAGGCAAAATATAACAATAAACCTTAACCAAATCTACCAACAAGTAACAAAAATGTAAAAAAAAAAAAAAAAAAAAATTGAATATATATTTTGGGTGGAAGCACAGTTGTCTTTCTTTGATCACAACAGCAGGTGTGTTCTTTCAAAACCTTGAGCTGAAATTAAAGATTAAATAATCAATAATTAATAAGTACATGTATACTGTAAGAGCAGAAACAATCTCATTGACTTGTTTATTTGTTTTGGCCATGTAAGGTTTAGTGTTATCTTGATTAATTATTTGTTTAATTTTTAACTTACCAATGGCACAAAGAGCAAATTTAGCCTGAAAAGATGAAGATGAATTATTCAATTAGTGACCTCTCCTCAGAGTAGATTTAAATTTTGGATACATGAAGAAAACACGACATTGATGCATTTTCTATGCTTACCTCCTCATTTGTTCTGGCTTCAAAAACATAGCAGTTGAATTTCTTGGCTAGGCTGCATGTTGTTTCTCTGTTTAGAAAAATAATTAATATGTTTATGTAGGTTTAAATAAATATAGTGTGTTTTTACAATAACAATATGTCCTGTGCTTGATTCTAATGGAGTGAAAATTCACCAAATCTTTTCCCTTTATCATTTGATATAAGTTTAGATCCATTAATATATATATGTATTAACAAAAATATGTACCTGCACGTACCCATAAAGATTTACTAAAGATGTGTTCTACAAACAAAACTTTATTCAATTAATATAGATAATTAACCCCCATCCCCGCAATCACGCATTTTAACGCATATACCGTTGCCCCGAAATCACGCATTTTAACGCATATACCTTTGCCCCGCAATCACGCACTTTAACGCACATTTCGTTTTTTGACGTTTTCTGCTCTGCTTACACGTAAAGTTTAGATTGTATGATAATAAATGATTAGATAATAAATTTTATTATTCCATGCTAATATATTTTGCAAACAATACTATTTTTCCTCAATTTAATATGTCCGAGTCTCTCGATTTATTGGACTAAACTTGGGATGCCAGAGAAATTAAGAAGGTTTTTCTCTTGACACTAAATAAGCTCACCATTCACTGGTGTGGTGATGTGGAATGGAAGTCACTCAATCTTGTGTGAGATGGAACCCTTGATTCAGAATTTATCGAATTCGACAAATGTTTTTTTTTTTAATGTAAGTGTGTGATAAAATCCTGTGCAGAAATCGACACAAGGAACGTATAAAATTACTAAAGAATTGTAAAGTTTATACATACTCATACAACCGTAGAAAAAAGAGATTTGTTTTCAAGAATATAGCTTTGTTCCAGTTTACATGTAATCTTATGTTACATGTAGTCTCATGTAATCTTTTTCTTGTTCTATTTGAATTTAAATTCGTAAAACCTGATTATTTTCCATCCTTACACATGTTACACAGCAATAAAAAAATACACATACACAAATAAAAAGGAACAGAATAAAGGAACGACAATATCATGTTGAAAAAGAGGTTGATTTAAATTTAAATGATTTCATTATCAAGTTAACGTTTCCGATATTGTTAAAAAAAAGTGTTGCACTTACTCCATCGTGTGTCTTGATTTCTAAACTTATACGTATACATGTATACATAAAACAAGGTATTCGGGAAAATTTTATGCAAGTTACTTAATACTTGTTTGATATTTTTTTTTAAAAGGCAGAACAAACAAGAAGTCTGTGAGCCAATGCTCACCAATAATGCTCCACTCTGATGTGAATTTACACACATTCAGTTACAGGCAGATGCACAAAAAAAAATTAAGTTGACATCAGATTCATATACAAAAAAAAATCCCATTATATGACACGTCTCAACAAAGATTGTGTTAAAATAAAAAGAATCTGCGATGAATAATTGCTTAGAAAAATGCGATAGAATTTTGTTACATGTATATATGTATGGTACGGACAGACGCACGGTAAAACAGGAAGTTGACATGGGATTTGAAAACAATGAAACCACCATATGGCATGCCACAGTAACGAATGTGCTAAAATTTTAAGCATCTGTAATGAGTGCTGCATAGTTGCTGAGAAAACTGCCACCAAAAACTTTGTTACGGACAGATACACAGCTGGACAGACAGAAAAACACACACGGGTAAAACAGTATACCCCCTCTCCTTCGCAGCGGGGGTATGGTTAAATGACATGTCTACTGATTAGTTTTATCAGTCTGTGGGTATATGGTCCCTAATAGAAATATTCCTTGATCCGCCTCGAGTACATTTATATCGTCAGAATATTATTTGAAAATATTCACTTAGTCGCTTTCACATGTTTAAGAAAACATATATACTCTGTAGGTTCATGTATGTCAACAGTGCATACTCTAGAAATAATAAGTTTTGTAAAATCTTAATTGGCGAAGTAAACTTTCAAGAAGAGGACGGCGATGTGGTCTGATTGGATTCTTCCACCAGCTATATTTTTATGTTAAACACAAAAAATGCTTTTGGCATCCACTTGTGTATGGACAGTTAACTCGTGACTGTTTTCAAAGGGTAGTGCAGCTGGTAAATACATGTACCATGTAGATACATAAATGAAAAATTTGGACGCTTAAAACTTCATTTTTTCGGTGAACTCAATGCACAGGAAATATATTATTACATTCAGAATTTCCGGCATTTTTTTTCTTCGATCACCAGCTAGCTTGTGAAATAAAGGGACTGATTATAAATTATATATGCATTATATATGCATTTCATTTTACCACAGGAATTCTCAGCATTTTTTTGCATTATTTTTTTTTTGGGGGGGGGGGGGGGTATGCATATTGATATCAATTATTGAATAATTGATCACTCAAAATCACACAAAATTTTGTCAGTGATGTCCCACACACATTGTTGATTCAAATTTAACATATATTTTTTTTAAAGAAAACAATGCTGGAAAACATATTTGAAATAATTGTTTTAATTTAACTCAAAAGTTTAATATGCGTTTCTTTATCCTTTCAGTATAATAACAAGAGAATGATGGGTCATAAAACCCAGCAATGTTCATCATCACATTTTCATTTTTTTTCTCATTTATGCCATAGAAAAATTCTGTCCCTGAAAGCCCCCAAACTATCTCCAATGGGTCATGACAGACAAAATAAAATTTGAATTCTCATACACTGGGAATTCTTCAATTTCAATATTTTTTTTGTTATTAATTTGACATTTATTCCCATTTGATTAACTTGATATAAATACATTAATTCTCTATTGTGGCCACAGTGTACCTCAGGGACTTTGCTTTTAACAAACAACAATCTAAGGTCATTTTGGGGGTGGAGCTGTTTTGTTGGTTTTAACTTAATTTCTATTTTTGGAAACCATTCCTAAAACCAATTTCCAGTAATTAGATGAAAAAAAAGTTACCTTGTCATCTTTTTTGTCAACAACTAGTATGTCTTTCTCTGTGAGTTCTATCCTTACAGGCTACCAATGAAAATGCTTCACATTATTTATATTATGAACATTGTCATATTTACATATTAGATTACTTCTTTCAATATCTATTCTAGCCCATTCGAGTAACCCCCAAAATTAAATGAGAACATGAAAACTTTACCACTCGCTGGGTATGGTTCCTCAGTACCCCTAGAACAGAATCCTCAATTCTCACCACTCTTCCATCCTAACAAGGAAATGTAACAGTTTGTAATTGATACTGACAAAATTTGTAAAAGTAAACCCAAATGGTGGTTTATTTCCAAAAAAGTTATAAAGTCTTGCAATTGTCTGATTCATCTAAAAAAAAAAAAAGTTAAATTTTGTCATAAATCTCAAAAGTTTGCAATATATTTCATTGATTAATTTCTTTAATAAGAGATTTTTTAATAAGCTTAACTTACTACTCCAAGGGGAACATAGCCAAGATAATAAGCTTCATAGGTTGCCCTGAAAAATGATGTAATGGTACATAGTAAAGAAAACCATGCAATTTTCAGTCAAGTGCTAGAAATTCCACAGTTTTCAAGACATTATTTTAATCTCAAAAATATCTCGCCATGAACCATTTACTAAATTCTACATTTATGCCAAATTCTTCCTAGGAAAATTAATAAAAATGGATGTTTTTCATAATGAATAATGAAGAATATGATTTGGAAATACTACAGTCAAACCTTATTATCTCGAACTCAATGGAACTGCTTTGATCAAAAAAAATGCTGTATCAGGGGATTTGAGATACATCCGGGTAAGGCCATATAAAATTGAAATCTTGGTTCGCAGGCCCGCGCGCATCCGTTTTGAGGTAGCCGCATTGCCGATTTTTTTGTATTTTTGATAAAATAAAAAGTTGGTGTTGCGGAGACCAATCCGGGAAAAAAATTCCGACCTCATTTGTTTATAACGATAGTTTTGTATTCAAATATCACTTCCGGTAGTCATTTTCAATGAGATTTTGGCTACCTCGTTTTGTAAATACATTCGAGGACATTACCTACGATGTTTACACGCTGTTAAGCAATGGATAAAGCAGAACTTTTGACCAGAAATGGAAAGTATATCTGTGATTAAAAAAATTATCTTTATGTTAAAGAAATTTCGGAAATTAAAATTTAAAAAAATACCTCCCTCATCTACTTTATTGCCAATAAAATGAAAAATAAAATGCCGCCCTCCCGCATCTGTTTTGGAGAAAATTGGCCTGAGAACCAAGGAATTAAATTTAGATAGCCTAAAATACTTTTTTATAGCGACATGCTTCATAATGTTGTTAACATTATCACAATTTATACCATTACTATGCTATTATGTAGTTTGTAAGTCGATAGGACTTCCTCATCACTTCAACATATCCAGGTATTCGAGAAATCAGTATTTGAGATAACAAAGTGAAACTGTAATTAGTTTACAGTATTTTATCTATAACCTACCCTCCCTCTGAGCCGTGGACGGGGAGCTCCTCTGCGTCCTCCTCGCTGAGTATGGTGTGCGGCGGTTTCTTGTAGCCATTACTGGAGCTATTTTTGATCTGAAGCAGTTCTTCTGAGGTGGCGATGTCAATATCTGCATCCTCTATCAGGTGTTGTATTGGTTTGTACAAATTACCTTGGCTGTCAAATCCCTAGGAAATCACATAAAAAATCCCATCAGATTATCTGTTATAAATTCTGTGTATAACTTCCGTTTAAGACAAATTTTAAAATCTTAATCTATAAAATACATGTACTATAACTGAAAACCATTTTACTATTATATTTAAAATCAAACATATACCATGGTAAAACGACCAAAGCTATCAAGATTGTAACTTTCCTAAAGTACATTGTATAGATTTGCAGTGATCATACCTTCACTACATGGATGTGCAGAGGAAGACCTTTGTACTTTTGCAGAACATTGTGAGCCTGTAAATACATGTATTATACCAATGAATATTTATTTGTTTATCTGTGACATTCACAATATCACATAAATAACATCAATATTTAATTTCTTCAAACATTCATTATAAATGCATAAAAAGAATTAACTTACAGCAGACATTTTGTTCCCTCTAAGTGTCTCACCACAGAGCTCATCAATAATATCACCTGCATGGATTTTGTCCTGAAGAAGACGGTATATGAAGATATATAAATTTTACATTTTTAAGGAGTTGGAAGGGATGGAAAAGTGATTAATAAGGGATTAACGAGGAGTCATAAGGGATTGAGAGACAGGAGTAAAAAAAAAAAAAAGAGGAGGGAACAGGAAACAAGATCGGTAAAAAGAACTAAAAAAAGGTTGAAAAATATGGAATGAGGAGCCATGAACAAGGAAGAAAAAAAGGGAAGAGGAGTGGAAAAAGATAGTGGAGTCACAAATTAGAACTACATGTACTGGAAAGAAATTATGATTAACAAGAGGCCCATGGGCCACATCGCTCACCTGAGCACTGTGGCTAGGAAAAGTAGAAATTGGTTTATTATTGAAAAGTTTAAATCCAAAAGTAGTCCCATGACCAATCATGGATTTGCTATTCTTGAGAAGATGATTTTTGAAGAATTTTCCTATATATTTCTATGTAAAACTTTGGATTTTGGTCCCGCCCTAAAAAAAACTTGAATCTACACTACCTGGGGATGCCTCCATATAAATATGATGAAATATGGCTTTGTCATTCTTGAGAAGAAGATTTTTAAAGAATTTTCCTATATATTTCTACGTAAAACTTTGGTCAGCCATTTTGGCCCCGCCCTACCCCAGGGGGTCATGATTTGAACAAACTTAGGATGCTTCCAAGGTTTCAGCTTTCCTGGCACAGTGGTTCTTGAGAAGAAGATTTTTAAAACATGCCACCAAATTTTTATGAATTCCCAATTATCTCCCCTTGAATGAGGGCGTGGCCCTTCATTTGAACAAACTTGAATCCCCTTCACCCAAGGATGCTTTGTGGCAAGTGTGGTTAAAATTGGCCCAGCGGTTCTTGAGAAGAAGTCAAAAATGTGAAAAGTTTACAGACAGACGGACAGCTAGACAGACGCCGGACAAAATGTGATCAGAAAAGCTCACTTGAGCCTTCGGCTCAGGTGAGCTAAAAATGTGTTTTACGGGAAAGAGCAGAGTAAGGAATAAAGCCTAAGAAGTAGACTGGAGGCAGAGTAAGGAATAAAGCCTAAGAAGTAGGCTGGATGCAGAGTAAGGAATAAAGCCTAAGAAATAGGCTGGAGGTAGAGTAAGAAGTATGGCCTAAGAAGTAGGCTGGAAGCAGAGTGAGAACTATGAAGAAAGATTCTGTGTCAGTAATAAGTTCTTGAAACTTACATTTTCTTCTGCCACACTTCCTGGTTCAACGGCTTTCACCAATAAAAACCCATTGATATATCTATAACAATATCAAATGAATTAGAAAATAAACAAATAAATGCTGGAGCAAAAATTGTATGTATTCCATATTTCAGAAATTGTAGCTAAAATTGTGTTTGATACTCACTGCACATGAAGCCCAAGGTTGTCACATGGTACAAGTTCATACTGTCTGTAAATCTGAAATCAGATGGGAAAAATAGTTTGCAACTTATTCAATCAATAACAGGCCCACAGTCCATATTACTTGAAAAGACTACGTGAAAAATACAAATTGATCTACACTATATGTTTTAAAGAGAAAGATAAAACTAGAACTGTCCAAACGGGACAAAATACCCCCCGCTGGGCTTTTTCAGAAGTAAGTTTTTCCATAATAAAGATACGTATCACACATGAATCATGAAATTTTTCTTCCAGTGACCTTGAACTTCCCCAAATGACCTTGGGTCAAGGTCATGACACACCCTTGGGTCATGGGCAATCCTTGGGTAGAGAGAACCTACCAAGTTTATCCATAAAAAAGATGTAGACCGGATATATGAACTTTTTCTTCCAGTGACCTTGAACTTCCCCAAATGAACTTGGGTCAAGGTCATGACACACCCTTGGGTCAAGGGCAATCTTTGTGTGAATTGAGAACCTACCAAATTTATCCATAAGAAAGATATGGACAGGACACAAATTATGAAAATTTTCTTCCAGTGACCTTGAACTTCCCCAAATGACCTTGGGTTATAGTCATGACACACCCTTGGGTCATGGACAATCTAAGCGTGAAATGAGAACCTACCAAGTTTATCCATAAGAAAGATATAGACCAGACACGAATTATGAACTTTTTCTTCCAGTGACCTTGAACTTCCTCAAGTGACCTTCGGTCAAGGTCATGACACATTCTTGGGTCATGGGCAATCTTTGCACGAAATGAGAACCTACCAAGTTTATCCATAAATAAGATATGGACCGGACACGAATTATGAACTTTTTCTTCCAGTGACCTTGAACTTCCCCAAATGACCTTGGGTCAAGGTCATGACACACCCTTGGGTCATGGGCAATCCTTGGGTAGAATGAGAACCTACCAAGTTTATCCATAAAAAAGATGTAGACCGGACACGAATTATGAACTTTTTCTTCCAGTGACCTTGAACTTCCCCAAATGAACTTGGGTCAAGGTCATGACACACCCTTGGGTCAAGGGCAATCTTTGTGTGAATTAAGCATGAAACTACCAAATTTATCCATAAGAAAGATATGGACAGGACACAAATTATGAAAATTTTCTTCCAGTGACCTTGAACTTCCCCAAATGACCTTGGGTTATAGTCATGACACACCCTTGGGTCATGGACAATCAGTAGAATTTGTGAAATGAGAACCTACCAAGTTTATCCATAAGAAAGATATAGACCAGACACGAATTATGAACTTTTTCTTCCAGTGACCTTGAACTTCCTCAAGTGACCTTTTCATGACACATTCTTGGGTCATGGGCAATCTTTGCACAAATTTTAACCTACCAAGTTTATCCATAAATAAGATATGGACCGGACACGAATTATGAACTTTTTCTTCCAGTGACCTTGAACTTCCCCAAATGACCTTGGGTCAAGGTCATGACACACCCTTAGGTCATGGGCAATCTTTGTGTGGAGTAGTAGTATCTAATGTCCCTCTGTAAGAAAGATATGGACCGGACATGTTTGTACAGACAGCTAGACAGATGGACGGACAGACAGACAGACAGACAGACGGACAGACAGACAGAAGGACAGACGGACAAGGTTATTCCTATATACCTCCCCAAACTTCGTTTGCGGGGGGTATAAAAATATATTCCATTTATTGCTATAGACATTTGTGGCCTTGTCTTCATGATATGAATTGAATCTATAAATGTACACAAGGGTATAGATTAATCAAATTAATTAAAACTGATTGGTCCCAGTGCTCTTCAGAAAGAGCTTAAAAAGTTTTCTGTCTATATTCCTATATAAAACTTTGTTACCAGATGTTGGCTTTATCCTATAACTGTATGGGAATATATTTAGAACAAACTACATGTAGTTTCTTGCCTATTTAATGTGGCACTTGCAGTTTCCCCCTTTTTGGAATATTTTTTTTTATTCCTATCTAAAGCTTGGCAATCCTCCTTCCTCCCCAAAATGATTTTTATTCCCGTTTGATACATGTATCTATATTTAGATACTTACAGGCAAATTCCATGTCTTGTCCAGGAAACTTGCATTCTGAAATGATAAATATTTGAATTATTCAATAATTAATGAATTTAAACACACTATTTTGACCCTTTAATATACTATAGTAGCAATGATTTTATAGACATTAATATTTCCACAACATATGTGGGGTTCTTATGTGATATCCTAAATGTAAGCAAAAATTTAACTAAAAAAATGCTAAAAAAACTCACATGAATTCTCAACTGGAAGTTTGCCTCTGTCAACTCAAACAAAAGTGACTGTAGAATTTCTGAAAGTTCACAGAACAAAATATTTCATTTGTAGTAGAGTGCTTATATGTATACAATGGTTTTTTTTTTTTTTTTTTAAATAAGCATGAAACTTACAAAGTTCATTTTTGAAAGAGATACAGTGAGATATTGTTCTAGATTTTTTTTTTTTTTACATCATCGCATATCTTTACCATTCTCCTTTAACAGTGCGAACATACTTGAAGGTTAAATTATTGGTGACAATACAGTAGAATTTGTTTGAAAAAAGAAAATAAAGTTAGTCCTTTTAATAAGCATACCTGCAAGAATTTCATTCCCCAGAATGCTGTCATTTTCATAATACACTTCCTGTAACCAAATCACAAATTTTATTATTCATAATTTACTTCTGAAATCAGACCAGCTGAAGTGTAAAAAATTAGTTATATCCACTGCATTTAACCTTGATTGTGTTCAAGATTGTAGTGGCTAGATTAGCTGCAAGGCTATCTATATTAGGTAGGTCTATCATACACACTGTCTGAATCACCACATTAAACCCTATGTAATGGCTAGGCTAGCATATTGTTCCAAGATCATAATTCTAGATACTGATTTACAGCTATGTAGATGCTTTGATTTTGAATGAACCCTACAATTTAGTTCTCATATTTTAATTTGGTAAATTTATTGTAAAATAAAAACCTAACACTGTCATACCTTAGCTAGCTGTCGATTTTTGGAGATAATTTGTACGGGTACCGTCAGCATTTTCTTCATCAACGCTGATCGGATAAATAAACGACCTCGGCCTAGATCATGAGTCACCTGGAATAAAACAAACTATTCAGTTCTGCATATTAATAACTTATATTTATATGTAAAATAAAGTCATTGTATTAATAAACTCCACTCAAAATGGAGAAAGAAACTTCCCAAAATTTGCATATCAAATACATCTAACATTTTAATCCTACAATACACGCATTCTTAGACTAATGTGTGGTTTTTAAAAGTAATTTCAATCCAAAATAAAACAAGAAGCTAATGGGCCACACTGCTCATCTGAGCCAACTTTGTCTGCTGTTTTTGAAGAAGAAAAGAGATATTTTATTCCCAGTGAAATATTTGCTCCAATATTGTAGCCTCACCCTCACAGCCTTCCTATTCTTGGGGAGAAAATTCTAAAATGAATTCCCCTATATATTCCCATGTATATTTTTCACCCCCCCCCCCCACCATTTCACCAGGTACATGTGAATCTGCACTACTTGGGGATGCCTGCTTATAACTAGTCATGGCTTTATAGATTTATTGATCTAATCTTATTTCTGACTTTTCTTGATTATCTTCCCTTGAATAGGACATTGTCTTTCATTTGGGGAAAATTTCTAAACCTCTTTCACCCAAGAACGCTTTGTACAACATTTGTTTGAAATTGGTTCTTGAGGAAATGAAGAAAGTTAAGAGATTTTTACAGACAGACATTCACTTGAGTCTCCACTTTGGTGATTTAAAAACCAAAAAATTTCTGAATTTGCAATTTTAAAATACCAACCTTCTTGGAATCTTTGACAGTATCAATTACCATCGAAAGTATCGGGTTGCATCTACAAAATAAAAAAAACTGTGTATATATACAGCTAGATAAAGATGATAAAGGGTTTATATGCATATTTATTATAACACGGTATTGGTCCTTCAATGCTTGTAAAAAAAATCAGTCAATTCTTGGTCAGAATGTTTACTAATTCAACTTACCTTTCCTTTGAAAAAGATGGTATTTTTGCCACCCAAGACCAGAAAAATTCACTCTTGTCAAACCATCTGGATTCTATGGGGGGAAAAGATATTAATTTTGTAATTGCTATATATTTTCTTTCTAAAGAAAAATGCCAACATGCATTCACATTTGAATAAAATTTTCAATTTAAATTTAAACAATACAGACAAGTACACTGACATTTCATTTCTAAGATACTTTGGATACAGAACTTTTGACTTACTTTTTTGGTTGATGTTTCAAGGAATGTACAAACTATTCATTCTTATTCAAGATGAGGATGGAAGATGTTTAGTTCTATATCAATTTTCAAATAACTAGGGAACACACTTGCTATGAATGAATGTTTTCCATTAAAAGGCTATCAACTTACTTTTAATTCCTTTTTGAAAGATTTCCTCCAGCACACAACATAGTTTTGCTAGATCTTCATTCTCATCTGTTACAACAATATTATTTGTTCTAAATTCTAAAACAAATCCTGAAAAGAAAACCAACTTATAATGTACATCGTAGGTCTGCAAAGAAATGTTTCATTTATGTCTCAAGTATAATGAATAATTTTTGAAACAACACAGCTATAAAATGTTTACGTTGTGGAGTATATACAGATATAGGTGTGTGAATATCAGTCTGCCAATTCTGACAATTGATGAAAAGTCAAGTCTCAACTCTAACCCATGGCGTCTGGCATAACATGCCAATGCTCTAGCTCTAACCTATGCGCTATTGAGACCAGATATACTTACCATTTTTCACATAACCATAGACCTTGGTTTATGCATTGCTTTGATCTGTACACATGCATTGTGGTGGTTATAGATCTAAGTGGTTGTCAGCTCTAGAACAAGTATTGCATTTTTATTGTAAAAATTAAAAAGGAGGGGAGAAAATGTACCGAACCAGACTGAAATTTAAATCCCCCCCTCTCCGATTCAAGATAGGATCGAGCTCTATCAAATGAGTTATTTGTCAATTATAAAATGATCTGCCTGGTTGCCACATTCTTCTTTCTCCATTTCTTTGCCCCTGATCACACCAACACAATTTCTCCTTATCAAATGAATGTTTGTTTTATTTTAAATGTCAATTATAAAATGATCTGTCTGGTGTATCTGCCAAAATCTTGCCTACATCCTCTTCCTTAATTTTGTTGTTTAGTTTTTTGTTTTATTTATTCATTTATTTATTTATTTATAATAAGGACCATTTCAATTTTGCTTTCATGGGTTATCCTGATTAATTAATGGCACACCAACACAAAATTATTGCTTTATATTTTAAATATTCCTTATTTAGATCTTTCATATGCATTATTTATATTTGTACCACCCTGTATCATACATTGATTTTTACCCGAATAAATCTACTACTACTAATATCTGTTCATCTGTCACTTCCAACTAGTCACACTTACATCATCAGTTGCTTAATGCTTATAGCATTCATAATAAAAAAAGAGAGAAACCGTAATGTATTATTACATACCCTTTAAACGTTTCAGCAAAGGGTCACTGACTGACATTTCTGCAAGTACCCTCTATTATCGAAAATATGGCAAAATTCATCGTTTGGAAAAACTGAATATCAAAATCGGATATCGACCAGGAGTCATAAAATACAAAACCGAAAACAAAATCCTTTTCCGGATTGCGTCTCTCTCTCAATAATTCCATTTTCTGAAAAACAAAAAAGGGAAGAAATTGCTGTTCAACATTTTAGGTACATAAAACCAGCATTTACAGGTAATTTATTTTGCCCTCCCCCAACACTCGCAGATCACTTCAAAATTATATTATAAAGAAAGATGACAATTTCAAAAATTATACAAAACTAATTTTATAATTTTAACATTAACCTTGGGTTGGGTTTATCGGTAGTCCAGCACATCTCTGAGCAGTTCTTTTATGACTATTTTTTTTTTTAGTTTGTCTAGAAAGGATACTAGGCATTTTTCTCTTACTCTTTTGATGATGTGACGAATATATAGCTTACCATACATACTTAAGTATAGTATACCATGTATATACAGGATATAGCAACTAAAATTCTTTTACATGAAATGAAGCTTTCAACATTACGAAAGTCCACCGTCAATCGAGCTCATTTTTATAGGTTAAAAAATTTCGCGTTATAACGCGCAACACTCACGTTATAACACCCAAACCATCGCAAATAAACGCGCAATCTTTCCAACGCGAAACGCTCGCGTTATAACGCTTAACTTTCGCGAATAAACGCAAAATTTTTGCGAAACTTTCGGTGTTAAACTGAGAGATTTTTTTTTATTCCATGAAATTGAGCTTAATGGGTTATCTTATGCAACGTATCATAATTAGAAAAATATTACATATCAGTATATCATCTTGCGTTGTTTTCGTTGGGTTAAATGTCCTTCAATAACGTTAACGCTTCTCAATGTCTTCCCCCGCTTTATCTTCTTTACACAAGATTTCAAGAACAGCTGGTTTTACATCAGTAGTGTAAATGGACCTAGACGAAGATCTCAATTTTACTTTGGCAGGTTAACGTACTTGCTGGGGTTATTTCAATTTCTACTGAATGCGAGCAAAGTTGCTTTTTCAAATGATTGACTAAATAACTCTGGACATCTGGAATGTATCTCTCCTCTTCCCAATCTTTTGTGCCATTAAAAAAAACCCAATCTAGATTAAATAAATTTGTCCTTTTGCAATCTGCTAAAACATTTCCCAAGTTGATTTGAATTTGCCCTAAATTTAGGGAGGGAAAATGTAGATGACATCGCGCACAGAATTGAATTTTGAGTATGTGGAGATTGCAAACTTATGAAAGCCCATGGAGCTCATTTTCGTAAGTTGATTGATAATTTTTTTTTGAATAAATGCGTAACTTTCGCATTATATAGCGTATCTTTCCAGAATAAACAGAAAAATTTCGCGTTATAAAGTGAAACTTTCATGTAAAAACGTGAAACTTTCACGAATAAACGTAAAACCTTCCCGTTAGAACCGAAATTTTTTTAACCTACGAAAATAAGCTCATTGGGCCTTTGTTATTGGCAAATTATCAACATATCAAGCTAAAATTTTCAACTCTTCTTGAACTTTTGTTTTTCGTTTCTCATAAATACTGTAAGCGTAAAATACAAAATAATAATTTTACTGCATTTTTGATATTCCCTGATATAACTCTGTTGTTTTTAGAAGATATCAATTTAGAAGATTTCAAAGCAAAACTTAAACATCCTACTGTTAAACCCCTCCTCCTCTGTTTGCTTCTATATTACAGAAATTAAACTTTGAAAAGATAAAATACTAGTAATGAACAAAATAAACCCAAAATGACAAAATACAGTATACAGTTTAACTTTGGTATCTCAAACTTTTGTATCTCTGATATCATTAATATGTCAAAGTCATTTGGAGGTCCCAACCACTTTTTCTGTATTTTACCCTCAATATCTCAAATCCTTGGAAATCCTGAATGTTTTGCTTGATCTCAATAAGTCTGAGATAATGGGGAGTGACTGTACTTGTGTAAAAAAAAAAGTGGCAACACAAAAAATATGACAAAAAAAAGACATTGTTTCTTATCAAGAGATTTATTGACATGGTTTTCTTTCAGAAATGTTTCATTACTCAGTTTGCATGTCATGTGGTAAAAAAACGTGTTATATCAAAATGAAAATCATATATTGCACCTTTGGTTGCATCATAAAATAAAAGATTTACAAATCCACATTTCATGTGGTAAACAAAAGAAGAAACTTAAAACTGGAATGTGCAAATGTGTAAATCCCGTATGGTCTTAACATAACACTAAATCACGTCTCCGGACAAGTGTCTTAAATAAGATTAAAATGAAAGAAATTATTGTGATATGCACCACTGAAAATCAAACCATGATATATCAAAGAATAAAATTGTATGAAACATGTATGTTTATGTACATGTATTTCCAATGAATCCATCATAGAAATATTGTCTTGAGTATCAATCACTTTTGGCAATCACAACAAAAAATCAGGGGAAAAAAATCAAAATTAGTAAAAAAATATCTAGTTTCTTTACACACTGATTAGACATCATTGCAGTTTTTCAAAAATAAAAAAAATCCTTTTTTAGTTTTACTATGAGATCGGTTTAACACTACATGTTTGTGTCTTTCTTTTCCTGGGCTGATGTTACTTTGTTAACAACCTGTGGCACAGCAATCATGATTAGAGCACACATGATGAAGTAGGATATTCTGTAGGTGGATAGGGTCCCATACAACACCAGTAAGATGGTTAGGATATACACAGCTATACAGGACGGGAAATAGTGGTCCCTGAAATGTAATGTAAAGTGTTAAGTTAATTACGACTTCCTGAAATGTAATGTAAAGTGTTAAGTTAATTACGACTTCCTGAAATGTAATGTAAAGTGTTAAGTTAATTTAGTGATTTTTCCTTCAAAAATTGTGGGATATAATTTTAGCATGTTCACTAAAGAGGCTTTTACATAAATACAAATTAATTTTTAGTATATTCATGCTCATTTATTGAAATTAATTGAAATTTTGAAAAATTTTTAAGAGTTTATATATTTCATATTACCAGGTAATAGTGGCTCAACTCTAATTGATTTTTTTTCTTTGTCCATACTCCTTTTGTAAAAAAAACAAAGAAAAATACAAGAAGCCACAGGGCCTAGAATTGCTCTTCTGGTAAACTGTACATCCTTATTTTAAAAGTAGGTCAGCAGGACCTACATTTTGGTTAACACACTCTAAGAACCCAAAGTACTTCAGCTGACAAATTTTCATGATTTTTACATTTATTTCAAATCAACCCCCATGTTTTAAACTTTTCAAAATATTATATACAACGTGCGATATTGTCTGGAAATCCCAAAAGTGTGAACTTAATTCATTTCTCAAAGTAGCTTAATAGGTTACTTTTGCACAATGTCACATAACAAAGTCATGGTGTTACCCCCTTTTTTTTCAAAGAAGTTCCATTCAGTGCTCATGTACTTCTTACCTTCCCCACCGAAAATCGATCATCACAAGTCTCTTATACATAAAGTCAGGGCTCCCACAGACAAAAATGCATTACAGTTTGTTTTGCTTTTTTGTCCATTTTGATATTTCTTTTTTCAATGCACAACGATGTTTTTCATAAAAAATAGCAGTGATGTCATATAATTTTCAATTTAAGACTAGAAAATGATGTAATTTTTGTCTTTTAAAGTATTTTGCGTTTAGGCACTTTTAAAAGATGCTTTTTAATTGTCTTTTTCATGCTAAAAAAAAGTACACTTGAATTTGTGGGAAAAAAAAACATCTTATTTCAGTTAAACATTATTGAATGAGAAATCTTTTAATTTTTATATTTGTGCATATATATACTTTTTAAAATATAAAAGATATTGTGACATATTTTGGATCAACAAGACAAAGTTATCAAAAAATTCATTATTACCATTTCTAACAGTGTGAACCTGTTTTCTTTAAATACAAAGTTACTTTTAGCACACTTTTAAAAACAAAGGGAATATTCCCTATATTGCAATGATCATTTCCTTCCAGAGGGAGGATCATCACATATAAACAGGGCTCCCACGGACAGGATACAGACAATGGCCGTCACACAGCTGGGGTCGCTGAATATAAAATTCTGAGTTATTCATTATAAATGCTTAAAAAAAATTGTTTTTAATTAATTTTCCTTTCTAACAGGAATGTAATCTGATCTTATGTATACATATTTCCGTATACTGTTGAAAGCTTTGCACATATTTTCTGCTTTGGTATGTTTCTGGTATAAAAATCTGAAATACTAACTGTATATTCCTGAGCCACACAATCAGTGGAGGTAAGTTTAGGGCCGTCACCCACATTAACAGGAGTAGAACAGTCAGGTATAAATTATAGCGAGACTGTATACGGGACTCTAGGATGTTCTGACGTAAAATGTGATAGGTCCTCAGCACCTGTACAAAATATACCACATTCAAATCTATCTAACTGTCGTAGAAATACTGAAGGATGTAAATACAGTAAAACCTTGTTATCTTGAACTTGATGGAACAGACAAAAAAATTCTAGACATGCAAAGATACAAGATATCCAAAACACAATGCTTAAAAAATAAGGGGTTAGGACTAAAAAAATCCCTTAGACATATCCATGGTATTTGAGATATTAGTGTTTGAGTTCTCAAAATTCAACTGTATTTACAGTACGTATAACTTGATAACATCACCTTACATTGGAATCATTATCATCCCTGTAAAATCTTAAAGTAGGGTTTTACAAACCACGAAGAATATCTAAGGCAGTAAAGTTTAACATAACATTTTACCTTAACAATACAGATGAAGTAGCAGATAATAAGACCCAGTGTACCACAGAGTCCACCAGATAACACTAAGGCTAACACTAGGAATGTTTGTACTAATCTATCACCACTGGCCGGAACAGGACAACTGAAATAGTGAAACATGGACTACATGTCTAAATATATTTACCAGTATATTAGTATTCAGATATCTGAAATACATTGTGATCTAGTCTTTCAAAACCTTGGCCTTACTGTTTTTCAGAATATTGGAAAAAATACCCCTACTTCACTAACCATGGTAACATGATTTTTTTTTTTGTTTTAAAAATTTCATACGGTCAAAAGGAGTCCATATATTTTGATGCAAAACTCATTTAGCCTAATATTGCCTCAGGTGAGCTAAGAGACAAAATGAGAAAAAAAAAGTTCACAAAGATTTACAGAAATCATGAAAAGTTTTTAAAAATTTCTAAGTGGTTCAAAATATGGAACATGGTTTTCAACTTGGGTTGCAATGAAGTAAATTTTACCATGAGAGAAGAAGACTGGCAACACGACTCAGAAATTTCATTCCCAGGTCAATCACTAGACACTGGAAGTTGACTAGTCCCAGGGCAATCAAATACAGCAGCAAGGGCAAAGGTCGCAACATCAGACCCTGATTGGTCAATTCTTTGGTGTCTGGCAATAGACAACTGTTCTCTCCTAATATATGCTGAATGATTGGAAGTCTACAAAATTAAACTTAAGAAGTGTTAGTGATACGTGAATCACAAAACTGTACATTCTTACAACAATGTGCCAAATTTTACTTTAAAAGGTCTGTTTTCTCACGAAATCAGGCAAAAGATGCTTTTGCAAATATTTCACTGAAATACTAAATATTATATATAATATTAATAATAGTCCCCTATATAAACTATGCAGATGCAATCTTGGGAAGCTTAAAAGCACCAGAGGCTTACTGTAAAATAAAGTTGAGAAACATGACAACTGGTATGATGAAGTAAGGCTTTCCATTGTCTGAGATGGCATCTGATAAAGCTGGACAAATCCCATCTGGAAAAAAAATTCCAATCAATGTGACTACTGTAGATCACTAGATATTCGCGACACCTTATTTTCGCGAGATAGTCATGGACTAATTAATAACGAGACATAATTTTCACGAATTGATGTTTTCTTCTATATATTCATAAGGAATACTTTTATACGCGAGAATGAAATTTTAGCGAGCTCATTGTCTTGCGTAATTACGCGAAAATAAAGTTCTCGCGAATAAAAAGTGATTTACAGTATTGTGTTTTTGGCCTTGCTTTAAATGAGAATATTTCTGAAAGATTTTATTCCCAATATACTCTAAATATACAAAAATAAGCACAGTCAGAATTTAGCACATTTTATTTTATTCATTTAGCAATCAAACATTAGGTCATTTGGAGCAAAGCTCTATACATGTAATGTACAAATACTTCCTCTTATCACATATTAGTCTGTTCTTGAATTAGTAGACAAGGATCACTATGAAACGGGATAAAATATGATTACCTTTAATATAATACTGTAGATTGGTAAATATTCACGATGATTTTAATTTCGCTATGTTCGCGATTTATCATTTTTCCGCGAAATTAAACCCATCGTGAATGTCATTATTAGTTTTTAAAGACAATAAATGTTGATATGAAATTTTTAATTAATTTCTTGAAGCGTGAAATTAAAACCATCACATTTGGTACTATTTGAGATATCGTGAAATTTTAACACCGTGGAATTAAAACGACTTACACTGCATACATGTTAACCTATTGTGATGAAAAATAGGGAGATTCAGACCTCAAAAGCGGTAGCATTGCGCGCGTGTTGTTTAACGCTTGGATTTTCGATATCTTTCATGTAATATAAATGTATATTATAAGCCTTAAATGAAATCAGGTACCTACACTAATTAATCTTAAATATCAACAGCAAAGAAGAAGACAGAAACACCTTAAGTTTGACATAAATTGTACAAATTCAAATATTTTTCATGCTCATCATTTTGCTTGGATTGGCTGCTTTACTTATCCTTTTGAAGAGTGATCTTTGCTGATATAGCCTAGAAGCAATAATTCTGAATGTTCATTCAGTTTTTAAACAAAACAAATGATGACATGGTTTAATCTAGATCTAAAACAAGTTCCTATCTTTCGTTAAGTTATATAAATCAGATTTCCCGCGATGATCGAAAACGAAAGTAGAGATTTGCCACATGGCTTGGTCAATCGAGTGATTTCTATTGACTTTATTGATAAAGTTGTAATGTGCTTTTAAAGACGATGTCAAATGTTTTCATCTAATTCTTAAAAGCTGTATCTCCTTTTTCATGGCAGGGATGTTGATTAATTTATCGTAACCAATGTAATCACTGGTAGTCTTGTGTTGTTGTCGTTGTCAAATCCGTGCTTGAAATCTATGTACAAAAAAAGCGTTTGTATGATTCCGAGTCAAATCACGCGATATCTTAGTGAGATTTTATGAGAGTGGCTTCAAAAATGGATACCCAAGCGAACCAAAAATACTTTAGACGCAGCTTTTGTAGAAAAGCGGTAGATTTCTTACTAGGCGGGAGATTTAATATAACATGTATGCTTACAGTATTTGCTCCTTTTCAAATATTTTATTTTAATTGTAGGGGTACAGTAACAAATGAGTAAATCTCACCTTTTGCCATACATCTGAGTTGATGCACAACTCCCATCAATAGGACAGCCACCATAAAAGCAGGCAACAAGGTTCCATAGAAACGAACAAACTGAAAATAGAAATATATTCTTATAAATATTCTGAATGCTTTTTCTTTCTTAAAAAAACTTATACATTGTACATAAAGTGTAACACTGGAACACATTAAGATCTGTTATCCTTGTGATATTACCTTCCTTCAGGCACAAACATATGTGACTTCTTGACCTTGCAGTTTGACCAACTTTTGCAAAATTTTACCCAACTTTATCCTTAGCCATAACTTTTCAGCAATTGCTGTTAGGGCTTTTGACCTTGACCACAACTTTTAAAAATCTAACCACTTTTGAAAAGTTCTGGCTTGGGTTTTCATATTTCACAAGTTTATCTCTTGTGACAAAATCCTTGAAGATTCCTTGAATACCAATAATTTGACCCTTTGACCTTGGTGTTTGACCTTCTTTTGAAAAACTTTAACCTAAGTCAAACAGTTTGAACAGTTGTTGCTATGGCTTTCTTATTTCAAAAGTACCATGGTATATTCTTTTTGACTAGACCTTGCCATGGGCACCAATAATGTTGATCATCTGACCATGGAGGTTGACCTACTTTTGAAAAAAATTTAACCTTGACCATAACTTTTGAATGTTTGATGCTAGGACCTGAAATCTTATTTCACAGTTATTTCCTTTTTGACATGACAATTTTTGGGTACTTTTATTTTATCTCTTGACCTTGAAATTTAAATTCTATTTGAGAAATTTTAACCGTCATTGTGAGCAGCCATATTCAAGGACATCTGATTTCAGTATTTCACAAATACATTTTATTGTACATTTTACAAGAACAAATTTTCATAAGCATAAAGCATTTGTCTAAAATAGAAGTACAAAAGTAAGCAAATTGACGTCAACTTAATTCAAAGCTACATGAACATCAGAGTTGGACATTTTCTCATAGCTACTGAATGCTTTCCATTGTGAGGTCATAACAAAGCCAATAAATATGAAGAAAGAGAATCAACATCAAACTGAACTGAATAGAAATCAAATCCCTTCACTAATTGTAGTGGGAACAATTCTTGATAAAGCATGGCAGAGCCGAATTAAATCACATGGTTGCAAGTCCCCAAACATTTCTTGTTTATATAGATTTTCATGTCGAAAATTCAAACTCTGGAATTAATGCCGCCTTTCAGATGGGCATGTTTTCTAACTTACACAAAGACGTCTTGTTTTGGGCAGACAATGGCAAAAATAGAATTCTTACAAATTTCAGACAAACTTATCTATCAATTTTAACTGGACTTAACAAACTTCATAGACTCAAAGAATCTGTCTTTGTTCACTGGCTGCCTATTACAGGTAATCATATTTAATGAAAATGTCTGAAGTCTTTGAAATGAACAGAATATTCTTTAATACAGTGACCCTTAATTCACGTAATGCTAAATTTTGCCTATTTACAGATAAAAAAGATTTTTCAAATTTTGATGACTGGCAAAAAATTTTGAATGCTTTAATGTAATTTGATCGATTTGTTCCCAGAATCCTTTTGATGGAGAAGAAAAAGGAACTTCTAATGGTCTCATCTGACTTTACTAAATCACGGGTCCTTTTAATACTTATCAAAATATACTTTAACTTAAAAGTTTGTTGTTCTTGCTTTTCTTAATTTACAGGAACATGTGTAAAACCCGATATTCAACTCCCAATCCGTTAATAAAGAGCTCTTCAGAATTATATCAATACCTGTAACAAAAACTTGAATTTAATCTATACTTCAAGAAAAATTAAATCTTGCTCAAAGACTATTCTGGATGGACCTTACTTAAATATTGATTTGAGGGATGTTGGCACGCACATGTATTTGTATGAAAGCAAGCTACATATAATACAAAAAAATCACAGGGTCATAATTTTTGTATGTTTCAAAGTGCAGTTAAAAAAACATTTAAAGGCTATATGGATTGGTGTTTTGTAAATTTACATTGAACACAGAATTTTAGATATTGATCTATAGAAGTTTATAGCTATAGTTCTCAGTCTTACAATAGCTAGCGAGGAACAATGGCTTTGTGAACTGCATACAAATGGTCAATATTTTTAAAAACATGCCACCAATTCTAGACTTATTATACCAAAATCATTTTTCAAAAGAAATTTTTTCACAGCTCTATAATACTTTTTTAGACACAATACTTTAAGGGTTTTCTCAAATTTTACTTAAATTCATACCCAGTAATTGTAATTCAGGTCCAATTCCATAACAATGCCAATTTAAATTCATTGTTCTCATATTACTTGTAAATTGAATTCCAGTTAATCCATTAATATTATATCACAACAAAAATTTTAATCAACAAAGGTTTTTTTGTTATCACACATTTGAAATTAATTTTTTCACTATTCAATTCAGAACCTATCAGATTTCTTTTCTGTAATTAAACCAATCATTTAGTTTTCCCCTCTCCTTTTAGGAGGTAATGCAATACACTGATTAAATTTCTCTGCATGAAAAGGAGGGAAGTCAGTAGTTTTATTTAAAAAAAGAATAAGTGTCTTGTCTTCTTTGACTTGGCAGAAAATGAATGCTTATTACCGAAAAATAAGGCCTTGTAAGAATGAGAAGAAAAGGCACATGTAGGGAATCTGGATTTAATTAGTTCATTAACAGAATTATCTTGTTTGGTCTAATCTTTAAAAAACATATGATGCTATGGTCACAAATTAAAACAGAAATTATTCTAACAATATAAGTACTTGTTACTTAAATTAGCCATTATACATTTAGTCTTCTCTGATGCTTTCATTGTAGCAAAATAAATCTGAATACCTGGTACATGTACCAGTAACTTTCCCCAATACCCATGTAAATAGTATATATTTGTACTAGTGTTGGCAAATCGGACGATTTTTAGTAACCGGTTACTCGCTCAATCTTCCGATCGAGTACCCGGTTACTCGGATGATTTATTCATATGTATCATGTATCTCATCTTTTAATCATCGGTTCTAATAAAACACAAAGGTATTGTGAATTAACTTTATTTATAAACTTAAAAAGAACACGCACGCAATATCTTGAATTTTAAATATAATTATAATCAAAAAATTAAATCAGAAGAAAAATAAATTAAATATTCAATGTTTCACGCTATTTTACAATGGCGTTCATCAGTTTTACTTTTCAACCCCCGATATATGTTACGATCAAGGAGAATAATTATTTAGAAATTTGAAGTCTTCCAATTCACATTAATTACATTTTACAGGTATAGAATCAGCTGTTCTTTTAAAATACTTCCGAGCTATACATGTCTTTGGCGGCATCTTTTTAAATTATTTAATGAGGTAATTATAACTTGGGTCTTCAAAACTTGTATAACCTGCTGGCAATCCAATTAAGCTATCAATTAAGTGTGAAAACCAAACAATCGTATTAGTGAAGCCATAGATCATTAAGTCTAACGGTAAAGAAAATTAGAGAAATGTTTATTTGTACCCTTATAAACAAATTAACATTTTAGTTTTTAGTTATTTACCATATAAGATGCATTTTATCCGAGTAACCGAATAGCAATTTTACTAACCGATACTCGCATCGTTCGACGGTTAACCGGTTAACCGGGTACTCGTTGCCAACACTAATTTGTACATTTCAAGAAATTTGAGCTTCCCCTTTAAAATTGCAAAACTCTATTTACAAAAAAAAAACTACAATACACATGTATATATTTTTGTATCTTTTGTTTTTAAATGCCTTTATCTATGCACATTATTTTGACACTAATGCTGTGACCTGAACCGATAGATCTCGACAAAATTCTAACTCCCCGAAGTGGTATCGCGGATCAGCTGTCCAACAACGAACAAAAAATAGCCAATCAGGAGAATCAATACAATTAAATCTCAGGATTTGCCCTATCACAGTTCTCCACTATTTAAACTGCAGTCCTACTAGGTTTGGACTTTAATGCCTTTTTTCTGGTATCTATTTAGGACCTTTTATTGATTTCACGGGGTGATTACCAAAGTCACGGTTCATCGCATGATCAGGATTTTTAAACCCAATGCTTTGGCTTTGGATAAAACCGCAAAGATAAGCTTTTAAAGTTTCAAAAAGTTTCTGGAAGTTCTTACTTGATGTACCCCTTCAGGATTAAACAAATACATGTAAATAACGTAACAGTTATCTGAGACCATTATTTTTACAATGGCCAAGGGTATTACTGGAGCACGTGGATATCGAGTTCCAAGGTGAGAATCTTATCATTTAAACAAGTATGTCATAAACAATTTTTAGTAAATATCACAATTATAGAACAAATTCTTTTAAAAAAATAGTCAAACACAAATTTAACTTGATCAAATTACATTGATAATTAATTGTTAATAATGTGCATTCAAACTATGTGTATGCAGGCTAAAATATCATATACACCTTGGTAGAAAACTATTTAAAAGTATAAATATGTTTTAAAAGATTATATAAAATCAAATTTTTATTAAACAACATGAACTACGATGCTGGCCAAAGTACATGTTAAGTTTTTGAACATTCAATCTTAACTATAATCTTAATGTCATACAATACATGTAAATTAACTCCAGACTGGGTTCTTTGGCATAATTTCTGAGTGCATGCACATATCATGTAAACCAATCTGATATTTTAATTACAAGCAAATGCCTTGAATAAATCATATTAGATTCCAAAGAGACTAAATTTCAATTCTTTGTGTTCTCATAAAATCTCTGTCTTTAATTCATGCAAGGGAAATATTCTAAACTAAAACCCAATACGAAATTTTCTTTTAAAAAATATTTCTTTCAAATTTTAAGTTTTTTTCTTCACAAATAGCTTAAATCATATCTTAACTTTGAATTTTCTAGGTGACTGCATTTGAAATAGAATTCATTTAAAATATTTCACAGTTAATTAACCAGAGAATCAGTTTTGAGTCAATATTGACATGATCGAACCTTGAAACAGAAAAGAAAAGATTTATTTTTCATGTTTAAAAAGACTTGAAATTTAGCAATAAATCTGCAGATATTACAAAGTATATGTGTAAAATTCCCCTGTGCATTGATTTTTCAGATGTACTACTTAAGATAAATTCTTTGTCCTAATATCACCATTAAATAATATCTTTTATTAGAAAAATCATATAAAATAATCCTATGGATTATGAAATGTGCATAAAATTGAAATTGATAATGTAATAAAAGGTTTTCTTTTAGTCACATAGTGGTAGGCATCTTTTGCTCATGATGAACAGAAAATATCACTCTGATTTAGACATTTAGACATTTTAATCTGCCTAAATATTTTGCAATGTACACAAATAAATGCCCTCGCAATACCCGTTCCATTATATCAGACGGGGTAATTCCCCCTCATTGACACTAGACCAAGATCAAAATCATTCAATCAATCTAGTAATAGCCATTGGATCACTAATTTTTCCTTTAAATACTATTACAGCTTTTGAATTCCAATGTCCACTGATATGGCCCATTCAGGCTAACAAATTACCACCGTGAAACTAAGACATTTAAGTTTGTACTCGACATAAAAAGATTTTAGAAAAAAAATAAATCTTTAGACTAGGTTTTTCTTCTTATTTTTTGGCTGACCACAACACATGAACTTTGTACATGTAAATAATTATTTTGAATTACCTAACAAATACATCATTTCTTAAGCTGAGTAAATACACCCTTAACAATATATATAATCACTTTCTGTATTTGTACATTTACAAATGATTTAATCCCTAATCCCTGTGATTAATCAGCTGTGTTTGTTTAATTCCCCACATTTCCTTTCACTGCAAAAAACAAGGTAAATACCTCATTTTTTTTAATTTAAAATATCTTTTTTCTCTTCAGATGATAGATAAACCATTGAGAGGGGGGCATATTGAAAATTTTGATAAATAATCTCCTTCCATAAAAACTTGTAAAATAAAACTGGAGTACTTTGCCACTTGAGAGGTATATTCTCATTGTTTCGGCTTCAAAATTCAGACCCCTGCATGCGCACTGCTCGGAGACAGATAATAGCTCTGCATATAGGAACTACTCTTAGTCTTTTGTGCTCTTTTGTTTATGAGGTTTTACCTGACACCGATTATTTCACTCGAATTCAAAATTTATTGTCCATGAGAGAGTAACAATAGATAGCCAAGCACCATAAATTCAACTAATGAGGCTTGAAATTACAGTACTAAAAATATTTTTTTTTATTCAATTTTTTTCTCTGGACATTTTTTCTGTATTATAATAGAAAAGTCCCTAATTTACAACAGAATTAGACTTTTTTAATTGAGATATCAAAATAATCATTTTCAAGAGCACTAGTTAAAGAACTTTAAAGGTAGTAGACTGCACTTAAGAGAGATTAGATTGGCTCAATTCATTTATTAGATCAAACACTCCTGCCAAAGACAGAAGATTAAATATGATACTTTGATATAAAGGTGAAATAAATGATAACTAAGAAAGAGGCCGCATTTTTCCTACTGTGTCACCTGTCCCCCCTTAGTAAATTTGATCAGACCGCCCATTTACAAATGAAAGTCTCTGTTTGCACTGTGACTGGATACACAAATGTTTCATATTTGTCATCTTTTTAAATGAGGAAAAAAGTGACATTTTGGGGCTCAAAATCTGGCAGGGGTTCTGGATATGGGCCAAAACCTGACCCTTCAAAATGCTTTATGTATAAATAATTAATCTGTGCACATGCAAACACTTCCGACACAATAAGAATTGACTACCAGTCTGTGCAATGAAATCTTAATCTTTTTTGTTTCGATTTCCAGAGGTAGTATGGAGAAGAAGCAAGGGGTGTAGACTGGCATTGTGAATTAAGTATGGATGCCAAAGTGCTTACGTATCACAACAAAGTCCAGGACTGGACCCAAATGTACATGCTAGCAGCAGATGGCCAAATTTACAAGAATTCCAAAGTTGTGACATATCTGCCTCCCCAGAAACTTCATCAGATTGAAAACTGGAGGCAAAACGTTCGGAATAACTTCAGACCAAAGTCGTCACAGTTTCCGAGACTCAACACGCCTCGAGCAAACAAACGTGCCAAGTCTGCACTAGCAGGAAGAACTCAGAGTCAGGGGAATGATCGTAAGCGGCTTTGGAGTGCCAGGAGTTCTGGCCCTCAGCCTCACTTCCTGTACAGCGACACTAATCTGGATGACGTGACGCATCACTTAGCGGAAACGTCACTTCACTACTGTGGCGAGAGAGCTCTATTCCAAAGAAACTTGTTAGGGAAACAATTATTGAAAATCAATACAAAACAGGTACAGCTAATCAACAGTGAGAATGTGGCTACTGAGGCTTTTGACAAAATTGATAAAACTCTCAAACAAGCCAGCAATGGTCTTAACAGTGAAGGAGAGGCAGAGCATACCAGTGATAATATTGAAGCTGTGTCGGACGAAGGCGAATCGGAGACTCTGAGCAGTATTTCTAGGATGGAAGGTCGTGGAAGACTCATCCACGTCAACGATCAAGATATGATACAGGTGAGGTCTCAATCCAATCGACTTCTCAATGTGATTTCTATTGATGACTGTAAGATATCCAGTCCAAATATCTACCATAGTGCCAAATTAAAAGTGGAGAAGAAACGTGCTCAGTATCAAGATATTCCAGAAGAGGAATCTCTACCTGAAAGTGATGTGCCAAAATCTCAATGTTCCAAAGACCACGAAACAAATTTCTATTCAACAAAATCGGTGTCAGAGAGTAGGACCCATATTCAGACACGCAATGCCAAGATTTCAAGAGCCATAGATGAAATGGTTCATGAAAGGAAAGTGATGAATAATCTGGACAGAAATTTCGATGCTCGAATTGAGGCCACTGGAGTAGGGGGCAGAATAATTCTCGATCGTGCCGAGGGAGGGGCCACATTCAAAAGACTTAATAATGCCCTCAAAAGGCATGTGAACTCAGTATCAGCTCACAGGGCTCACAAACAACTTAGTAACTGGTCTCGAGATGGGCTCAGTGATCAAGACCTCAGCTCATACAGTGGTAGTGTACTCAACATGGACAAAATCGAAAAATCTCACAAATGTAGTTCAAAGTCTCAAAGCATGGAGTCGGTAGAGAATTCATGATTATAGGCTTCCAGACAAACAGTATTAAAATTGATTTTGTTTTGTATATTTTTTGCCCTGCTTTAAATTTTTATTTACATTGACCATGTACCCATTTTTGAGATGTTTGGAATTCAATGGTTACCAAATAAGCAGAACAGTTGTTAAGCATTACATAATGATCACAGCCAACCTAGTCTTTCAATGTAGAGTTTGTGAGAACATTTGATTTTAATAAATGGAAATGAAATCTATTTGTTTACTTAATTTTATCCTAACTCAGGTACCTTATTTACTCATTTTGGAATTCAAACAAAACTCAATTTAATGGTATTTAATTCTAATTAAAATCAAAATGACAGGAACTTTACTGTAATTTCAAAATCCCATTTATCAGTGTTCATATGACCTAAAATATTTTTTACAGATGAAAACAAGATGTTTAACGTCCAATTTAGTTTGCATCTTTTTTTTTTGGAAATAGGGAAATGAGGGAAGGGTGTGTTTTCCGATATATAAGTATTTCAGTGCAAAGATCTGTTTGCATATGAAATAACACATATAGCCATTAGTAATTTATTTTTTAAGCTAAACTGACCAAGCTTCATTAATCAAATGTATTTTTGAAAAGAAATGAAATAAGTCTCCATTTCTGTTTTTTTAAGAGTACAGTAAAACTCAGTTATAACGAAGTCGCTGGGACCTATGAAATTACTCCGCTTTATCCATAATTTGTTATATCTGCATAAGAAATTTGTTAAATTTATATAACTGGGGATCCAAGATAACTTTGCTATATCCGTAAATTTGCAATATCCGTGTTTGTACTAAACGAGTTTTACTGTAAAAGCTACAAGAGTTTTCCAAGACTAGAGGAGCAGAACTTGACTTAATATGGGTAAAGTTCAGTTTTCAAGTATTTTTTCTACTCTGTTAAACAAATGCTACAAATTTAAAAAAATATGATGCATGAATTGGAAAATATCTTTTGGTTTAATTTGGTGAAAATATATTCTTTAAACGATGTGGGTATTAAACAATGAAGCAAACTGAAGACGTACATTTCTCTGAAACTTAGCTAAATGCAAAATAAAAATGTAAGGTCAAGGTCATAAAGAAGGTCAAAGTCCAAAAAAAAAAAAAAATTGATGCAGTTGAAAGGTTGTGTCTTCTAATCTTGTAAATAGTTTTTGGACTTGTTTAAAAAAAGATCATTCAAGCCAAAATTCTGATATCTGGAACAACTAAACATCTCTAAGTCTTTTTTATAAGTCTGGCCTACTTCCACATATCAAACAATGACACATAAAATTCAAAAAATTTAAATAGAGAGGTTTTTTCCCTATTGATCAAATTTGAAATAAAAACTTTTTGTCATATTTTTGTGCTAATTGTATTGGACAACAAATGGTTATGAGAAAACCATATGAAAGGAATAATGCTGTAAAAGAGACATACAAGATTTTTTCCCACATAAGAAGAGAGCATATAAAAGTTAGCATATTGATTATAATACAATGTTTATAACAACAATTATGACAAATAAAAGTGCAAACTCTCTATACTAAGTGAAGCATAATGCACAATGGGTCTGTTCCCTGGGAATGCAAACAAAAGTTGAGAATGACCAAGAAATAAAATTAAAGATCAATCATGCTGTATAGAGAAAAGTTTCAATAAATCAATGGTTTTCAAGTTTAAAGTCAGAAAAGCATCATTATAAATTCTCTCCGCAAAGAGATGAAGAAAGTTTCATCTTTGCTGATGCATACATAATGATTTCTTTTGCATACATAATGATTTCTTTTCCAAGAAAAAAATCTATGGAAAAATTGATAAAACCAAATAGATTCTTTCAATAGTTTTTTCCTTTACATTCCAAAAGTTTAAAGGAAAAACATATCTGAAAAAATCCTTCTAATAAAGAGTCTTGCATGACTAGAATGAAACAATATAGAAAATACATGTACTAAATTCATACAATTAAAGTACTCAATACACATGGTCTCCTTTTATAAAAAGGATAAAACGAACCTCCAAAACGGCAACAATGTGTGTCTCATATTACTAAAGACAAAAAAGGCCACAGCTAGTTTCCTACCCTTGGTAATGATAGGGATACTTATATTTCAATTAACAAATAACCTTTTACGCATATGGTATAACTCTATCCCAAAATGGGAAACTTGAACATCAAATACAAAGATTAAAATGATTCAATAAATTGCTTGTTTAGTTTTTAAATCATAATTGAATTAATTGACTTGATAAACATCCTACACCAATTTTCTCCAAAGATTCAAAAAATGGATTCCAAATTAATGAAACAGGACAGTCTGTGTGATTTTCCCCATCATTTGAATGGAACCTTAAGACTGGCTCACGCCATTGAGGACCTTGCCAGCGACAGGAGAGTCATGGACAATCTCAGCGTGAATTACAATGCCAGAATAAACATGGCAAGTAGACGGATAAAACTTCCTACTGGAGAAAGCTTGCGATTCCAGCAGCTGAACCAGAATTTGAAGAACTATATTGAACACATACAGGAATGTCAAGGTCGCGAGATGATTGACAGGTGGATGAGGAAATGTTACGAGTCGAGAGACCTTGACAGAAGAAAGTGAAGGACAGAGGGGTTCATATGGCGACATCTGCACTGACTTTTATCAACAAAAGCCTTAAACTATTTGTAATACCCAAATATAATCATAAATGGTAACAATATTGAATTATATTGAATTTCAAATTATCATGGAAGAAATACAAGTATTTGTAGTAATGTGTTATCATTAAATTACATTTCAAAAGACTAGAAACGGATTCTGTGTAACAGACATTTAAATTTTATATTTGATGACTTCTAAAAATAACTTGAACAGATTTAATAAACCATTCAGTATAATGTAAACTTTAATGTTTTCAAAAAAATTTAATGTTACACAATCATTTCTAATTAAAACACATTGCTTTTTTGTGGATTTGCAAGCTAATGAAGCGCCTACACATAAATTCAGTTTTGAGGACAATAAAAATGTCCTTGAGAAATCCCATTTATATTCAAACATAATGGAAAAATGTCCTTGATAATATGAACAATAACTTTAAAGATAAACTTTTTTTATCAGCATAAATTCCACTTGATAAAAATAATTGCACTTCTACAAAACAACCCTAACTAACAAGTTTTAATCAGCTGAAATGACTTTGCGAAAATTACTTCACAGCTGAATTTTATGAAATCAATATTGAACAAAAGAATTTTCTTTGAGGCAATGCTTACATTCTGATGATAAAAAGCATTTTGTTGGCCTTAGATCATGGTTAAAAAAATGCATGCAAAATAAGGTGATTGATTTTCAAACTAATGAAGGGAAAGTTAGCTTCATTTATGAAAGCTGAGGAATACTTGAGTCCCTAGCTACCAGTAAAGACAGCTGACATGTGCAAACCACTGTGCATGCACACTATTATTTCCTAAGCAGTGGGTAAATATTTACTTAACCATAGATGCTATGTCTTCTCTTTCATTTGTCCATTATGTCATAATAATGGAACGCATAAAGAGTTATGTGTACGCTGACAAGACCAACAGATGAACAGAGTACTCATGAGTAGGAAAACACTTCATAGTGAAATGAACTAAAAAAAGACAGACAAAAAAATAGAATTGTCTGTGTAAATATTTCTTTTTAAAATCTATAAAGGAAAAGCCAAAGAACAGAGAGCCCATTTGTTTGAGATATCTTTTTTGTCAACTTTGTTTTTAATGCATTTACATATTTAGGCAATATTTGCATGGAGAATTAATGGTGAAAAGTAACAATGTGCTCACTTAGCAATTTTTTTGCTGAAATAGAGTTGGTTATAATCTCGACAATAAAGAATCCCCCAAAATGTCAAAAAAATCTCCTGACTTTGGCTCCAAAGTTAGCAGCTATGATGATAGGTGTCCCATTAAGGATAATCAGGACTCTTAGAGGCACAGCAAAGACCTTTGGATATATGCACAAGTACCGGTACTACACATTCATCCTGCTGGCAGGATAATTGGAGGATTTTTATTTTTCGTAACTTTTCCTTCTTTGATTTGAAAAACAAAATCTGGGTAAAAGTTAATTTTCCTCTTTCATCTAAATGCCATTTTTGATATTTGAATACCTGACGAAGGTTTTGAAGAAATATAATTTCAAAGCATATTGCACTTGAGTTGATAGCTTAAGTGTAAGTAATAATGAGAAAAATATATGTGAATGATAAAAAATCATCTTGATCTTCGATTGCAAATACTTCTTGGAAGATAACCCCAAAATTATTAGATTCCATAAACTATTAAAAAACTTTCAAAGCATGTCACATAAGAATTTAAATTCCTTTGAGGACTTCCAAAAATCTGCAATATTGTGCATATAAATCTGATACAATGCCATACAGTGACATGAATATGTGTGAATTACCTCATTTTGAAACCTTCAGCATTGAAGAGTTCCAAATATGTACAAAGAGGACATTCAGGGAGCTACCAGGCTTATCAACAAAGATGTGCAAAACCCAATTCCTTTTATCTCTTCAATAAGCCCCTGACAACACTAATAAACTCATCTTTCTTCATTGAGCTATCAGTAAAAGCTTGTGTCAATAGACAACCAATAGAAAATGTGACAGCTCCAACGATGTTTTTATCAACTAGTAAATACTGAGACAAAATCAGGTTTTAATATCAAATACCCAAGTGTCATTCCAATATTTTGAACAGTGTAACAGTGACAACCACCTGCCGATTTACTTAAAACAGTGTCACATTTTACTTTTGATATGTGAAATATGTTGAAAGAGAAATAAATGTATTAATTTGATGCCGGTGTCAATATTAGCTGAAGAGTGGGTCAACAAACCTATTAAAATACTAATTAAGATATTTTGCAAAAGAGTATAAATGATACTTTTGTAAACACACACAGTATACACTACAAATTGTACAATATGGCATGCCTATTATGTTAAAATTTCATCATTTTGCTTCTTTGTTATGGATGAAATGGACAGTAATTGTCAGAAAAGCAAAACTGTTACAATTTCAGCAATGAGTAGTTGCAAAGCATTAAAGAAAGCATAAAACTTGATGGTTAAAACTTTAAAAAGTTGGAAAGATTGATATACAATGAATTAATTAACCTGCATTAAATTCAAATACATAAAATTTTTGTCTAAATATTTTGTAGATACACATGTATTTTAAAAGGGATCACACTTCCTGGAAAGCCATTTTTGAACTTGTTCTTTTCAACTTTTCTGAAAAGGACTAGTATGTGAATATGAAAGATGTGAACCCAAGAAAGGAAGTGTAAAATTTTCTTGTTTACTGCAGTAAGTTTTCAGTTTCATATATTGTCCTTAATCAACCCTCAAGCACTTTTGAGAAATCTAAAAAAAAGGAAATATTTAAAAGATGTGAAAATCTTGAGCAAATATTGTCATATAATATACCGGTAATGTTAAACAAATAAAAATATTCTCATGTTGAGTGAACTTTTTCAGTTCAAAATTTTAAAATTATACATGCACCTTAATACACAAGAGTTTTACTTGAAAGAGTAATGTTTTACAAGTAACTTTGGTCCTATAGTACTTCACCACATATTCCCTTTCATAATACTAATTGTGGCCCCAACCTATATAGAGGTCAAAATTGGAACAATTTAGAATCTACACTACCCCAAGAAGTTTACATATAAATTTTAGCTTTTTTGGCCCATTTTTTCTGGGCCCTATGTTCTTGAGAAAAATCAAAGATTTTTACTGATTATTCCAATACATTTCAGTGTCAAAAATTTGATTACTTATTGTGGCCTCACCCTAGCCCAAGGGGTCATGATTTAAAAAATTTAAAATCTACAATGCCCCAGGAAACTTCCACACAAGTTTCAACTTTTTTGGCCCAGTGGTTTTTGGGAAGTAGATATCTAGATTTTTATTTTTTTAAGCTTGATAGTTCTTGAGAAGAAGTTAAAAATATGAAAAGTTTACAGTTTAAGTTGATAATTTAACATAAAACCTTAAGAGTACATCAATGAATGACTTTGTTAAATACATTGTGTAAAGAGCCAAAAATAAATAATAGAAAATTAAATCATTCTTTGAGAAAAACAAACATAATCTTTTAGATATTGAGAAACCCCAAAGAAACTTCTAATTGACAACACTAGTGTGAGTCACATACTTCTCACAAAATGGCCACAAAAACAAATTCTTTATGAAGAACTATTATAGCAAACCCAAATTTCAAATTGTACCATCATATCTATTAAAAAGAGGCCCACTGGCCATATATTGCTCTCTTAATCCATTTTGGTTAGGATTGATTGATAGTTGTTGTACTTCTCAATCAAGAATTTTTCATTCACATAAAGATGTCTTTTAGCTTTATATGAAGTTTTCGATTTTCAAAGATGTCAATAATTGTTCACTAATTTATAATTGTATCCATTCAGAAGATGGCTTGACCCTTAAATTCATTTGAATAAAAATTATTTTCTTTACAAGGATTCTTTGTGGCAAGTTTGTATGAAATTAAATCATTAATCTCTCTTCATAAGACCTCTGTTGATATGAATAGTTTACTGGTACATGTAAATGAAAATTAATAAATGAGCATTAAATACTATAGCTTACTGAAAACTTATCCAAATCCAACTCTAACTTGCTGAAAAAAAGTCAATCACGGACTTTTGCATGAGGAATAGCAACTAGAAGCTCATAGAGTATGAAGAGTTATTCTTCCTGTCTTGATTAGAAATTCTAAAACCCAAACAGTAAGTACTCCAATAATGAACAGATCAATACCATTTAGAAATCATTTGATTTGACTTTTCATAGCATCTGAAACTGAATAACAACAGTGATTAAATTTACTGAACAAGGTCTAAGTGCATGGCTGCTCAGTCACTAAACTAACAACAGGTCTATCAACCTGTTTCATTACACGTATCTGCACAGATGGCACCAGTGGTAGTAGTAGGGTATATTGTAAGTTGTTTTAATTCCATGGTGTTAAAATTTCAAGATTTCTCAAAAAGTACCAATTGCAATAGTTTTAATTTCACAATGCAATGAATGAATTTAAATTTTGTATAAGCATTTAAATGTTTTTAAAACTATTAATAGCATTCATGACAGATTTAATTTTGTGGAAAAATGATAAAAATCATGAACATAGTGAAATTAAAACCATTGTGATTATTTGCCAATCTACAGTATTACAACACATTGCACACATAACATACCTGCCCTAACATTTGTACAGGTGATACTAATATCATGAGTTGGTAGGAACATGTGGGGTCTGTATACACTTTAAGTTCCACATCCTTACTGTTATCTATGCTACCACTCTGTAGCTTCAGTGGAAGATACCCAGTCTCACTTAATCTGAAAACAAATTGGATTTTAATTTGATTTTTAGATTCAAAAAGTCTTTTAAAATGAATATTATTGGTAGATATAAAAAAAATCCTTCCATTAATTTTGTAAGTATATACCCCTCTAGCAAACATGTCTCTTCAATGTCAATTTTGCACAAAAGCTAAAAAAAAATCCATTCTGATTGGCACATTATATTTGTTAATTTTTTCCTTTTTGTTGCTTACTTGTTAAATGAGATAGTGTCTTCATTACTGCCTGGGACATGGAGTTTCATCATATAACCATCATGTAAATCTAAGATCAAATACAAATGTTAACACAATAAAATAAAAAATTTAATAAAACAACTCATACATAAAAAAAAATCAAAAACCCATAGAAGAAAGGAATGTATACTTTCATTTTCAGGTGGAAATTCTTTAAAGAAATGAATAATAACTACAAAACACACACAACAAATCTATTTTCAAACTAAAATGCTGATAGATACATGAGGTAATTCAAACCTGGTTTAGCTGAGGAACATTTTCTTGGCTCAAGTTTCACAGTAAAGGCCTTGAGAGTCAGATCCATATTAAGAAGGTGAAGGTCATAGAAAAGGGTGTCATTGAAGAGGGTGAGGATCCCGGTCCCCTGGGTCACGCTCTCAGGGTAGGTCATCAGCATGTCCATAAAACCAGGCATTCGATAACTCAGGTGTCTGTCGTCTCTACGATAAATGTCTCCCATCACCTCTACCTGGGGTTAAAGGTCAAGGTTAGAAGAGTGTCATTTCAGAGTTTTTATACTTTTATTTTCTTAAATCAAACCATAATTTTGAGTTTGCCATTCATTCAATTTACAGACTACAGAAGAAACGGGGAAATACAATTGCTGCATGATTAACATGTATTTCCAGCTCTTGTAAATTAAGATTATATCTAATAAAATTATAAGTTAAACACAAGAATCTGAAAGCTGATTTAAAAGAGTCTGTACTGTATGATTTGTATTTAGATTATTTAAACTAAATGTAGATTCTTCAAATCATAAATCAACATCCAGTAGTGTTTCACATGAATTCAAAATGGGAAAATGTTTTGTTAAAACTAGCTGACTCCCCATGTCTAGAAGTAAGAACTTTCATGTACTTAAATCTAAACTATAAAATAAAGCTTTCACCTAATTTTAGTCTTTTATGTTGGTACATGTACTAAGAAATTACATTTTAAAGGGCCCTTCTACATTTTTCTTGAAAGAGGATGTGACTTCTTGCTAGAAAACAATCTTAAACATCCTTCACCAGAGGATCAATGATTGAAATTGTTCACAGATAAAGATCAATATACAGACAGGCGTCAGACACCCTGGCCTTCAATTAGGAAAGCTCAGGTGAGCCTTTGCCTCAGATAAGGCTGATAAGCTATAAAAAGATTTACCTTTTCATGTGTCCTTGGGACTATAATAACAAGGTGGGTCATTGACTTGTGTTTCTTTAAGTTGATATGTATAACCTGAAAATAGCACAGAATAATGTAATGAAGTATTAAAATATTATAGTCTACGTTTGTTATAAAAGTGAAGTCTCCCAAGCAAATAAACTACTTGGATATCATGTACTGTTTAAAAAATTGATACAAAGAATTTAATTCAAAGTTGTAGGAAAAGGAGTATACATGTCGAATTATAATTTTGTATGTTGTCACACACACCAAAAATTACAAAAGTAAATAACTATACATGTACGAGGGGTTATCAAAAAGTTCGTGGACTAGCGCCATAAAATTAAAACCGCTATAGGTACATCAATGAATTTTAAAATATCTTGTTAGCATCATCTTTTCCATCTGAAGAATAAACAATAAATCATAAATTTCATTTTTTAATTAATTAGTTATGTTTTTGTAAGCAATGGTATGTCCAGGTGGCGCAACCTCGAACACAACGTTTTTGCGACCTACGTGTAACTGAGAAAAACTGGTTTGATATGAACATATGGCATCCAAAAATCAGGTTGATTCAGGTATGTGTTTGGACACAATTGCTACATAAAATATGAAATTTTTACCTCATTCTGGAAGTTATATGAAATTTTATCGAAAATTTAACAAGGAGTGTCCAAACAAACAAGGCCTTGAAAATGACGTTAAAAGGGGGAGGGGTGTCCTTTTCCAACATTCTGTATAAAGTTTTGTCCCTGAAAAAACTGGTATAGACCTAAGAAATGTTTAAACTGGCTACGGAGAAATAATATGCATCCAGATTACTTGTCTTGTAATGTCAAAATAGATTTAGAGAGCTAAGAGATGCACAGCTAATGTCGATTTTTAGTCAAGGTGTGAAAAATCAATCACCTCAAAAAATGACTGATTATTTGTTGTAGATATGGAAATCCCAAAAGTAAAATATACTGGCACAATCAAGTGAGGATCTCTCTCACTGCATAAATCCATTTGGAATATTATTAATATTTATTGAAAGTTGCCGTTCAATATAAAGACAATATAAAGACATATAAACAAGGCGGGATTAAGTCCTTACTCAGCTCCAGACAATCTCAGCAAAATAAGTGTATGAGCTAGGTAGAAAACATTGAAAACAATGACGTTGTCGGACGTCATGAAACTAAACGGCGACAGCGCCGGGTGATCATATAATGTCGTTTCTATTTTTTGATAATTTGAAAAATATTGAACGTATAAAGCTAAAATTTTTAACATTTCTTTATTTTTTGTTGTTTTATGTCCCATATAAATTTTGAAAGCACAGACTACATGGTACTAATTTTATAGCCTCAGTCCACGAACTTTTTGATAACCCCTCGTATGTACCTTTTACATGTAATTACATATAACAAGTATTTCCAATTGAACTTATATGCATGTACCTTTCTTCCTGAGTCACTTGGTGGAATGGCTTCTCCATTTTTTGATAAATTCTTACATTTTTTGCTACAATAGATAAAAGAAATCCGATAATTTTGATTGTTACAATACAACATGGAAAATTCAGGTATAACTTAATCTTGCTTTTCTCTGCTGCACTCCATTTTTCCTTAAAAAAAAATCTTTCTATGCTTAGTCTCTAAATTATGTAACAGGGAAACAAGGCCTGACAGAATGATGGGAAATACATGTATATACAAACCATCTGCCATCTCCAGTTTCACTCTTGCAGACACAAATCCAATCACTTGCATCCTAAAACCAAAAAATAAAATGAAGTAATATTGTTTTTGTTGCAATGTTCATAATGTCACTGAAATGTAATAATAATTTCTTGTTTTAAGATTTTTTATCGTATCTCCCCTCCCAATTAATTTTGCTGGTTCAATAGCACAAACTTTACTTACAATGTCTGACACTGCTACAAAAGTGTCCTCCCTTTCTCTGACAATGGGAACAGATATATAGGTCGGATCTTTCACCTGGAAAATATCAAAAATTTGTCATCCAATCATGTTTGAAAAAATTATAAAGTAGATGACTACAAGGCACAAGCTTCATTTTCAAAGAACCTGAGGACAAGATATATATCTCCGTTTTTTTTTCTTTCTCAATTCCATTGAGTTCCAGATGATGAGGTTTGACTGAACGTGTTTTGATAATACCAATTCTTATTTTATCCAAAAATGATTACTTCCATTACCACATATGTCAAAGTTTTGGACAGTGATCATTTAAAGCTGAAAGTGCTATTTGTAGTTTAAACAAGAGGCCCAGGGGCCACAGCGCTCACCTGAGCACATCCGGCTTGAATTTATCCCCCCCCTCCAGGCGTTCATCGTTTGAACAAATTAGAATCTACACTACCTGAGGATGATTCCATATAAATATCACTAATCATAGCTTTGAAGTACTTGAAAAGAAGATTTTAAAAAGTTTCCCTATATATCCCTATGTAAAACTTGGGTCGGCCATTTTGGCCCCACCCTAGCCCCGGGGGTCATGATTTGAAGAAACTTGAATCTACACTACCTGAGGATGATTCCACATGAGTTTCATCTTTCCTGGCCCAGTGGTTCTCGAGAAGAAGATTTTTAAAGATTTTTCCTATATATTCCTATGTAAAACAAGGGTCGACCATTTTGGCCCACCCTTGCCCCGGTGGTCATGATTTGAACAAACTTGAATCTACACTACCTGAGGATGATTCCACATGAGTTTCATCTTTCCTGGCCCAGTGGTTCTCGAGAAGAAGATTTTTAAAGTTTTTTCTAATATATTCCTATGTAAAACAAGGGTCGGCCATTTTGGCCCCACCTTTGCCCCGGGGGTCATGATTTGAACAAACTTGCATCTACACTACCTGAGGATGATTCCACATGAGTTTCATCTTTCCTGGCCCAGTGGTTCTCGAGAAGAAGATTTTAAAAGATTTTTCCTATATATTCCTATGTAAAACTTGGGTCGGCCATTTTGGCCCCACCCTTGCCTCAGGGGTCATGATTTGAACAAACTTGCATCTACACTACCTGAGGATGATTCCACATGAGTTTCATCTTTCCTGGCCTAGTGATTCTGGAGAAGAAGATTTTTAAAGATTTTTCCTATATATTCCTATGTAAAACTTGGGTCGGCCATTTTGGCCCCACCCTTGCCTCAGGGGTCATGATTTGAACAAACTTGCATCTACACTACCTGAGGATGATTCCACATGAGTTTCATCTTTCCTGGCCCAGTGGTTCTCGAGAAGAAGATTTTTAAAGATTTTTCCTATATATTCCTATGTAAAACAAGGGTCGGCCATTTTGGCCCCACCCTTGCCCCGGGGGTCATGATTTGAACAAACTTGAATCTACACTACCTGAGGATGATTCCATATGAGTTTCATCTTTCCTGGCCCAGTGGTTCTCGAGAAGAAGATTTTTAAAGATTTTTCTAATATATTCCTATGTAAAACTTGGGTCGGCCATTTTGGCCCCACCTTTGCCCCGGGGGTCATGATTTGAACAAAATTGAATCTACACTACCTGAGGATGATTCCACATGAGTTTCATCTTTCCTGGCCCAGTGGTTCTCGAGAAGAAGATTTTAAAAGATTTTTCCTATATATTCCTATGTAAAACTTGGGTCGGCCATTTTGGCCCCACCCTTGCCTCAGGGGTCATGATTTGAATAAACTTGAATCTACACTACCTGAGGATGATTCCACATGAGTTTCATCTTTCCTGGCCCAGTGGTTCTGGAGAAGAAGATTTTTAAAGATTTTTCCTATATTCCTATGTAAAACTTGGGTCGGCCATTTTGGCCCCACCCTTGCCCCGGGGGTCATGATATGAACAAACTTGAATCTACACTACCTGAGGATGCTTCCACATGAGTTTCATCTTTCCTGGCCCAGCAGTTCTGGAGAAGAAGATTTTTTTAAAATGCCATTAATTTTTAACAAATTCATGATTATCTCCCCTTGGAAAAGGGCCCGGCCCTTCATTTGAACAAACTTGAATCCCCTTCACCCAAGGATACTCTGTGCCAAGTTTGGTTGAAATTGGCCCAGTGGTTCTTGAGAAGAAGATGAAAATGTGAAAAGTTTACAACGACGACAACAACAACAACGACAACGACAACGACGACGGACAAATTTTGATCAGAAAAGCTCACTTGAGCCTTCGGCTCAGGTGAGCTAAAAAGGGGGCAACGTACATTGTTTCTCTTTATTAAAATATATATATATATATTCTTTCGATTTACCTTGTCCCTTGCAAATTCCCAAGTGAGATCATTCTCCATCATCCATGTGGCTGTAGGATCTAACGTGATTTCCTTTGTCCAGGTCCTTGTGTATCTTTTGGCTCCAGAGTGGGACAGGAAGTAATGACGAAAGACGTCCATTCTACGATCTGCTTCTGTAGAAATCTGGAAAACAAACATTTAGCTACATATCAAAATTAGTCTTATTTTCAATTTTACCTTTTTTTTAAGAATAAAAAGAAGTATTCAAACCTGATTGGTAGATGTATCCACAATATCAAATATTGCTCTCACTGTTGCCATGACAACTTCCTTACACCTATATCAAAGATGAACAACAAAGTCTGACAAAATTCCTAACATAGAAAAATTATAATGAAGAGAAGCACACCATTTAATGCTCCATGATTTTTTAAATAAAAAGAAATGAGAACTAACCATACAGCACAAAGATGATCCGTGGAGACCCAAGCCTTTGGCATGGAAATGGTCTACAATATTCATGTACATACATATCATATAATATATACATGTATTTCAGGTATGTAGCAATGTAATGAAAATACTGTAAAAAACATCTGAAAAAGAAAGTTTTATTTTCCATTAATTACTTACTGATGAGCTGATCCCTCTTGATGGATCAATGATCTGAAATAAATACAAGACCTGTTATAAAAGACTATTCCTCTGCTTACCCTAGTTAATGTATCTTACAAATTTCATACAAGTAATCACTGTAACAAAAAGTTTGTTCACAAAAGCAAAATATTTTTAACAAAGATTATTAGCACTAAGCGATATAAAAACCCTTTATCTTAGTGCAGGAATAGTCACACAGACAAAGAGTCAATTACTAATGTAAAGCAGGGCATCTAAACACTAAATAATAACAATGGTAAAACATTCAGAAAATGGCCCACACCAATAAATAAAAACCTTGTCCTACCCCCTTGAGTGAGCTGAGTCCATTGCGGACCTGGTAATCTCTGTGGCCACCGCCGGTGGAGACCACCGTCACATGACTTAGATTGGTGGCACCATACTCCCTCCAGTAGCTGTTGACTCTCCTGTAGAAACTGGCCATATAGGAGTCTACAGACAACACTGTCAACCAAAACAATTGGTTAGTCAAGAAAAAATGTCAGATTTTATCAAATTAAACATTGAGGGCTGTCACGAAAAACATTGTCTCTGAAAATGCCTACAATTAATACCTTACGAGGGTTGATCCAAAAGTTCGTGGAATTTCTTCATATTTCATTTATTTTTCAGTGAAATTGGTTGAAAATTACAAATGAAAATATAGACACTTGATGAATATTTTAAATTAAAAAACATTTTAAATATCTTTGATCGTAACTTTATGGCAGTTGCCATAGAAACGGTTGTTTGGAAAGGCGGGGGAGACATTGACGCGTTTATTATCATTTAAATTCTTAATTCGTGAAATAAGAATTAAACCGCCCTATGTGGTATATAAAAGGAAAATTATGTCATTATTACGATTGCTTGATATTTTTTAAACCTTTGTGTGAGAGTTTTACTGATTTTACTGGATATTTAGTTTATAAGTTGATGATTTATTGCTCATCTTTAAGTTGTTAGTTAACGTCAAAATTTGGTCAAGTCACGCGTATTGTGAAAATCCCGGGATCACTCGATCTTAAACGCGTATATTATAGACATAGGCTTGGGAAAAATGCATTTAGTTACTGGTTTTCCAATGGCATAAGAAATTTAAGAAAAATAGAACTTCCATGGACGTTGATAAAAAGTATGGTCGCTTTTTAGAGGCTCTGTTTAAGTACGTATCCCCCTAGACAAATTTAAAGCGTTAATGGACGTTGTCGGCTGCCGTTCTGATCTTGACATTGCTACTGAAATTGGAACATCATATGAAAAGATGGGTAGTATTTTGAAATATGAGTAAAAAATGAAGATAAGTAAGATAAGTTGGTGCGAGAGGATACCCAGGCTTTTCTTGAGAAAAAAAAATGGAGAAAAAGACAGCATTTTGTAGAATTACGTATTATAATTGGACATTTGGGCGAAATGCTTCTATAACGTGACGTGACATATCTAACTTGACGTTACGTCGAAGTCTCCCCCGGGTTTCCCAACTATCCATTTTTAGAAAGCTCGTGTGACCTTATTGGTGATTGGAAAGTGATGAAATTTTCCAATACTGTTGCATTATGACTCTATATTATGAAAATGCCTGTTGATTGATTTCATCAAATCACGATAAAATTTTAGAAAGAAATTCCACGAACTTTTGGATCAACCCTCGTATTTTTATTTTCTTCAAATATCAAATTGGGAAATAGATTATAGATTGTTACACTGTTCTGAACCCAAATTTTCTATTTACATGTGGAAATGATTGAATTTTTGTACATGTGTGAATTTAGCTTACGGTAGTGGAAGCAGCCTATGATCTATTACAATATTATTAAGGCAGTGTATCATATGTAACACTTACTCTCTTTTCAATTTTAAAAGTATTAAGTCCAAAATGGGTATGAATATACCTGGAATTTGATGAGGGGTGGACTGCGTGATAATGGTGTTGACAAGTTTGTGATCAAAGTCAGGTAAAGTAAACAAAGCTCTGGCAATCATTCCTCCCTGTGAAATAAAACAGTCATGTATACTTACTATTACTTAGGCCATATAAAATTGAAATCTTGGTTCTCAGGCCCGCGCGCATCCGTTTTGAGGTAGCCGCATTGCCGATTTTATTGTATTTTTGATAAAATAAAAAGTTGGTGTAGCGGAGACCAATCCGGGAAAAAAAAATCCGACCTCATTTGTTTCGTAGTTTAGTATTCAAATATCACTTCCGGTATCCATTTACAATGAGATTTTGGCTACTTCGTTTGAAAATACATTCGAGGACATTACCTACGATGTTTACACGCTGTTAAGCAATGGATAAAGCAGAAATTTTGACCAGAAATGGAAAGTATATCTGTGATTAAAAAAATTATCTGTATGTTAAAGAAAATTCGGAAATTAAAATTAAAAAAAATACTTCCCTCATCTATTTTATTGCCAATAAAATGAAAAATAAAACGCCGCCCTCCCGCATCTGTTTTGGAGAAAATTGGCCTGAGAACCAGGGAATTAAATTTAGATAGCCTTAGTAGTCTGAAAGCACTTTAAGGGAGATAACTCAGAAAAAGCTTGCAATATAGAAATTGTTCCATGTATTTTTGTGAAATTATAATATTACAGAACTGTTAATTTCTTTATAATTCTATATTGTGCAAAACAAAACTTACCATAGAATGACCAACCAATAAAACTGTGGACGGTTTGTTCTCAGCATTCTTGTACAGTCTCAGGATTTTCTTTATACAAGTGTGAACAAACTCTGTCAAAGCAATAAATTAATTTCTCAGACTTCATAAAATGAAAAATATTTAATCTATTTTAAGGAAAGTTTTATACCATTTAATTAAGAAAACAAATTAATGGACCATGATGGTTCAAATGTATCGAGAAAAATCACAGATTAAAGAATCTGTCATCATCTTTATACATATGTGACACAGCATGATATTAATACACATGTGGTTTTGTAAAGTTGTCAACAAATTTTTTTAACATGAAAAGATATAGAGTTGTAATAGCTACCATTCATCATACTTGCATGCATATAATACCTGTTTGATCTTGAAGTACACCACCAAAGAGCGCAGTTAAATCCTAAAACATTTAACAAAGAATGCAATGAATTAAATTTTCCTACAAAATTATGATTATTTTCATGAATAAAGATAATTAATATAACAGTTTTATTTTCAATGAATTTGGTTTTATGACATTCTTTTATGCTTTTATTGAGATTTCTGGATTAAAGCTAGGAGAAATAAGGATAATCTCCTACCTCATTAAAATCTACTGTGAAATAGTTGAAGAAGAAGTATGTTCTCTTGTCCATGGCTCTTCTGAGGGACACAGATGCTAGAGAACGGGCTATAAGTAAACAAAAAAATTAATGCAAGATATTCTGCCTTTAATTAAAATTGCATGTTATTATAATTATGAAAATTTCAAGTTATTTTTTTTATGCTTTTTTTACAAGCTAAATAGAAATATTGCTCCTTATGATAAACAATTTCTCTCCAATATGAATTGGATGATAAAATAATCTTTCTTGCTGAATGAAAAATTTACAACAGTTTTCTTAAAATTAATATGAATACACTCAACCTTACTTAGGGCATCTTTCTTGCTGAATGAAAAATTGATATTAATGAATTTCTAAAAATTAATATGATGATACTAGGGCTGCCACGATTAACCGAAATATCGGTTAACTGCGATTCACAATCTTTCGGTTCGATTCGGTTCGTTTTTCCGGGATTTCGATTCGATTCAGGTTTGATTTTTTCATACTAACATCTGCTGTTGTTAAGCGCATTCTGATTGGTTAATCTGAAGAAATGATGGCAAATCATTATAAAGTAAACAAAAACACGAAAATGGCGGCGAAGAAGTCGACGGAGGACTACTCATAGTACTCCCAAGTTGCATTTTCGACAGAAAGACAGCACAGAGGATAAGTGGATTCACTAAAAGGCAACACCCGTCAGCCACGTAATTCTGAATTTAGAGGAACCGACACCATGCTGCGAATGTCCTTATTTCTTTTTAATATTGACATCGTTTTGAAAGTGAAATTAATTATTGACATTCTTGTTATGACAGTAATGTGTTTAAGTGGTTTGGTATCGTATTGGTGAATAAAAAAAAATAAATCACAGCAGAGATCTAACCGTTCCTATTGTGGCAAATAGCCCTTGTATGCAAAACACCAATACTTTTATGTTGAGCATAATATGCAATCATAATTTTTCATTGGTTTTGTTTGAAAGATTTGTTTGCATGTTTCATCTTTTAAAACCAATGACCAGTATTTTTAATACTTTGTATTTCGGACATTTGATTCTTGGGTCATACTTTGTAATTAGAACATTAAGTATTTTCTTTGTTTTCTTGGCTTTACATTCCAATTTATCTTAATAAATCCTATAAAAGTATGAATTATTTATAACTATTTATTATTTATTAGAATATCTTAAGATCATGATGATAAAACATTACAGATTTTAAACAAAAAAGAGAAAAAGTTCTATTTCTTATAATCGAATCGAAATTATTCGAAAATCAAGGTTTTTGTTTGAACCGAATCGATTCGAAAATTTTCTGATTCATGGCAGCCCTATATGATACTCAACCTTGCTTATGGCTGCCTGAGTTTCCAGGTATAAATAAAACTGGAATGCCTTGAAAATTCATCTTCCTGGAATTAAAGAAATTGCACTCATCACACTTCTTTTATCTTAAACTATCACTAACTTATTTTCTCAAATTAAAATCTTCAAGAATTTCATATCACAATATTCTGCTACTCACTCCAGGTTTCTGGCATAAACTCTACAAAAGAAACAGAAAAAATATAACTAAAGAGTCCAGGATTGGATTATATATGCACAACCGCCTAGTGTTTCAAATTTTACCTCACAAACAGGAGAATCACTGAATAGTATTTTATATTCATCATGTTTAAAGCGACTTCTTAAAAATAGAAAAAAGGACACTTACCCTTCACCATATACATACAAGTTGTATCGAGGAAACTTTTCTTTAATAGGCTTGCTTAGGGGAATCTCCTGAAAAACAAATATAAACATTATCCTGATAATAAAAACGAAGTTTCAATTGTTTTAAAAATAGTTTTTTCGGTGGTAGTTTCTTAAATTTATTCTATTTTTTTTTAATATTGTAAAACATGCACTTGCACAAGTTAATCAGAGATTTGCAACTCTGTAATTAATAGGATTATTTTCTGAACTACTTGTATATTCTCAAGCTGCATATGCCATTATTCTTAAAAACAAATTACCCCCATATTTCAATCTAAATATATATTTTGTTTTGATTGATTGAATATGCATACATTTATATTATTGACTACATGTATATGCATGATCAGCATCATGTAAAATGTCAAAAGACATCCTAGTTTCTCAACCCATCACCTAAAGACAAACACACAAATTTAAATTAGTAATATTTCCACCATTCCAGTTTTTCACCTTTATAAAAAATTACTAATTTGGGACCAAATGGCATTAATCAATATTTAGTCAACAATTCCTTTAATAAAAAATCCAAATATTACAGTAAACGATTTCCCAACCCGAACCTTATACTAGAAATAGTCTAGAACACCATTTTTCAAAATCTTAGTTATTTCAGCCTCGTCGGAATTTACTCTGTTGTAAAACACAGTACACAAACCATTAAATAAAATACGCACCAAATATTCCGGTTGTTCGAACATGAACGTCATATGACATTTATTCTGTTCATAATTTGTAAGGACATCTATAATGCCGTATAATATGACAGCAATGCAAACTGCTGAGTACAGAAGTTTGGTGAGTATCGCCATTTTCCCGGCTTACGTTAAACAAAATAGCCCTCTCTAGAAATAATTCGTTTAGGTATTCAGTCAATTATCAAGAAGACATTTGATAACTTTTGTCATATTAATAACACAGCTATGATGTTTAAAAGACACGTTCCTGAATTTGATATTTGTGATCCACTGTGTATACCTACATGACATTGTACCTCGAATATTTTTAGTGTATAAATGATGTACGACTTACTCATAACTTTCACTTTCGTCTGCTCATGCTGTGGTAAAAACGAATTATGGCGAAAAATCTGGAAGCATACGATTCTGCGTTGCTTGGGATCCTTCAGCATGAGGGACAGATTGCCAAATTTCTGGATGTGATTTTAGGATTTCTATATCGAAGGTACTGCTGAAGTATTCAACAATCATTTTCATTGTAACCATAACCAGTATCAGCTAGCTGAAGAACTGTAGCTCACCGAAAAATATTTCGCACAAAAAGTTTCGCTTAGTTCTGAATTACTTCTTCCAATTTCTTACCCCAATTGCAAAAATGATAAATATAAAAAAAATTCTCACCTCTCCGTCAAGTATTCTTGTAGTCGACATCTGCACAAAGCCTGTTATATCTTGCACATCAAAATGGCATTATAAATGGACGAAATTTTCGATGATCTCAATTTTATGGTCAGGAGGGTAATTAACATCATGATAAGGATTGTTTTGTTGTGGAAACAGTGAAAGAATATGTTAGGAACACACAGTTAGGCCATAATAATAATATTCGGCAGTGTCTATATGCACGACCGTCGTGCACTTACTTTTTCAACGGCTATTCGCACGACCGTCGTGTACATAATTTTTCAGTGACTATTTGCACGACCGTCGTGTATATAATTTTTCAGTGTCTATTTGCACGACCGTCGTGTTTATATATAATATTTATCAGCTGTTCGCAAGACCATTATATTTCTTATTATGGCGTTCGTTTTTTCGTACCAGTTAAGTTCGGCACGCAGTAATTAAAGCCCCAAATATCTTTATAAATCATAATTATTGCCTTTTGGTAAGAAAACATCGCAAAAACTTTCTTTCATGATGTTAATTTATACAATAAAATGACATTTAGGTCCAATGGACAGATCGTTGTAATGTAAATCTGTTTCTTTTAGAACTACCCATGTATTTGTATATATATAAACAAGTCATTTTAATAAAATATTGACTTACTATTTTGGTAGGCCTGGGTTTACCCTTTCCACCTCAACCCTTATCCCAACAATTAACACGAACCAGGGTGCAATTGATAAGCATTTTCACCTACTCTAGTACTGAATTCTTAATACACACTTTTATAACGGTAAACCAAAAACTTGTCATAAAACCTTAGTTTTATACTGTTATACTCGTGAAATCTCAAATTAAACAATTATATTGATATTTAAATGTTAATAGTTCCCTTAAAATGCTATTTATAAAAATCATCAAGTTTTTATGGAGTATGTAGTAAATATTGACGTATGTATCTCAATGATGATAAACTGTTGATAAAGACCACATGTGCTTCCCAACCCCCCAACCCCCCCCCCTCCCCAACCGTGTTCTGTACTATTTTTCTATGACATATTTACAAAGTATTTCTTCTAAAAAAATCAAAAATTTAAGCTAAAACTTGCCTTTTATAAAAATCCATACCCTCTGATACCGAAGCAGAAGTGTTTTAGTATCAGAGGGTATGAATTTTTATTCCCCCGTCCCGTCCCCAAGCACCTGTGATAAAGACGACCTTTAATCAGAAAAAAACACTTTTGAATAATTTTGTGTATGACGGCACTTTATTTTGGTTGAAGGTGGCTTCATCTTAAAAATGGTGAAAAAAATTTTTTCCCAATTTTTCTTCTCCTATTTTAAGATTTGGTATAAGATTCTTTCTTGATTAAATTTATCCATCCAATATCGATGACTTCATGGTGTGATTGCTGAAATTGTGATTCCAAATTTTATTTGAAGATTTTTTAAGTTGTGTATTTTTTTTTTCTATGATTTCTTTACTACTTTTAAGAAATATATAAGATGTCATTTCAAGAGTTTCATTGTTATACCTGGGTGATCCGTTATTTTTGGAAGTGCATATTGTCGTTTACTAATTATTGAATTAGAAATTCAAATAATGAGTACACGACAATTAATAAAAGACAATATTATTAAGTCATGAATTTGAGCAGGCATATGATATAACATATAACATTTTATCTTAAAGTTAATAAATAAATTTAAAAAAAACAAAATGTGATATATTTAAAATATAACGTGAGATGTTGCGCACTGAAATCGGCGCGAATCGTCCTGGTGCGAACCATCTCGGTGCGAAACAGAATTGGTGCGAGACATCCCGGATTCGTGTATACAATATTATCGTCGTGTGCAAATCTCTGGCATATGCGATTGCAATTTGCACGACGGTCGTGTAAATAGATTTTTTTCTAACCTATGTGCACGACGGTCGTGTATATATCTCAGCAATTTGCATTAGCTATTCGCACGACGGTCGTGTAAATAGACTTTCTTTACTATGCGCACGACGGTCGTGTATATATCATCGGCCTAATATTCCTAGATTCTCATCCCCGCCCGCCCCAATTTTAAACCCCCGCCTCGATTTTTTTAATTTCTGTTTTTCTTCGTCTTAATTCTGATCGGGATTGGTATTCATCTACAATTCTACTTTCGTTTTAAATCGATTTGATTCGATTGATAGATCCGGGGCATACATTGTTTTTGTCCTGTCTGTCTGTTTGTTTGTTTGTTTGTCTGTTTGTCTGCAAACTTTAACCTTCGCCATAACTTCTGAACCATGAAATATAGAGACTTCATATTATTATGCGCCCGGATTGATAGATCCTGGGCGTATATTGTTTTTGTCCTGTCTGTCTGTTTGTCTGTTTGTTTGTCTGCAAACTTTAACCTTCGCCATAACTTTTGAACCATGAAATATAGAGACTTCATATTTGGTATGCCTACTCCACTAATTAAGCTCTTTAAAATGACACCAAGGTCAATGACCTTGTGACCTTGACTGTGACCTTTATGCCAAAAATAGCTTTTTATCTGCAAACTTTAACCTTCACCATAACTTTTGAACCATGAAAGATAGAGACTTTATATTTTGTATGCGTAATCCACTAATGAAGTTCTTTCAAATGACACCAAGGTCAATGACCTTGTGACCTTGACTGTAACCTGTATGCCAAAAATATTTTTTTTATTCCTTTGCCATAACTTTCAAACCTTATAAGATGGAGTCTGCATATTTTGTATGCATACTCCATTAATTAAACTCTTTCAAATGACACCAGGGTCAATGACCTTGTGACCTTGACTGTGACCTTTATGCTAAAAATAGTTCTTTCGTACCTTTTCCATAACTTTTGAACCACAAGAAATAGATACTTCATATTTGGCTTCCATACTTTACTTATCAATTTCTTTTAAATAACACCAAGGTCAATGATCTTAACTGTGACTTATTTGCTAAAAATAGCTCTTTTAGAATTTTGTTGCCGCTGGGCGCATAGTGTTTCACAAACACATCTTGTTTCTATAATTTCTGGGCACAATTATTGGTAAATCTCATTCGTTATTTCATGATTAGTGATATGTAACTGAATGCCTGCTTCTTTAGATTAATTTACAATCTTAAAATGTTATGTTATTTAAAATAATTTGTATATTCTTATTTTTTGACAGAACTGACTTTTACAGACTTATGAAATCCAAAGATGACAAACTTGGATTTCCTCCAGGAGTAGCTGCAAAAATTTTACTTACAGTGAGTTTTTTTTTTGACTCCTTGAAATAAAAAGGAGACAAGACCAGCTCCCATTTAAAAGATACTATTAGATCAATTATTTTCTTGCAGGATTCATTTTTTTCAAGGTAAGAATTTAACCCCCCTTTCAATTATATAATATTGTTTTAGGCATACAAGAAATATGATGACCTTGCAAGAAAGGATGATGAGGAAAGAGAAAAGATCCTGCAAATGAAGTCACATCAAGGTAAAATGAAGTTTGAATAGTAGGTGCTAGAAATTTTGAAATAGCAGTAGAATTTTAGCATGAACCATGATTATACATTTTAAAATTGTTCATATTTTTTTTCCTTTGAAATAGAAAGTGCAGTCCCTCCAGTTGCAAAAATTGTGGAAATCAGTTCAGAAAATGATACAGAATCTCATAAAGAACAAAATAAAGGGGGTGTAAACACAGCACCTAAAGAAATAAAAGAAACAACAGGAAAGGATTCAAAGCAACAAACACAGGCTAATGCCCCAACCATGCAAACCAATGAAAAGGAATCCAGATCAGAAACCACATCATCACAAAGACAGGAAGAGGATGTTGATCCAGCGCTTGCAGCGTAAGGATTGTCCATTCTCAGTCCAGCCAAACATGTTTGCCTTTTCATTTACACATGTACAAGCATTACTATTATATGAGATATCTTCTGACATTAAGTACAGATTCAGTTGTACTCTAACTCTATTGCTGCTGTTTGTTTTATTTCAGTTCAATCAACAGAGATCTCATTCTTGGATAAATAAAAATATTTACCATTAAGATTTTCATTATTAAGACTACTTAAGTACCACCAAAATTACTTTTGCTCTGCATATGGATATTTTTGTTTCATAATTAGATAAATGTATGTTGTAGCAAGCAGCAGGTGTTCCAGTCCAATCCAGAGAGCTACAATGGGGCCGTCAGGGACAACTATTCCTGGTCTCAGTCAATCACAGATATTGATCTACGCGTCAATGTAAGGAAATGTTCATCTGTAATTCCTTTGTACATGTTAAAGGAGTTATCCCTCCTTGATTGCTTTAAATTTTCTGTTTATCAAACATATCACACAAATAAGTCAGACGTAATAAATCTGCTGACTATGTCTACATTTCTCCAGTCTCAGTTAGCTAGGCATATAATTTCCTTACAATTTTTTTTTGAAATTACTATCATTTAAAAAAAATTACTTGTTGCCAGAATGTTTTTAATAGCTTAGCTTCACAACCTTTCACAGTTTCATACACTATACTTTCATTCTAGATACCAAATTATATTGTGAAAGGAAAAGACGTTAAAGTGGAAATAGAAAAGAAACATGTTAAAGTCTCACATAAGACAGACAGTGGTACATGGGTTGAGGTTGTAAATGGTGACCTCCCCTGGGAAATAAACAAGGAGGAATCCATGTGGACACTGGTTCCAAAGGAGCATGTTCATGTAAGTTTCTGATCTGAAAATAATGGTAATCTTTCTGTAGTGTAAGTTAAAGAACTTTTCATAGTTGTACTGAAATAAAGTGAAATCTGTCTAACCAAACATGCACTGGGAGACAGATTTTGTGTCAGAATAGACAGGGTGTCAGATTGCACTGTGCACAATAACATGAAAATTACTAATAAGAATGGGAAAGAATTTTTACGTCAGAATTTACATTGTGTTGGATTGCACAGGTGTCAGGTTAGACAGTTTTCACTGTATTTATTACTTCACCTAGTGAACCATTCTATACAGGAAGTTACATGCACAGAAAATTAGAATTTTCCTTATGCACTGATTTTCAAGAAAAATATTTTTTTTAAGGGCAAAAAAGTGATGACAAGTTCAGGAATTTTTCTCAGTCTTTTATAATTTGAATCTTTAAGAACTAGTTAAGTACAGATATACCCTGGTATTGTTATATGCAAGTACACAAAAAAAATGTATATCAGTCACAATTTTTTCTGACAGTAGGAAAACGTATTCATTGCTAGTGGTAATATATAAATATTGTATATAGTTGAGGGTAACATTGAAAATTTTCAATGTTACACTCAACTACATGCAATATTTATTATATTATACTGAATGTATTATACAAATACGTATAAAAGTGAACCGTGCATGTATAAATTCTGCACAGTCGCTATTTTTTGGAATATCACCCCTCGTCAAGCAATGTTGACTGTTGCTACGCTGGAGGGCATGGCTTCATTATTCAGTGGGTAATTGTGATTTTTAACAAATGTTTCTCGACCAATAAGATTCAAGTAATTTACATGAAAGTATAATATAAAAAAAATAAATACTTGTGTATTTCACTTCCTGTTTGAATGAATTGTTTGTTGCATAATATTACATATGCATATAATTATATGTATCACATGATTGATAAAATGTGCAAAATTTCAAAATGTGCTTTGTTAATTTTATTAAATGTTTCTCATTGTATTGTATTATAACATGTGTCACTATAATAAACAATTTACTTTTCAATTGCTATACATATAACTAACTACTCAAGAAAATGAAGCACAAGGAAACAGTTTTTATTATTAGATGCCTAAACATATTTATCAGTCATTTTGCTCAAATTTTAAAGTACATCAGTGGTAATTCACAAAAAAGAATGCAGCTTACTGGTATCAATTACAAACATGACATACATGCTGTATTATGTATATACTTGTACCCTTAAGAAGTGTCAGGAAATAAATTATCTAATTATGAAGTAATTATATATTTGATAAAATTATAAAATTCATAGATAATTGTGGATGTTTTATGTTGGTCATGCATGGACAGATTAACTTGGAAAAGAAGGAAGAGAGATGGTGGGAGTCTGCACTTACATCCGAGGAGAAAATCAGTGTACGTAAGATAGACGCTAGTCGACCAATGACAGATCTGGACGATGAAGCACAGGCTAAAATAGCCGAGATGATGTACAATGAACAGCAGAAAAGGATGGGGAAACCCACTTCTGAAGAACAGGTCATTTTATAATTTAAATTTCATCATCCCTAAAAGGTTTACAAAAAGATTTTTTATGAAAATCAGTGAAATAGGAAAGCAATTTACATAATTTTACCAACAATTATGTTACCAAAAAGTAAAAATGATGCATGTTGAAAAAAAAAACAGTCTTTAATTTTTATGACAAAAAGAGTTTGTTACAAATTGATGTGGACTGTTGACAGTCTAATTATCAATAAAGTTCTCATGAATATTTATATTTCTTTCTGAACTAATTCTTCCTAGATTGCTTCATTTAATTTTAAGAATTAATTTATTTTTTTCATTCTAATTTTCTATAGCCCAGTTAACGACATCCGATCCTGATATTTAAAGTCTTAAACTTTTTTTGTCAAGTATATTTTTAATTTCTACATACATAGCTTAATTAAAATTCAAATCAAAAAATGGAGGTCAATATGCTTCTTTTGGCACTACAGTACATTAAATATGACCTTTTTGCACTGAAATTTGTGTCTTAATTAAAAATTACATCTTCGACGTTTTCCCTGCAATATTTTTATCAAATTAAAGCACGTAACAAATTGAACTCTAAGTCTGTTTAAAAAAAGACACTTTAAAATTGTGACTAAGAAAAAGTTTTAAATTGCTTCGCATAATCAATTATTTGACCTTTCTGCACTAATAAAATGTGATTTGTCTGGCACTGAAAATTTAACAAGCAAGAAAATTATTTTAAAGTCTTAAACTTTTTCTGATTTTAAGCAAATAGGTCAAAGTTATCTTGAATATTTAGAAAAGAACATCAAAAGTGGGGGTATATGATGTAAATTTCCAGATATTACTAAAACAGTGTCAATTTTATGTTAAAATCGGCTAATTTTTTCCCCGGATTTTCAGAATATATATACTATATTTGTCACACTTTGTTGATAGAATTTAAGAAATAATTTAATAGATATTTCAGAACCAGCATAACACATTTCACTGCAAAAAACAGCTTTGTGTGCAACCAGAATGGAAAAATAGGAATCCAAAATAAACAGTATCGTTATAGTTCAAAAGAGAAAAACGGATTTTTCGTCTAAAAAACCTTCCGCCATATAGTCCCTAGTTTAATTCTACTTGAATAGAATTTAATCGCGGTTTTTTCGTTGAATATAGTTCAATTTGCATTGTATAATTCAGATTTAATGTTATAACTTAAAAATGATGCAGAATTTTATAGATAAAGGACATGACCAAAATTCACTCAAAAGCTCAGGATCGAACGTCCTTAATAAGATCAAAAGAATTAATTTCAAAGTTTATTACACATATATTCTATATATAAATACTTGAGATGAGGAAGATGTTTTCAATGTACTGTACTACCTTTAGAAATTTAAAAAGCAAATTTCATAGTAGATATTTGTTTTGTGTTTACAAAAGCAAGAAAGATAGGTTGAACACAAAATGAAAGGAAACAATGATTTATTTAATTGTAATTTGTTTATTTAAACTTGTTAACAAATTAGACTTGTTAACAAATTAAATAAGATGTCATGGGATAAGCAAGATAAAGGACTTGGATTGATACAGTGACTTCATTGTCCCTTGTGACCTGCATATATACACAGAATGATAAAAATTATCATCAACAATGTGTTGTTATCTTATGATGTTTAATCATATAAAAAAAAAAATATGATTAAGCTTTGTATGTATTATATGATTAAAATAGTCAGATGACAGTGATATATCTGAAATATTTGTTTGTCAATCAAGCTAAAAAATTTTTATTGATATAAAAAAAAAAAATCTATGAGTTATCTCCCTTAGGATGGCTAGTGTAGATTTATATGATATGTTTGAAAATGTCATCTAAACTATTTATACCTTTAATTTTTGGGGTTATTTAGATTGTTGTACATGTATTTTATCGAATCCATGCAGAGATTCAGAAGAGGGGGTTTGGGGGATTGGAGAGGGGGTTTCATTGTAATGTCTTTAAAGTTTTAACACTAATTATTAGAATATCCAGCTGATTTCTTTAAAATTACAGAAAGACGATATATACTGGTATTAAAAAAAAAATTAAAAAAATTAAAGCTTACAGAAATTTTGAATAATTTGAACTTTTATTTGTGCTTCTACAGAAAGTCCAGAACCTCCTGAAAGATGCATGGAATGCAGAGGGATCACCTTTTAAGGGACAACCATTTGATCCCTCCAAAATAAATGTAGGTCAAGGGGGTGTGGTCTCCATTAACAACGAGGAAGGAGCAATGAATTCCTAAGAACCCAATAGGAAGGCCGGAAATCTGCTCCGTTGTTGTTGTTCTGTTTCACAATGGTTCACCTGGAATACCTTCTTTTACCTGAGATTAAGGTGACCAAAGCCAGGAAGTGTAATCTTGATTGGATACAAAGTATATCAAATAAAATAAGATACTTGCAAGTTTTTGGTGTATGTGACATATCCATTACTGTACATTAATATTGCTTCACAGTTCTTAAGTACATCTAAATGATAAACAAATATTTTGAACTGAACCATATGCTTAATAGTCAGATGTTGACACTGGTATTTGTTTACTGTACACAATTTACAACTAATATTGTTTTGTTTATAGATGTTAGAAAACTGCATGCCTGTTATTTGGTTTAAATTTTTTAATCAATAGTCCAAAGTTCATTAGAGTTTTAAGAATTCTCATTATGATAAAGTCGCTAATGCAATTATACTGTTAGTATTTTAATTAAAATATGTTACAAGTATAAAGAAGTTTTATTTTTGTTTAGCTTTAAGCTTACCAACATGTAAGAGTTAAAAAGTTAATTTTAGCTTTTCAGACTGTTAAGTGTCTGGCATTTGTATGTTTTATTCTTGACTTATTTTGAATTAGCGTAACTATTCAATCAGACAAGCATATTGTAGATTCAAGTTTGTTCAATACACAGTGTTCTAGAATGGGAAAAAATTACAATCTAATAAAATCAGACTTCTTAAATCCATGTGGTATACCCTCAACCAAACAACAGAGGTCAAACTTTGTTTGGAGTACATAGTAGAAAGTTTGAAGAAAAAAAAAATTGTTTTGGAAATTCTAGAGGTGGGATCAGGTGCCTTGGAGGAGTAAGCCTCCCCTGTTGACCTGTTTCACCCACCATAAGTCATGTGTAACTGATCAGGAAGGCAGTTGAGGAAATATTACCTACAAATACAGAAAAAGTAGTTATTAAATAATTTAATATTGATGGGAATTTTTCGTAAAATATCTAAGCATACTGTCTGCAAAAGACTAATATAGCAAAATGACATGACTTAGCATGAAATTGAATAATTAAAAACCAACTAGCTTAAAAAAAAGTGTGTGACCCTGGAATAGTTGATCGAGTGAACAGACAGAATTTGATATTCATGAAAAACATACTTTCAATGGGAAAATATATCAGCATTTAACAAATGAGTTAGGTTTAGCATTGTAGTAGGGTAACTGTATCTGATATAACTTACATGTCAGGTATCATTTTCAGTTCTTACTTTTTTAATTGGCTGGGAAAGTGAATTTGTTATATATCCATATTATCTTTCACATATATCTAATTTTTTAATGGCGGGGAAAGTAAATACCGATATTTTACATCTTTTGTAAACTTGAGACATGAGATGTTCGCCCATATGACATGCACAGCGACTGTAATTCTTCATACTCATACTTATATGTTCTTTACAACAGGCCTTTGGGTAGCTCGAATCCGACTTTTTGTGTAATTTCTTGTAGCACCCCAATTTTTATAAAAATTTCGTAAGCTGGATTACAGCGATCTAAATGAGTGTGTTCTTTTACCAAAAATTACCACCTGTGGATTTACCGATGCTATATAAAAAGAAGATAGAAAGAAAATCTAAAAAATGATATGGTTGATTTCAGTACTGTCAGAAAGACTGGAATCAAAATTCACAAAATGAAATTAATATTGCTACTGGAAAAGTGTTTGTTATGCTAGACTAAGTACCCTACATGGTAGATACAACATTCCTTGATTTTAGTTAAATTGTCTACATTTATTATTATATCCCCGCTTGAAAAATGGGAAGGAATATAGGAATCGGGATGTCCGTCCATCCATCTGTATGTTCGTCGGTCTGTTACGCTGTGGGGGTACCCATCTCTGATCCGGAACTCCTCTTATACTTTTATACAGACGGACGGAGATCCCGATCACTATAAACCCTCCCATTTTTCAGCGGAGATATAATAAAAACTAGTGTATCATACACGTATATGGTTGTGTAGATAAATTATCCAGGAAAGAATGGCAATAAACAGTTAACCAGTGAATTTCTCTCCATGAAAATGTTAGATACAGTGTGTAAGTTAAATTCTATGGGTTAAAAACATTACAGAAACAAGTGTCTGTGGACAGAGTCAGGAAGAACAAAGATATATTGTTGTTTTATAAAAATCGTTTTATTGTAAACTTTTTAGGTACTTTCTATTCAATTTATTTAGGAGCCTCCTACTCCCGGGGCCCTTGATTGGGCAATAACACATCAAGTATCTTTAAACAAAAACCAGCTAGTTTAGAGTTTACAAGTAAAATGACAGCAAAAATCGTTTCTAAAATATAATTTATTTGATTTTAAATATAATACATAAAACAACATCTACATCTGAAGAAGATTTTGGTCGATATGTTTCAAATGAAATTGACAATTTGATCGCCTTTATCCAATCTTCCATGTAGATGTTGTTTCATTTACTAAGTTTTAAATCAAATAAATTATATTTTAATAACGGCTACATTTTTGCTGTCATTTTACTTGTCAGCTCTAAACTAGCTTGGATTTTTGTTTTTATACAAGAAAATGGATACCTGATGTGTTACTTGTATTGTCCAATCAAGGGCCCCGGGAGGCATTTAAACAAATTAGATAGAAATTATGTTAAAAAATAGCAATAAAAATATTTTTAAAAAACAATATATCTTTATATTTACATCCACTGAATATTTTTACCTTTATTTCATAGGAAGACCATTGCCATTAATCAGTGCATGATTGATTGATTAATTGTATATTGTTTAACGTCCCTCTCGAGAATTTTTCACTCATATGGAGACGTAATCAGTGCATGAACAACACTGAGCAAGCCACGTGTATAGTTTGCTTTGCTTTGAAAAATGGCTGTTCCATCAGTTTTACATTCAGTGACATATACATCTTAAAAGCAATACTTAAAAAAATACTTTACTTTGCATGATTTTTGATACAGATGTAATTTACAACTAAATAATAAAATGCTTTCTTTGGTTGTTAGTACGGGAATTAATGTCGCAGCTATTGCAGAAAAAAATCACATAACCTGCTTACGCTGGTTATGTATTTTTCTGCAATAGCCGTGATAGCTGCGACATTAATTCCCGTACTAACAACCAAAGCAAGCATATTATTAAAGTTCTTCCCGACTTTCTGTCGGACTGTCCACAATTACTTGTTTCTGTAATATTATTTTTTCCTCATAGTATTTAACTTCGTCAGAATGGATTAAATGTATCAGATCCATGTTTTAAAATCGCGTATTAAAAGATTGAGGGGCAATTTGATGACCATCTATTCTGTATTCAATAATCCAGAAAAAGAGAAAAAAAGAATTACTAGTAGATAGATTACATGATCAGTACGTACAAGTCCCTGCTGACAAAGCAGGTAACAACAATGTCTTCGTTTTTAAGGCTCATTATATAACTTTATTTTAGAAGAACTTGGATTTGATTCTACAATTGGTAATCCAATTAAAACTAATTATTGGAATATCCAGCTGATTTCTTTAAAATTACAGAAAGACGATATATACTGGTATTAAAATTTTTTTTAAAAGATTGAAGCTTACAGAAATTTTAAATAATTTGAACTTTTATTTGTGCTTCTACAGAAAGTCCAGAACCTCCTGAAAGATGCGTGGAATTGCAGAGGGATCACCTTTTAAGGGACAACCATTTGATCCCTCCAAAATAAATTTAGGTCAAGGGTGTGTGGTCTCCATTAACAATGAGGAAGGAGCTATGAATTCCTAAGAACCCAACAGGAAGGCTTGGGATCTGCTTCGTAGTTGTTCTTCTTCACAGTCATTAACCTGGAATACCTTCTGTCACCTGAGGTTAAGGTGACCTAATCCAGGAAGTGAAATCTTGATTGGATACAAAGTATATCAAATAAAACAAGGTACTTGCAATTTTTTGGTATATGTGACATATCCATTACTGTACATTAATATTACTTCACAGTTCTCAAGTACATTTGAATGATAAACAAACAAATATTTTGAACGGAACCAAATGCTTAGTCAGATATTGACACTGGTATTTGTTTACTGTTCATGACACAATTTACAACTTTTATTGTTTTGTTTATAGATGGTAGAAAACTGCATGCCTGTAATTTGGTTTAAGTTTTTAAATCAGTAGTCCAAAGTTCATTAGAGTTTTAAGAATTCTCATTCTGAGTTGCTAATGCAATTATACTGTTGATAAACTTAATATGTTAAATAAAATATGTTACAAGTATAAAGGAGTTTTGATTTTTTTCTTTAAGCTTACCTACTTTAAGAGTCAAAGTTTTCAGATTGTTTGCTTGCGGGGATTTGTATGTCTTATTTTTGATTTTTTTCTGTTTTCATAAATATCTATTCTATCAGACAAGCAGGTATGCATTTCAGCATATTGTAGATTGTGTTTTGTGGATTTCATAGGTCACTCATACCCACAAATTTACATCCCCACGAACGATTATTTTGTTAACATATTGATTCATTGAATGATAGTATTTACAAGTAAACCAAGAAATCACGTCCCATGAACAGGTAAAATTTTGCTGACCAACAAATATTGACCCCCACTATTAATAAAAACGATTCCACAGTACACTCAGTGAAACAACGGAGTTCAAACTTTTTTTGAGTACATGGCAGAATGTTCTGAAAAAAGTCTTGACTTGTAAATTCCCGAGGTGGGATCAGGTGCTTAGGAGGAGTAAGCATCCCCTGTTGACCAGGCACGTCAGCCATAAGTCTTGTAATTAATCAGGAAGGCAATTGAGGTAATATTACCTACAAATACATGTACAAAAAAGTAGCTATTAAATAATTAACTATTGATGAGAAATTTTTGTAAAATACCGAAGCATTATACTGTGTGCAAAAGACTAGTATAGCAAAATCTCATGATTTAGCATGAAATTTAATACTTGAAAACTAACTTTAAAAAGTTCACGACCACGAAATAGTTGAACAAGTGAAAAGACAGAATTTGATATCCATGAAAAACAAATACTTTTAGTGGGAAAATATATCAGCATTTAACAAATGAGTTAGGTATAGCATTACAGTGACAAGTATTACATGTAAAGGTAACAGTACCTGACATTTCTTACATGTCAGGTATCATTTTCAGTTCTCACTCATTTTAATTGGCTGGGAAAGTGAATTATGGTTACGTATCTATATTATCTTTCACATATCTGATTTTTTATTGGCTGGGAAAGTAAATATTTTAGATTCTTGCTAAACTTGAGACATGAGATGTTGGGCCATCTGACATGTACAGCGTCTGTAATTCCACATGCTCGAACACGACTTATAAATTTTTTGGTGTAATTTCTTGTAGCCTCCCAATTTTTTATGTAAATGCAGTGGCGGATTTAAGGCGCGCGCCCCCCTAAAATTATCAAAGTTAGCGTAAATCACAGTTTCGTCTAGAACATGTAAATATGTCTACTTGGTAGACCTCTTTTTTACCCTACAAAATCTCTAGAATCCAGGAGCTTCCGGCGGCCCCCAGACCCCCTGCCTATTTTTGGCGCCCCCTCTAACTTAAATTCCTGGATCCGCGCCTGACATGTAACTCGGATTAAAGCTAAACGAGTGATGTTCTTTACCAAAAACAACCCACTGTGGGTTCACCGATTTTGCATAAAAAGATGACAGAAAGGATATCTAAAGATTCTTTGGTTGATTTCAATATTGTCAGAAAGACTGGAATCATTTTATCAAAATTCACGAAATGAAAATAAAATTGCTCCTGAAAAAGTTTTTCATACGCTAGACTAAGAACCCTACATAGTATGTTAGTGCCCTGCATGGTAGATGCAACATTCACTGATCTTAGTTAACTTGTCTACATGTATATTCATTATTATTTCCGCTTGAAAAGTGGGAGGGAATATAGGAATCAGCTGTAGATACATCTATATAGTTGTGTAAATAAATTATCCAGGAAGAATACCATTGTGACCTCCTATTTTACTTTTTGATCCGATAAATATTTTGGGTTTCCCGTGGCAAAACATGGACACTGTCATTCTTTCTATAATACTGAAGGGTACCCATCTCTTATCCACAACTCTTCCCATACCACTGAATAAGATTTAATAACAAGTCGGAAATTTATATATTCAATAAAAGTGACTGTTTTACCCTAAAAAAAAACATCCAAATGTGTACCCATTAAAGGATCAAAAAGTATCAAGGTGATTATTTTGCTCAATTTTCTAGGCCTCCTACATCCACAAACAACCGGCCTCCTCTAGGATATGCAAATGGACCCATTGCCCCACAAAACTCACTTAGCTTTCAAAGTAGCTTTCAATGCAGGAATTAGCTCACTTGACTAACACCGTGCAAAAATGGGGATTGCAAAGCCGTCGGAAAGGGGAACTTTTAGGAAGTGACTGTAAAAAAAGCCCCCCCCCCCTTTAAAAGGAAGACAGAAGTAGTTCATCATTCATCTACGTAATTAAAGTAATGCCACTAGATTTTGTTTCTTCAACATGTGAAAAAAAAATAAATTGAGAAATGTGTCAGAACCACAAAAGATGCTCACTCCTTCATGGCACCCACGGCCCAATCCTACCTCTGTAGTTCAAGAGGTCCGTGTTTGCTCTGCTCCTGGTTTGTACGCATGCATTGTTTAAGGAGTTTGGACGTTTGATCTTGAATACTACTTGCTATCTCCATATATTTCATGATAACCGGTTATTTGAAAAATGTCTGTCTGAGAAGAGAGAGTAAACCTCGCAGACTATCGTTCGCACCCCTTCCAGAAACCTGGGAGCAACCATTCACAGAGAATTCTTGGAATTTATATCACAGCCATTGATTTAACTTTACACAGAAAAAAACATTAGAGGTAATAATACATGTTTTTTAAAGATTTGTTGACACTTACATGACTTAGAAACTTTTTGAATAAATTCAATTCAGCTTAATTAATATAAATCAATGACAATAGGTTTAATAACAATGTGACAAAATTCGTGTTCTCGAGAATTCCAGCAGATTGATGGAAGTACTGATCTTCAAACTCTACAAAGTAATTGTCAACCAGACACTAAAGCATGTATGCAAACCTGATACATGAATGTTTATGAAAAGACAGTGTTGTTTAATCAATTTAATTAAGTAAAAGTGCTTATATTCAGGGTTAGGGATTCAAGAAAAAATTAAGTGACATTGTCATGAATTCAAGACCAACAACGAGAGAGAGCTTGAGAGCTTATTATGCATGAAGGATATGGGATATGCATGGAGATAACGAACAGTATTCAATATCAAAGTCCATAAAACAATACAAAATAGAAGTAGAGCAAACACGGACCCCCAAAACATCAGAGATGGGATCAGGTGCCATGGAGGAGTGAGCATCCCCTGCTGACCGGTCACATCCGCCGTGTCCTCCTTGTTATGATCGGGAAATAACGGAAAAATCCGTCGTCAATTCAGTCTATAAATAATTGACTAACGATTGGTGTGAAAAACGTCAGTAAGCTTTTGACTCAATGGTAAATTGTAATGGCTGACAAGGTCATTGTATCAGCCATAGAACTTACGAAATGATGACTTTAAACGAGACTGCTGATATTCTTGTTTTATCAACTTGTTTGTCAATAATTTACCTCGTTTTAGAAATTGCTCATACGTAGAACATGCTCTTGCGTATCGAATCAATTGTGAGATATAAACTCCGTTATGAAGGTGACAAAGGTATATTGCTGCATAAGTAAGGGAAGTTGACGATAGAAGAGTTAAAGTCATCACGTTTATCATTGAGTTTGGTTGTTAGATTACCATTAACGTCTTTTTTCAAGTAAAATATCCAAATATGAAACAGAAGTGTCAAACTCTGTGGTATCTTTTATCTCAAGCTCACCAGAATATATCGTATCGACATAGGAATGGAAATTACCATTGTTAATGCACAAAACGTCGTCGATATAGCTAAATGTCGAGTTTAAGGCCACAGCAAGTTTTTTCTTCTTTTCATGCATAAGATTTTGCATAATATTTTGCTTCTTATGAAATGCATGCATTAATAAAGAATTATGTTAATTTTTTGCATAAAACTGACATTTTTTTTTATCCGTTTATCTTTTTTCTTATTGACCGTCTTTACAATTTTTTTTATTGATGAAATTTCAAAACATGCTATTTTTTTTAGTCATTCATCACGGAAACATATCCTTTTACAATTTAATGATGACAAAAAATATATAAATAATATCCTTTTTTCTGACTAAGTTTATCTTTGTATGCACAATCAGAATCATGGATTTACCAAGAAATCTGTACAGTCTGAGTTGCCTCGTCTTTTATTTCACTGCAGTGTTATGTGTTGAACCCCATCCCCACATAAAAGGTAACTTTAATTAACATTTAATTGATACAAGGCATATAATAATAACATTGTAAAAACTTGATGGTACATATCTGAGACGAAAGTGAAAATTTTTTCACTACATATTTTATTGAAAACCGCATATAGTTAAAGTGCTGGCAAATGGTCATTTGTTTTGTTCAATTTCATTATTTATTTCAGTACGTAAACCAGAGAGTATTTACATGTAGATATATTTTTCTAAAAGATCATTACATATTTAGTTTTTAGAAAAAAGGAAGCTCATCACTCACATCAATTCTAAAATTCAAGACAGGATTAATGTTGACTATATAAGTCATTGTACGTTTTATGTCGCACTTAAATCACAATATCTCTCATTGAAACATCGATGCTGATCAGATAAAAAAATGTTGTTTTATCAAATTAAACATTTCCTGGCATTATCAAGGAATTTGTGGTAAAATCAGTCAAGAAATGTTGTCATGCCAGGGATTATACAAAATGTTGTTTTTTAATGAAATATATATAGAAAAAAAAAATAAATTATCATCACTTTTGGCACACTTCTGTAAATCGTAAATTATGTAAGGGTACTTTAATTGTTAAATTATTATATCAATTCATTGTATCGATCAGTCGGTACGGCGTTTGCTTCGTGATCGGAAGGTCCGGAGATCAAACCTTCAAATTTCATTTGATTATTTAGAGGAGTATAATTTAAAATAACATTGCAAAAAACATAAAATGATATGTAAAGCGTAATAATGTAAGGCTACTTTGTTATTAATATTTCAACTAATTATATCGATATTATTTTAGGTAATGTTCAGGATCTTCTGAAATTAATTGCCTGGAACTGGCAGCACCTGAACACATCAGTCAAAGTGAATTCGCCAGTCTCTGTGGATATTTCTCTCTTGTCCCACTACAGACTTACTGGGAAACATTTCAACAAATATCAGAGTCAGTACATATAAGTTTGTAAGGAAGGGACTAAAATTGAACACTTTATAATGTGGTGGCAGTTTGATAAAACAAATAATAATTTATAAGTTTTACCTCCATTAAATACAAGATTATCATTGTAGATGAATATAGATTAAACAGAAAGACTCAGAATTTTCCTTAGTTGAAAGTTTTTTGAACCTTTAAAAGCAATAAATATCTCTAACAGGCCTGCAGAGAGATTGTGCAGCCATTCTGAAATCTATCCCCCACACGAAAGGAAAAGATGGTGTCTACACTATATATCCTGATCACGATATGAAGAAAAAGAAGCTGGTGTACTGTGACATGACTACAGACGGAGGAGGCTGGACAGTGAGAAGTTTTAATTTTATTTCTTAATCCCCCTGAATCGAAAGATACAAGGGGTTAATTGTTTTGTCCCCGTCTGTCTGTTTGTCTGTTGTCAACTTTAACTTAGCCCATAATTATTGCGCTGACAAGTGTAAGTATATACCACTTCAGTTACTTCCCACTCCAGAATTGTGTTACCATCGGGGGCATAGTGTTTCACAATTACATCTTGCTTTAATTTTTCTTTTCATTCATTTGCGTCATATACCGGTATTTTGTGTTTTCAAAAGGATAACTATTATTTCGCCGTCGACTTTGAATAAAAAAAATAATAAAGCATAAAATGTTTTCTGTGCTAAAGATGATTTTCGACGCAAAAGATGCTCGGATGTTGTGCGTTTTTTTTTTAATATTGGTAAGTGAAACCTTTTTCATCTAAACAGGTTGTCCAGAGAAGAATTGACGGATCTGTTGATTTCTATAGATCATGGAAGTCTTATAAAAACGGGTTTGGCAAAGTTAAGGGAGAATACTGGTTAGGTAAGAATTACACTTTTATAATTAGACAGCTTAAACAAATTTTGGGTTTGCACTTTGAGGATATCTGCCTTTTGTGGAAGAAATTTTCATCAAATTCTAAATTTTCTTTTTGAACACTATAAAATTAAATTTCAAGATTAATTGAAAAGCTGATGCAAGAGGAACACACTGCTTTTAGTCCTTTTTACTTTATAATAAGGCCAACTGATAAATACATTCTTAAACGTTTATAAAAGGAGAAATTATTTCTTTCATCTTCAGGTAATGAAGTTATTCATTTACTTACCACAAGAGCAAAACAAGAACTTAGAGTGGACCTTCAGAACTTTTCAGGCAAAAAAGCTTTTGCCAAATATTCGTCATTTTCCATTGGAAGCGAGTCACAGAAATACAAGTTGAAAATTAATGGGTACAGCGGCACTGCAGGTAATTAAAATACCATTATATAGCAGTCTTTCTTTAGTTCTTAGTAAATGCCCAATAAACAAAAGCACATGATTTTTATTAATTTTGCCACACAAGAAATACTATATAGAAAATTTAAAATTCAGAAAAGAGACTGTCGAACACAATGGAATAAGCTGATAAAATATCCACTCAGTAATAATCTAAGACTAAATAAAGTGCATATATACAATTTACAATTGTTTGTATTGTAGGAGACAGTTTAGAATATCACAATGGGAGAAATTTTTCTACGAAAGACCAAGATAACGATTCGCATAGTAAATCTTGTGCCGTATTCCGGAAAGCGGCTTGGTGGTTTGGAGACTGTGATAACTCCGACCTGAACGGACCATACCACAAATCCGCTGTCAGTGATTGGGCATGTGTTTTGTGGTACAAATTTGGCAACGCTCATCGTTCCATGAAGTTTGCAAGAATGATGATTAGACAAAAAAGTTAAAAAAGGCCATCATAATTGAATAAAAATCTTTCTGAATTTTATGTACTATTTATCCTCTGACATTGCCTGTTGAAAGTCTGATAAATTATATTTGCTGACAAGGTCATAGTTTCGACCATAAAACGTACGAAATGAAGACTTTAAACGAGATTGCTGATATTCTTGCTTCATCAACTTGATTAATTGTCAGTAATTTACCTCGTTTAGAAGTGGTTCTTACGAAGAACATGCTCTGTCGTATCGAATCTACTTGAGATATAACCTCCGTATGCAGATGACAAAGAAATGCTGCATAAGTAAGGGAAGTTGACGATTAAAAATTAATGTCATCACATATATCATAAAAGATGTCAGAATCTGTGGAATCTTTTATTCCAAGCACACTGTGATATATCGTGTTGACATAAGAAAGGAAATAATTATTGTTAATTGACAATACGTCGTCGATATTTCTAAATATCGAGTTGAAGGCTACAGCAAGTTGTCTTCTTCTTTCCACGTAAAAGATTTTTTTTTTTTTTTTTTTTTTACAAATTCTGCTTCATACGAGTACAAAATTAAGCCTGCTAACAACAGGGTTCAACTGGTACCAAATCGGTTGTTGGAACACCTGGTCTCCAAAAACCAACCACATAGATATTGTCAATAAAAAGAACTCGAGCATCTTTTTAAAATCAACTTCAGAGTACTTGTGTATACAATCAGAATGATTTAACAAAGTAATTTTGCAAATAACCAATGATAAGGTAAGTAAATTTACGAGTTCCATTTTTATTGACTAAATATTTCTCAAATCTTTAAAAAAAATTTTAAACCATTTTCAATTTAATTCAAATAAGCAGAATGGATTTTGGTCTTAGTCGTAGGTTCTTTAATAAAATGGGCCCCAGAATTGTTGGATATGCTTCAAATAAGTTTTCCCCTTGCATAATAACCATTTGTTCATTTTAAGTTGATATCCTAAGCTTGTCTAGTAGTTCTGATGATGACTCGTTTATTGTAACCACTGCGCTATAGTCCTCGTTTTCTTGTGGAGTTCCATTTGGTTTCTTTTCAGGTATACCTGAAACAAACATTTTAATTAATTATTATATGGTTTTGAGAGAGAGAGAGAGAGAGAGAGAGAGAGAGAGAGAGATGTATTGTAATTGTGATTATTTTATAGGTATTACATGAAACTGAGTCGGGCTGTGCAACTATTGTGTCACTGTCTACATTGAATTCAAGGTCATCTACAAAAGAAAGGAAACATTTTTATGCTTTCTAAAGGTTATAATTTAAAATGTCTATATCTTTAGCTATATAATCTACTGGTATATCTACAGTACGGAAGCCCGTTGAGGCCAGTTCAGAGAGAGAAATATCTTTTATTGCGTTTAATCGCAATAATTATTGCGATTAAACGCAATAAAAAATATTTCTCTCTCTGACCTGGCCTCAACGGGCTTCCGTACTACAGTATATCTTTTATCTATATTTTATTCTTTAATAAAATTAAAAAATAAGAGCTAGGGAAAATCTTAAAGAGCATATGTATCTTAGGTTATCATAATTGACAATTAACACAAAGCTTGATTGTTGCAGAAGTAAATGTACTAACATTACAAAACTGGAAAGTCAAACTGATGGGAGACATATTATTCTTTACAAAAAATTAGAATTTTTAATTCAAATTAGTATAAGACAGTTACAAATTCAAATTGAAAAAATCGAAAGAGATGTCTGACTATAATAACATTTAAGGCGTACTTCATACCCAGTCTTTGGGCGTTCTATACCTGTACTCTTGTCTGGAGAATCTTCCTCGTCCTCGTTCTTGTCTGCGTTCGATTCACCTGAAAGATACACAAAAGAAACTCTTTAGAAATTAGTGAATTGTTTAAATGATAGGAAATATTTGCGGTACATTAACAATGCATCCAGGAAGAAATGGTGATTGATTTGGTGTATTAACATGAAATATGATCATTACAAGGAACCTTTCTTTTTTTCTTCCCTTAAACAAATCTAAGGTAATCTCTTAAGCGAACCTGTCAGGTTTGATAAGGTCCAAAAGGTCTTAATAAGATTTTTTTCAAAATATTGCGATTTATTAACAGTAAACCTGGAAATGTTAATCACTTTTTTTCTCTCATTTTTATCAAACATTAGGATGTTGTATAATTTTAAAATAAACGAATAAACCGATTAGAGTATTATTCAATTCTTTATCATGTCGCTAGTTGTGTAAAAAAAAAAATAAAAATGTCACTGACCAACTTGCCAGGAGACCAACGCGAAATGTTAAAATTCACTTTAATTAAACATTGTAATTTTACGATATATTTATCATTGCTATCTTAAAATTTACATTCTTGAGTTACAGAATGCCATATCATTTTAAACAAAAAATATGTGATGAATTCAACACAGAGGCAAAAAATTGAAATTTTGGCACCAAAAAATAATCAAAACCACCAACTTACTGCTATTTCTCTTTTCTTTCGTGACTTCTTGATACTTTTTCAAATTCAATTTAAATTTCTCCAGTTCAGCTCGTAGACTGCTAGTCCGAGCAAGAATGTTCTCAGCCTCGTTTTCACTCACTACACAATCTGTGTCTGGATCTTGCTCTAACTTCTCTATTTGACAGTCTAGAAAAGCACTCTGTAATCGAACTTGACTACTGAGTTCCAACACGGATTTCTCAATGTCCTGCAGAGTCGGGATTAAGTATCCATCAGACGCCATTTTAGAATTTTGAGACCGCCTATCTTTATGTTCAGCAGGTGTTTTATGATGTCCGAATTCATTTTCTTCCTGGCTTGTCGTTATGCCGTTTTAAGTTGCTCGACAATATAATCTTATGAATTTCCGGTTCCGTGTTTGAAGATTTTATTTTCTATAAAGTACTAGAATGTACGAAGATTGGTACAAAATTCTTTGTTCTATACAATAAAGTAAAGAAATTTTGAAACCATGTTCTATTAATTTTTATGCAACATTTTGGTACAACATGACCTAATGATGAGGTGTATTTGCAAATGAAATCATAATTACCTCTGTAGCATTTGCAAAATTATGAATATAAGAGGATACTAGTGGTTGGAAAACCTGCAACAGCATCTAATTTGCCAAACACATGCCTGTTCAAAAGTTGACCTTATTCAAAATGTATTCTTCATGAAATGGTGAAGATAAAAACAGTGGTCGATCTAAAAACTTCTATAAACAATACAAATCTGCAAAGGAGGCATAAACATGACCCCCTGTATATTCCAAGCGTGGGGTCAGGTGCCTAAGACGGGTAAGCATCCCCTTTCGACCGGTTACATCCGCCGTGACTCCGTTGTATGGATCATGTAGACGGAACATTCTGTTGTCAATTTCAGTATAAATGCAAAGCCAAAGATACTACCTAATAATAAGTCAAATTGGCTAACAAGGTCATTGTAAAGAGCATATAATTTACGAAAAGGTGACTTTAAACAAAGCTGTCAAGATCCCTGTCACATCAACTTTTCTGTAAGTAGGCTGCCTCATTTAAAGAACTGATCTTAGTCAGAGCACGCTCTAGAGTATGGAATGAACTGGGAGACGTTAATACTAATTGATACATCGTCGATTTATCTAAATACCTGGTGATAGGCAATCAAAAAGAAAAAGTGGAGAGGGCTTATATAGGCTATGCCTGCTGCCCAATCCGTTTATGTATTTCTTACATAATAAAATGTGTTCAAATCAAATCAATTTATCTAAATATCGAGTTAAAGGCCACAATAAATGTTTTCATATCATGTAGAAGTTTTTTAAAATAAATTTTTCATACGAAGAAATATCCAGGTCTGGTAATAATGAAACATAATTAGTGCTCATCGAAATTCCAACAGTTTGTGAAAAGACCTTGTTTCCGAAGCCTACATGTTCATACATATAATAAGAGAAATTGAAATTTCAACATTTATTAAAAACAAATCAAAACATAAAACTATTATATTCACAATCATTCAAAACATGCTAAAAAATACACAAAAAACAAATCTATCATACGTCTCATTTATACATTACATCTTCGGCCTTCTTGGGGGCTACTCACATATAGAAAAATAAAAATGAACTCCAGGGTTGACACCATCAGGAATTTATAACCACTAAATTTTGAGATACATGTACTTGCGTTAATTTCGAGATACCTGGGTTGACACCATAAGGTTTACATGAAAGGACACGGGTTGACACCAGCGATTTGCTATGAATAATTAATAACTTTGAAATTTTTGAATGAATTCTGCTTCATAAGAGTACTCGTAAAAGCAGGTCAACTACTGACAGACAAACAGACGTCAGACAATTAAAAAAACCCCTCACTTTAGCTTCTAGATCAAAAACTGTTACTTAAACTAAAACAATCTTGCAATTTATTTTATTTAACAATTATAGTATTATATTATTAATTACATACATGTAACATCTGCGTACACACACATACACAAAATCCTGAATACTGCACTCATAACTGAGCAATCTAGTTCTCTTACACTTATTAGCGCAATCATTACTTGGCGCTTAGTTTTTTTAAAGACACTTATAAGCTTAAATCATATACCAGGTCGTGCAAAAACAGTGGATAAAAAGCAGCAAAAAAGGTGTAAATAAGGTTACCTTTAAAATACCGGTGCACTGTAAGTACGTTTACTATCCCTCATTCAAAAGATCCTTTCAAATACAAATCAAACTGATTCAAAGGAATAAGGAAAGTATTGCATTGTCTAAATTTTCCACATGGAAAAGAATCGAATGTTGAAAATTTATGTTCAACATATGAAATTTTATTATAAAATCAATAACATTTTTGGGGAAAAAATCTAATGACTTGTTTCGTTATAACAGGATTTCCTTAAGAATAATATACTTGGGAAGTTGCGCCAAGTTAAGATGGGAAAAAAGAATATTGTAAACAAAAGCTTTGTCTTCCAGCGCTTTTAAGAAGTATTTCAAAAAGTCGAATCTTCGATATCCACACTTTCTAGATCTGAAAAAAAATATCGTTATTCAAAATTTATTCGCAATGTATTAAATATACTAAGTACTTCAAAGTCTAAAGTAAAATATTAATACCTTGCCCCATATCTATTCCACTGTCCGTCTTTGATTGGGGGTGTTGGCCACCTGCAAGAATGGTTCATGTTAAGCACAGCAAAATATTTAAAAAAATCAAATTTTCGCATTTCAGAGATTGCGCAATTGTACGATGTACCCGGTAAGGATTATTGATTCTAGCAGTGAAATACACATGTACATGTATAAGACGTTTCTACATAAATCAAAAATAAACATCTAAATCAAAGGAGCTTTTTAGCAACCGCTCATGATAAAACGCCGAATTATGATAGAAATATCACTACGCGTTGCAATGCAACTAATAAATTATTTCATTAACAGTTAACATTCTCATCTGTTCAATGGTATAATTCTTTCATTAGCGGGGATTTTGCATTAACGGTTTAGAATGTCAACTATAAACGCAATAATTTATTATATATCTATTATAAAGCTGCGTTTTATCATTAGCGGTTGCTACAGAGCTTAAAGGGGATTAAGATTCATTTTTTACCTTTGGGGAATCTCTTGGGTACTCGTATACTAGATATCTGTAAAACAGAACAAAATGCTAAGAGCTACTCTTATATCTAGAAAGTATGCATTTTTATTACTTCAATACATCGAAGTAACTTCAATACATGGAAATACGAAAACAAAAATGACTTACATAATTCTTTAAAGTTAGTTCGTAGGCACAGAGTTCATTTTCAAGTCCTGAAATTCGGCATATAACCCCTTTCACACACTTTGATTCCAAGTCAATTGCTCCTATTTCAAACCCGGCACTTAAATAGTCGATTTTCCCAACAACGGATGCATTTTTTAATCTTGTCTTTCTTTTTGTGTCCTGAAGTAGTTCATTTATTTCTTTTATTGTCGGTATTCTATCCATATTTCTTCAAACACTTTTCCAAAATATTATGCTGATGCAGTTGTTAGACCCATTCTTTTGTAAACAAGACAAATGAAATACTAAAAAAGAATAGGTCGTCATTATTATACGTCGATATATTCTTTAATGAAAGGCGGAAGAAATTATGACATTTCTAAATATTACGTAGGGTTCAATCGTTATTTTTATTTATGTAGTCTACCAATGACAGTGAGTGTGACAAAAATATCTTGTATTCTGATTGGGTGAATGACCTGTGACGTCCTTTTATTTACGCGTCACATTAAAGCATCTAATACTTTCGAAATACTACACACGTTTCCAATATCGATGATATATAGATATTCAAATTTCTATACTTAGAAATTTAATTATTTTTCTACTCTACATCATGAATCAGCTGCAAAATTTATTTGAATTCGTTTTTTGTTTAAATATCCCGATTACAAAGCGTTGTCTTGATTTTCAACATTCAAGATAATATAAGTGCGTAGGTATTATGCGAAGGTGGGCTTTGAGGGTTCATAATAAGAATACTGTAATTTCCGGGTTTTTTTTTTCGCGAGTCCATATTATCGCGAAATGACCTTTTAACGTTAAATCCCGAAAACTATAATTCGGGAGGGGATAGTTGATAAAGAGATTTTACATTGATTTCGCGAGTGGTGCTTCTCCAGAAATTATACGATAATATTTACATTTCCAATGTCTTTGCCCGAGATAAAATTACAAATTTTAAATGAACTTTAAATGAACAGCTAGACAGAAGCAGGGCTTGGAGCACGTGGATTGGCGGAATCAAAGCATGTAAATATAAGGAATAACTGTCAGATTTTTCAATTTCATGACGATGATCAATCGATTGGCTTGCGTGATAATTTTGTGCATAAACGAAGGCGTTTATGCAAATTATCACACAACCCAATCGATTGATCACATCATGAAATCGAAAAATAAGACAGTTATTCATGAAATGAATTCCTCGCGTATATTTAGGAATCCATAATAGTCAAATAAAAAAAACCCAACAAAAGAACAACAACAACAACAACAACAACAACAACAACAACAAAGCCGAGTGACTGTTTATTTTTTTTTATTTTTACAAATAAACAGGAAACAGAAACCAGTGTATGAATTTTTATGATTTATTTAATAACATAATGCAGTTTATTAAATCTAGTCCATTTTGGTGATATGTTTAAATATTTACCTTAGTTGATGGCTCCTACATGCAATAAACACTGGTAAGTGCTGCATCCAGTCGATCGAGACAATGCTATATATCGACTACCGGCTTCATTCATTTCTCTGTCTTCAATTGACAGCGTCTCTGTAGTCTTTAGAAATCAGAACTTTCTAGAAATTGTTGGAATTTTGCACTTTTTGTGTCCTATTAATAGCCAATCTGTTTTTATATTCCATTGAAGCAGAATATATATGTACTTACTACTACATGAGAAAAAAAAACTCGTGTTGAGGCTTTCCACTCGACATTCAGATATATCGAAGTTTTATAAATCAAAAATGGTTACTTCCATTCATATGTCGATTCATTATATATGGTGAACTAAAAATTAAGGACACCTTAGAGCCTGCCCTCTATTTCATATTTGAATGTTTTACTGACTATAGACAATAAAACTTCCAACAAAATTGGGAGAAAAAACAAACAAACGAGATGACAGCTTTTCGATCGTAAATTTTCCTTATGTGTTTTCTTCTGTCACCTGCATATGGTGTTTATTTTTCTCAACTTATTCAATACTTAAGAGTATGCCCTGAGTTACTTCAA